GGGTGGATTGGGTGTTGATGAGGGGTGCCCGGGGTTGGTGGGCGGTGCCGAGGATATGGTGTGGCGCGTGGATCGGGAGGCTGGGGGCGTGTATGCGGGTGTGGTGGGGAGGGAGTGGACGGCCAATGTGAAGAGGGGGAGGCTGGCGAGGTGGTGTGTGGATTGGGCTGAGGGGGAGGTGACGGTTGGGGAGGGGGTTGGTGGGCGAGGGAGGATGCCGGCTGTTTCGGCTGCGAGGGGTTGAGGTTGGGGATGGTGATGGGGATGGTGATGGAGATGGGGTGGGTGTTTGGTTTTGAGATAAGCAATAGCGTTGAGAACTTGAATTCTTCCTTCGGTTCCTCGATAGTTATCTATCATACAGTCTTGCAAGTCCAGTGTTCGACTGAAGTTACACGCCCTGAATCTACCCTACAACTCATCATGCCCCGAAGTCCGGGGTTGCCAAACCTCTACCTTTCCGTTGATGATGTCCTTGAGGAACCCATCAATCCTGGCGGCGTTGATCTCCCCCTTCCTTGGGTAAGGAAAGATATCGCCGTTATTAGGGTTTTGCACGGATAACCCTTCAGATCCGCGCTCAATCCCTAGCATTTCAGCCGCATCGGCGTACTCGTCTGCGTCGATCGTGACGAAGTGTAGATAATCTTTGTATCTCTTCGCAAGTGGCCGCATTTCTGTCACGTATTCTTCCTTCTTCTCGTTGCGCACGAAGTAGTGGACAATGCTCTTCTGGGTCTAATACCCCAACATAAGTCAGTGGGGCTGAGTTAGGAATTTTGTTCGCCGTGCTTACTGAGTAGAAAGATAGCTCGTTTCGCCTCGTCATTTGTGGAATCAGGGGTTTTGCGCATAGTGCGATAAAAGATTCGAAAGACGCGGGAGTATCGAGCACTGTTGTGGTGGCTTGAAGTCCGTCGAGGTTGTTGTAGCAACTGAGCTCTGGGGTTCGATGGGCCCCGGTCATTGCAAAGGAATACCGGTCACGATATATTCCCGCGACGGCCTCAAACTCCCTTTGCAGGGTCCTCTCCCCCGAAGGAAGGCGGCCTACGAAGACAAAGTCATCGATAGACTCAAAGGCGGTCCTATTTTGCTCCGTCACATATGATACCTTGGGGCGACTTGTCCTCCGGAGGAATCCTTGGATTGATGATGCCTTTCGGGCACCACGGTACCGAATCTGCCCCCCATTAAGTTGCCGGAGACGGATAGCGGGAAATGAGAAGACTTGGTCTCGGGAGCAGAGCTCCGCCTCAGCGGAACAATCGACACTAACAAAGTCGATATCGCCTTCCATATCTTGATTTTTTATCCATTCCTGCTCGAGCGCCTCGCTGCTCTTCCTAGTCATGGTGAGCTGGTTGGCGCGGGGGGGGCGAAGAGTGAAATAATCAGGTAACGTACTCATGTGGCTAGGATGAAGTTGGGACGTTAATACATGGTTTTGCAGCTATCGGTGGAGTACATGGCTTACAAGAACATCTAAACGGTTAGCAGCTAGCTTCGACATCACTCCCATGGATCTAGTGCTTACATGCAACCAATATCGGTCCTTTGGCGATTCGTTTTGTCAATTCTGGCCCAGCAATGTGGTTCCAAGCGAAGCAGTTTGAGGCGAGCAGAAAAGGGAGGTAACTGAGCTTGAACTTCATGTTGTCAAAAAAAGAGGAAAAAAGAAGCGGGTATATCTTCAACCACAATTGAGTTATAGCGCGACAAAGTGGAATTCCACCATATTGGAGCATGAGTGAGGTCGGAGATGTAATAGGGACCATAAGCTCCAACGCAGGGTGGCAATCAGGGGCGCAGATCTTGGCGTTGAAACAACCCGACCCCTGAATTCTTGCCACGGACGGCGCAGCATATTTGTTTCATCATCGAGACCGCCCGTCATCATGGCTCGAGCTCCCGGGTTATCGGCACAGCTGTGACGAGAAGTAAGGTAGATGTGGGGGGCTGATCGCAGAAAGATTGTACAGACAAACCTAACACTCATCTCGCAATGCCTTCAATACGCGTCCTGGCCACGGCGCTTGGAGCCCTGGCGGCCTTGAGCTCAGCGGAGCCGAACAATAAGCAACAAACCCCTTTAGTGGGGGACACCTACGTCTGCGAACACCCGCCATATAAACCTCTCATTGTCTCCAAGTCGCCCCTCGTCATCTACCTCCAAGATTTCATCACTCCCTCAGAGCGTGCTCACCTGCTGCATCTCGGGTTTGTCCCTTCTCCCCTACCCCTTACCCTCCCCCTTCACCACTAACAACCCGTACCTCCTCCCCAGCAAATCGACCTTCTCCCGCAGCGGCACCACCGCCAACTCAGCCCACACCTCCCTGCGGACCTCCCAATCCACCACCGTGCCCCCCTCCGACCCCGTCGTCGCCTGCATCGAGTCCCGCGCGCTGTCCTTCCAGGGGTTCGACGTGCCGCGCACCAACCTCGAGCCGCTGCAGTTGGTCAAGTACGCGGCGACGGAGCACTTCCACTTCCACACGGACTGGTTCCCGCCGCGCAGCCCGCACGCGTCCGCCGCCGTGGGCGGGAACCGCGTCAGTTCGTTTTTTGCGTACGTGCGTGTCGAGCCCGGGACGACCGGTGGGGGCACGAATTTTCCGCGACTGGATGCGCCCGCGGATGAGAGGTGGTGCGCTGAAAGGATTGTGGATTGTGATGAGCCGTGGGAGAGGGGGTTGACGTTTCGGCCGGTGGAGGGGAATGCGGTGTTTTGGGTGAACTTGGGGGAGGATGGGCGCGGTGATGAGAGGACGCTGCATGCTGGGCTGCCGGTTGTGACTGGCGGGAAGGTGGGCATGAATATTTGGACAAGGGAGGGGCCGGTTGGGGAGGATATTAGGAAGGGTGTTTGAAGGGAGTTGATGTTGTCCTGTGAAGTTGGGGTGTGTGGGTTCGTGAGATTGTAGAATCTGGTATCGTCTGTCTCCGTCCTTTCTCTTGAATATGAGCCCCGGGGAATCAGACTGCCTCTTGAATATGGCCTTAACAACCAAAGTTACCTACCGGCCTTCATACCAAATCCACTAACATGCGCCGACAATGGACCCCGTATCCCCCTTGGTCGCCCCGACCGTAACCACCCCGTCGCCGCAGTTGTAGTACTGGTTCATCCAAACGATATCCGACTGTTGATCAAAAACCACTGCTCATATGTCAGTCAAGCGCTACAAAACCTCATTGATTCATTACCACTTCAGTGCAAGACCGTGAGCGGTGAAACTCACAATAAGCCCCGCGAATAAACGTGTCCCCTAGAACGTAATGGGTCGATCCTACATCTGCGGGTTGCACCCCCAGCATGCAATGGCCCGGATACTGCTGATAAATAAAGTCCTTGTAGCGCACGTTGATGACCATCCTGCCCCTGTTAAACCCAAAATCCACAGTGCCCGGTTCGTCGCGCCAGGCGCAGTCGACAATGTAGTTGCCTCCGCTGTCGATGGTAGCATCAAACTGCTGGCCGATCTGGGCAACGAGATCCTCGCGGATGTAGGAGAGAGTGGAACCCGTGTCGAGGAGCGTCGGCATGCTGAAGGTATCGCGGTTGGTGTAGATCACGGCGGGTTCGCCGGGCTTGGTCATGCCGACCGAGGTCACGTTGACCCAGTATCTTGGCTGTGTTAACCGAGAACATGTTTCTATGTTGATATGGGAGACCCCAAAGGATGATAAAGTTGTTGGCTTACTGTATCCATCTTGGGTCTTGTTGTGAGATGGGCGGCCAGATGTGAACGGCCTCAAGTGGGCCGGCAAACTTCCACCTGTTCACGCCACCAAATATGATCTCACCTATGGAGCTTAGTTAGCGAAGAAGTGTCTTGTAAGGTAGCTTAGAACCCACGTACTGAAGTTATCTTGGTCACCCCCTAACCCCAAGCCAAAAATAGGGGCCAAGATCATCTCTTGAGCGACCATCAAAGTCAAAACGCTGGGGTAGTTGATGGAATAGGGGTAGGAATATCCCAGCCCTAGGATCCCTGAAAAGGTGTAGTTGCTATCGTCGGCAACGGCAAACTGAGCCTGAGGGATTTCAAGCACTGCTTGTCGTCAGACCCTAGCCTGGGGTGGGGCTCGAGAGCACTTACTTGCTACACTCATTGTGTCGGACCAATAGCTCCCCCTGACAGCTCCCGTTCCGTAGGTGACGGCGAATTTGCCTCCTACATACGTAGACGAGGAGGATTGGCCTGGGTAATAGTTGCCGTGGCTTTGGCAAATCGACTCCGAGGCCGAGGTGTCACACCTAGGATTGACCCAAAGCTCGTAGGAACCCGTGTCAATGAACACCTTGACCTTTTGGGGTGGTGTCCCGATCTCCACTGAGTAGGTGAGTTAATTTTTCCCAATAACAGACGGGTCGGGAGGGCTACCCACACTGGATGATGTACGCAATTCCCCCTAGCTCCTCTAAGCTTGACCAGCCCCATCGTCTGCTGTTCGTACCCTGGTGGGGAGCGACTGGTTGGGCTTGCAGGGCCAAGGGGTCTCGCTTGATCGGCGGCAACTTGGTGGTTGTCGCTGGCCGGGTAGAATCTCTTTGTTGGTCCGCTGGAGGATGCTGATGGGGTGGGCCGTGTTGCGGGTGTTCCGATATTGGCGGCGGCGGCGTGTGTATTCCGCCTGGTCCTTTCCCTGTCCCATTGAACTTCTGCCTCGAAACGGGCATTCGAACATAGCCCGGCTTCCGCCACGGTCCAGCGCCACCCCCTACACCATTATTTGGATGGACTTCTTGTTCGTCGGCGGCTGGCGGCAACCTCGGGAGTATGGAACCGTGACATGTTGAAATGAGGACTAGGAACCACAAAAAGGAATTGCCCACCATGGTGAGCCACCAAAAATCTGAGGCTCAGGGCAAGCGATATTTAACGTCGTATGTAAGTCCCCAGACTGGGTTTCCATGGCAGCTGCGCCGTGGTCGCCAGCGTGATGGGCTTTGGAATGGAAAATAGGTTGGTGTTCCTGACCTAAGAGAGGGGCAAACCCGAAACGTATAAAGGACCGCGTTCTTTTCCGACCACCGCTACTCCGCATTCCAATAGCAATGATCCACGAGGGTCCCGCAGATGATCGACAATTACCTCCAAACAGGCATCCGCAAAGCCCCGCTGCCACATGCCGGTGCAATGGGATGAGTGAGCCCCGGCGGGAAGCATGCTGATAATCCCTCGTGCCAGGTTCGACACAAGAACCGGGCAGCGGCGGTTGGGGTCGGAAATGTAGGTCCCGGGTGGCTGTTTTGCTGAAGGATGGAGTAAAGTTGGCTAACACTACTTGACTATGCGTAAGAATCTGTCACACCCCCCTGCTCGTCCGTGCCAGCGCCATTGGTTGGGGAAGACAAAAACCTCTCTTACCTCGACACGGGCTGTGGGAGGTCTCGGCTGGTGACAAGAGTGACAGCCAGAACTCACCGGTAATGCATGGCCCCTGATTGTCCATGAAACGGCCCTGATGATTTGACTGGGGTTTGCGCTCCAATAATGTCCCCGCCGGCACGGCACTGGATTCCCTGCTACGGAGATTGCGCCGGGACAGTGGATCTGGGGTTGTTTTTACCCGATCCGGGGTAAGAAGAGCAATAAATTCGAGGATATTATCACGGGCGCTAGCGCGGATAAATGCAACCATAATTGGCTGGCTCCCTTGGGCCGCCTAAGCGGAGGAACGACCAATGCGCTCTAGTTGTTTCCCAGAGCAATGGACGGACGGTTCCGGTAGTCTGGATATGGCCGTCTGCCGCTGTGGACGGATGCCGCGTCAAGGTGACTTCAAAACCCGATGGGCTCCCACTAAGGGGCCCGCTAGGGACACGGGTCCCGTGTGTAATTACATGAAATACCGCTGATGCTATTACAAAACAATACAAACAAACGCTGCCGCCTCCCCCACCACATGTATCACTAGCAACCAATAACGTACCAATCTCAATAATCACAACACATCCGAATACCGTAAAGGGCATGCCTTTGAGGTCCTCGTATGACCAATTCCATTGCACTTAGTGCATCGACTTGGAGCCCGGCGCGGTTGGGCTGCTTGAGCCTCCACTACCTCAAAGTGGCTCGGCTCCCGCTTGGTACTCGACTTTGGGAGTGAGCTTCGCGCTTGAATTGGCTCAGTACGCTGGCGAGGCTCAAGAAGTAACTGTGGGGCCCCATTGCGTCTTAGATGCCAGTGCGAATGGAAGTCGTTGAGCAGAAGAGGCTCGCCTTGACGAGTGCGTAGTACATGGCAGCATGGGAGCCCCTAGACTCGAGAAAAGGTGCCTGTACAAATCGGAGATGGAAGGCGGTTCTTCGTCAGAAGCAGCTTCCGTTGCTCCTCGACCTTCCTCAACGCCTCATGAGATACCTAGCCTCGGACAGCGCCGTATAAAGCTCCTGAAAGCTCGAGAGGAGTTCGAGTCTGTTGTGATGCTTGACGTGCTTGTAGCTCTGATAGTTGGTTGAGAACAGCAAGCCGAATTGCTTTCCAAGCTTCGAAGAGGTCGAGTGTCGACCTTCTCAAATAAGACTTGAGGAGGGCATGGATACCTTCCACTCGTGAGGTAGCCGTGTTGCCAAAATGACTTGACTGGTCGACCCACGCGCGGACAAGCTTCTCCTTGAAAGGGTTAAGCCATGTAGCGTTGATATACCCCACTTCATCGAGGTGCTCAGGGGTATATCTCTGCTGAAACTCGACTAGTCGCTTGGCATACTCATCTTCCGTCGGTGAGCCAATGATCGAGTGCCAGAACTCGTTGAATTCCTTCCACTCCTCAGCCTCTGGGAACTTGGGTTGACATCGAGCTAAGACTGCCTTGTTTGCATGCCAAAGGCAGAGGAGTATAGCGGCAGAAGGAAATAGATTTGAAGCCGCATTCATCGCCGCAAGACAGCGATCTGTTAAAATAACAGATGGGGGTGTAATGCCACATTGTTCGTACAGTGATCTCAACTGCTCAAGCGCCCATGCATAGTCTTCCTCTGCCTCGCCGCTTAGGAATGCAAATGCCACACAGAATGACCGCTGTGTCGCATCGACGCCAATCATATCAAGAAGAGGCATGCCGTGCTTGTTTGTCTTGTACGTGCAGTCGAGGAGGAGGAGTTCTGGGTAGGCTCGAAGGTAGGCCAAAGAGTCGGGATGTGCGAAAAGAACGGCTGTAACCCGTCCATCCGGTGCAAATTGTATCCGGCTCCAGAAGCCTTCCTTTTCAAGCTGGTCTGCTAGTGCGTGAATCGGACTCTGGCCCTTGCAAGCGTCTCGACGTATGTCAGCAACCCGGTTGTAGATGTCTTTCCGAGTTGCGAGAGAACCTCTTTGCTGAACAAGAGACTGAATATCTTTCGAGGCAACTCTATTGTCCGAAAGGGACGCAATCTGACTTTTCTCGAGAGAGGACAGCTGCCGATGAACTGGGTGGGCGGACGGATGTTGGCTCGGCTCATGGCTGTGCACAGAGAAGCGTTGATCAGGGCGATGTCTTAGAGTCCAGGTGCCGTTATGAGACTCCTTTGCAAGCACAGAAAAGGGACAATTGGTCCCTCGAGTAACTGTCTTCCTTTTGCGCTCTCCTGGTGGAGGTGGTCGGCAGGCTCGATCGCATGCAAACGTGACCGTTGCTTTCCCACTCTTTTCTCTAGCTGACCTTTTGATCGTAAAGGCGTAGCCTCGAGTAATAGCCCATTCGTTAATTGACGTATACAGGGCCTCTCGGGAGTTGTATTCGCGTTCGGGGGGGAGGCAGTTGTCCGGAAAGGAATTGGCCATCGAGCTGGTAAGTCGTATTATTGTGGTTGCTGGGTGATGCAGGTGGCAAGCAGGAGGCAACGCTCGCGTACAAATCTTTGTAATAACATCGGGGTTTTCATGTAATTACACACGGGACCCGTGTCCCTAGCGGGCCCCGGAGCCAACCCGATGCATGTGATACTAAACAACAGGATGTCACGAAGAGTTCTGCTGTGATGACCTGCCATGGTTGGGAATTGGTATTCTTGATATTAGTGAGGAATAACATACAAAGAATAACTAACGTTACTGGAAAATAAGCATGTTTTACTTACCCAGAGACTGGTATGTAATTATGGTTAGATGGCTTCTTCCTCTCGTGATAATTAGCGGGTGAACTGGGGTTGGTCGTACATGTAATCATCTGTGTATTCATCGATATGGCGTGTATTCACATATGCTTCGCATACCTATGCATTCATTCATCGGCCATGAATTCGAGTCTTACGATACAAAAGGGACACAGGGAGAAAACGTAAGTGTAGACGTAAGAATGAAATAATATTCGACTGGCGGGAACGAACAAAGATTCGGGCACCGGGATAAGTGGCACGAATTTGACAGGAGCCTGGGGAATGGAAAAAGGAAAGAAAGGACGAAGAGGGACTAAAGTGGATCGAGCTTATAGAGACCAGGTTGATCCACCAATAAAAATATATGTGATGAACACCAACGTGTCGATTTCGGTGCAAAAAATGCAAACACGGTCAGTTACGAATACCTATCTGAGTTGCCTCTCACCTCCTGACTTCTACTTTCTGTCTTCCTTTAGCTCCCCCGTCGTTTTCACTTGCCGCCAACATGGACATGGTAAAACATGAGCCAAATACAATCGCAAATCGTGACGGCAACCCAAACCGCACCTCGGATAAATCTCGCCGCGACAATGCTCGGAGTTGGAGAGCTGCGTTCCGTGCTAGAACGAAGGACATTCTCCTTGCCCTCAACGACAACAAGCATGAGAGACCATTTGCTGGTTTTGATACTTTGCCGACAACCGACTTTAACGACCAGCTTGGGTTGTACGTCGATGGAGTTGGGAACATTGGCGTCCCATTGCAAGAAGAGCAGGCCCGTCAGTTGGTCGCCCAATGCCACATGACTCCTTTCCAAAAGCATGACGAAACCGTCGTCGACACGTCGGCGCGCAATACATGAGAGTTGGACGCTTCACACTTCAGATTTTACAGTGGTACCTGGCCGAGAACCGTTGGCCAATGCATCGACTTTGTGAAGAAAACACTGGACATCACATCCCCCATCATCGCCGATCCTTACAAGATGCTCATCTACGAGAAAGGTGCCATGTTCAAGGCCCATGCCGAGTGAGAAACACCCAATGCATACCAACGTTGAACACCAACCCGAATGAACCGGAATGCTGACACGCTATCAGCACCTAAAAATTCCCCGGCATGTTTGGTACCCTCGTCATCTGCCTGCCGTCACCCCACACGGGCGGTGACATAGTTTTGCGCCATGCCGGCAAGGAGGTGACGTACAAGACCTCCGAGATCCAACCATCAGTCTTGTGCTGGTACTTGGATGCCCACCATGAAGTTTTACCCGTCACGTCCGGTTACCGATGGGCCCTGACTTATAATCTCGCTATCTCTCCTCACCTGGAGCGGCCGTCTGCTCCTTTGCCTCTATGTCAACCCCAAAATGCTCAGCTCCAGCAGTCACTCGCCAGTTGGCTCGAGCATCTGGTACAGTGCAACTAGGAGGAGTCCACAAGCAACTGTCTGCCTTCTCTGTACTACGTGATGGAACACGAGTACACCGAGGCCAGTTTGGCCCTGCGTGGCCTCAAGACGACTGACCTTCGCCGTGTGCAGTGCTTACGCGAGGTTTCCACCGAACTAGACTTTGATGTCTTTCTTGCCGCCATCGAAAAGCGTGAAGAGGGTTATCTCAAAGGCGACTGGTATTTGCGATATTTTTCGCGCCGCCGGTCTCGCAACGGTCCAGGTGATAATCCCAGTTTGGACCGGCACAAAATCGGCGAAAGCTACAAAACGTCCATCATAATCAAGAAGCTTGTCGACTTGGATGGCGTCTTCCTCCGCTCCGAAATGGCGATTGATGAAAAAGACCTGAGGGTGAATCTAATTCCGGGGGGTGATCCGTTCAAGGGTGTCGACAATCGCAAGGAAGAGAGGTACGAAGGATTGGATTCAACAAATCCAACCTTCACCCACTTCTACCGCACAACCGTAAGTTGCATTCCAGCCATCCGGGCACGTAGGAGATCTGAAGATATCGAGACATTAACAGCACGCCTAGGTTGCGGTACTAGTCCCGCAAAGTTCGGCCGACAGGTTCCTGACACAACTGTGAGGCCAGGCACCGCTCAGCCCTTGCTGCGCTAATTATTACGCAGAGAAATATCTACTTGCCGCGTGCGAGCCGACTCGTCGGCAGTACGCCGTAGAGACCATGCGCCGCCTGGCGAGGATTGCTTGGGGCGATGATGCAGCAGTTTTTGTGAAAGCCGATAAGGCCATAATCCTGCTGGTACTAGAGGCAGCTGTGGTGTGCTGCGAGTACGACCTGTTTAACGATGTCCTTGGGTTGGTTGATGCCGCGGCTGTGAGCGACATTTTCGACCTTGTTAGGGTCAGTGCCCTCGCGGGCCTCCTAGACATGAGCAAAATTTGTGAGAGGTGAGTCCAATCCATGGTATACCCCATTGTTTATCATCCCTACGCTCATGACTTGCAGCATGCTCGACAATATTCTACAGGGCGATCTGGAGCACCGGGGGATCTGCTCGCGGCTTCTACGCCCATCCAAAAAGCAACCCAACCATGACTTGGAAGAGCTGGCTGTTGACATGGCTAGACAGTAGGCTAAAGATCTCAAGGCCATTTTCAAGAAGGAGGGCTATCTTCGGGAATCCGATGGTGCCGGGATCATGAACATGATAAACTCTCCGCAAGACTATGGCTTGTTCAGGACACGGTATGGACAGGATCGCTTACAGCCGCCGTACTTTCGTCACTCCATATTAACTTTGCCCTTCACAGTGTTCTTCCAATTCTCGCGGCGGCTGCCCTTACCAGACCACCTTTCGTTTTGGGTGCGCTGCCAATCTTGACCTCGTGGGCCTCCAGCGAGGAGTTCCCGCAACCCGAGGTATTGGATATGGTTAAATGGCTGAGCGAGTCTGTAATCGTCGGGTTAGATATCAGAGATCTCCGCAGCCACGCCGCTCTTCTCATGGCAGACCCGCAATCTCTGGGCACTTCTCGTTCCACGAGGACCCGGGACCTCACGTCAAAGGAGCGCAGCCTGATTGTCAACCCCGCCACGCTCGCCAACTTCACCAGTACTCTCCTCACCCACTCCTGGGACGACCTCCTGACTACCCTCTGCCAAAGGATCGCTGCCCAAACCGCCACCATCTCCACCGCCGAATGCCCCCACCTCCGGCTCCCCTTCCTCCGCCATCTCCTCCCCCCAGCCGGCACACCCTCTCCGCACTACAAACTTCTCACCCACACCCTCCTCACCGCCCACCTTACGCACCACGTCGGGCCCGAACCCCCACACGGCCCCGCCTCCCTAGCCCTCGCCCCGCAAACCAGCTGCTGCTGCTTCTCCTGCGGCTTGGTAAGCAAGTTCCTCGCCTCGCACCTCGAGGGCGAAGCCCGCTTCAAGCTCGACGCGGACCGCCGCGAGCATGTGCGCCGCGAGCTGCGTGCCTCGCATGCCGAGGAGGTGGTGAAGCGCGAGACGAACTGTGGCGAGCGGCATGACACGTTTTTTTCTTTGTGCCGGGAGGAGAATGACGCGTTGCTGGTGACCAAGGTGGCTGCGCGCGTGCGGCGGGAGCGGGATGCGTGGGAGGAGAGGGTGGAAGATGCGAGGAAGTGCTTGCAAGAGTTTGCGGAGGACGGTGTGTTGGGGAGGGTTGTTGGGGGTGATGGTGGGGGGGGTGTTGGGACGTTTTTGAGAGACAATGAAGTGGAGCTGTCTGGCATTGGTGTTGGTGGTTCGAGAGGAGTGAAGAGGAAGGAGGAAGGCAGAGGGGGAAGTGGAGATGGTTGTTATTGACTATTAGAGTGAGCGGCGAGGAGGGTTGGGCGGTGTGTTATTAGGGGTTGTTCGCGGCGAGGGAGACATGATATTGAGGGCTGCGGTTGTGGATTCTGAGCTGGAATGCAGGTACTATTCGTAGGGGGGTACTTGAGAGTGTATTAGCATTGTGTCGTCTATATTCTCACGTGCTATCGTTTAATTCATACTTGACATGTGCAACGGTGGCGATTGGGAAGCTGGACGTACTCGGTAAGGGAAATATAGAGAGCCGGTCTGCCGGGAAGCGGCAGCATCGCGCGTCGAAACGTCTCGAAGACATCTTACCCTATGACGCAGCTCTTTACCGTTGAAATGATACGGGTGACGCGGGCCTCCGCCATCTCTCATTCTGCTTCCAAATAAGGAACCTGAGCGTGTCCCACAAAGAAGAGAAGGCCAAGTAGCTGTCCTTGGCCAGGTTAAAGCTACCTACTTTCGTAGGTGATCAGCGAGACGCAAGAGGCATGTCAAGAGAAGCATCTACGTAACTAACATTCTGCACCTATTAGATATTCCCAAGGCGAGATTGACAAAAGAGTATTATGCGTTGAATCAGCCTCCATCTTCATCGGTCTGGCGGCAGACACTTCTCTCGACGGCCGCGCATAATTGACATGTGAGGTTGGTATCATCGCCTGTCCTATTCGTGTGTTCCATTTAACAGCAAGAATGAGCGCAGTAGATATAACTCTTAAGACTAAGTTAATCAAATTAGACAGGGCTACCGGACATAAGTTGCTCGGCTTCGATTTCGTCCTCCTTGACCAAGCGGGCCTTTACCTCATCGCTTCTGCCTTCGCGACGCATCGCCGTGATCTCGGCCAGGATCTCGGTAAGCTGAGTCTCGGAGCATATGTCCCTTGGCAGCGCGTGGGCTTCTTCCACAACATATCGCCCAGTCACATCCGTCGCGCCGTCGAGGGAGAAGGCGATGCAATAAGCCATACGCTTGCCCCATCCTATGTAATCTTAAAGTCAGTTCCAACACAGTGAAGGTACCTAAGTAGATCCCGCTTATTTGTGAAGGAAACAGTACCTTTGGAATACAGCAGGGGTTTGTCCCAGGCATCTTCGCAGACATCGGCGTGGACCCATCTATCCTGGTGTTCCGAGTAAATCTCCAGCCACGTGTGGTCTTCCGAGTTCCACACCCAGCGGACACGACTACCAATTGCCCGACAGAGGAAGCCGAAGCAGTTGGTCCACTCTCCAACGCGCCCTCTGCGCGTTTCCAGCAATTTCACGGCGCTCGAGTACCGCGGAAAACGCTGTTTCGCACCGCATCTTCCATTGTGGCATTCGTATAGCTCCACGCGCATCGCGCCGTGGACAGTCTCTTGGTCGGTTGGCGGTGTCATTCCCAGTGCAATGGTTGGCGACAGGCATACGGAACAGACCGGATTGTTGACCCATGTGAAGAAGTCGCGTTTGAACCAACGTAACAGCGTGCGGACGACACAATCCTGGTAACCCCATTCCGGCCACTGCCCAGCAGAAATGGCCTCCTCTAGGAACTGAAGGTTTTCCGTGTCGGCTTCTTCGTAGATTTGATCGAGAGGAACCACCTGAAGCGCATTGTCTAGCAAAGTAGGGTCCTCCCACTTCATCGGGATTCCTGATAAAGATATGAACCTGTTGCGGGCCTTGTTGAACTCTAGATCAACGTCACTTAGCTTATGCTGCTTAATAAACGGCCATCCCTGAGGCAACGTCAAGGCATGCCTTGCACAGCGCTTTTGCTGATTGTTGTCAATGCCGCGGTTGCACCCACCCTCCTGACAGCGGTGTCTCCAACAAAACCAGGGTAGAACGTGACTGTCAGTTGACACGGCTCTCTCGCCTGCTTGTTCATAGAAGCCCTGTTCAGGACAGTGCGGCCGACCGCATTTCATGTGTTCTGCGCAGAATGGTACATCCTTTGCCTTTGGAAGATGACAGAAAGCAGGTGCTTCGCCTTCGGCATCTGCTATCCGGAGTAGGTACTGGCATGTATGTGTTGCACAGTAGGGTGAGGACTGCAATTTTTCACGCAGTACCACAGTGCACAGGTCCAGTTCACAGTCGACCGCGCCGCACGTTGGTCGTCCCAACGTAGCGGACCTTCCCTCTTTCATCATTACCTTGGTAAAATGTCCCAAGATCGGGTCGGCTTCACGGTCTGAAGGCTCTAAAGAGGGATCATCTGCGAGTCGCATGTTTTGTACCTCTCTGTACACCCTCTGCAGGGTCTCTTCATCTGGTGACCCGGACAGGCGGGGTAATACGCCCTCTTTTCTGTAAAGCTGCCACGATGGGCTAAGAGCCGCGCCGCCATTATCGTCGTCAAACTCCGCTGGCGGTAAGTCCGAAATATCCTGAGCTGTGCCCCGAGTCTTCTTCCCTGACGCCATCGAGCGCCCATCTTCTGTATGTTCGGTTGGCGGGAGGGAGAAGAGGGCCATCTCCTCTAGGTGGTTCAATATGTGGTCACATAGGTTACCTTCGCTCTCGGTTCCGGATTGGGATCCAATTTCCTCCTGACACAAAATGCAGACAGGAGATGCTCTTGGCTCGGTAGGGTTGTCAGATGCGCCGGTCGCTGCGAGGTTCCACGATGAGGCAAGAACAGAAAATAGATCAGGGTGCGGCCTGGCGCTGCTCCGGACCAGGTATGGAATCTGGCTGTCGGTGACAGAGTCAGAATGCGCGGAGCGTATGTGGTCCTCGAGCTCCTCAGAAGAACGATAGACCTCACTCTCGTGCCCCACGATCTGACACGACCAGACCAGGGTGTGTTGCTGCATATGCCTCAGCCACTCATCCGAGGACCGGAAGGATAGGCCATCGTCACCGCAATCAGGAAACAAACAGATGTAAGGCTCAATATCTTTCAGAATATGCCGCCTTGTCCCGTTCGTTAGATTATCCAGTCATTCAAGAACAGAGTCAGTTTGGAGAGAAGGACTTACGTCCAGCGTGGCTCCCTTGTTTCTTTCATGTCGATCGCCCTTGTGCAATACGGACAAAAAGCTTGATCTGAAGATTCATCCGTCGGTCCCGAATATGGGGGCACATCTAGGTTCCTTCTCCGATTCACCGCGGTTTGCGTGATTCCGGACAGGGGTACCGATTTTCCAAAGGATTGGTACCGGCGGCGATCCACAGAAGACGCAACGGTAGCTGAAAAGACGACACTCGGAGATGGTCCTGGATCGAATCCGAGAGCCGGAACGTTTCCAGCCAACCCTTGGGCAGCAGCTGCAGCGCGCTCTGGGTTCATGTGAAAGTCATTACCTCGCTCTCGGACCACCTTTGGCACGCCCTGTTGGAGCTTGCTTTGGTGTCGATGTCGGTAGAGCAATCTTGCGCGGCGGAACGCAACAGAAGACACCAGTCTCTCAACAAGGGGTTGCGGGGCCTTGGGGTACTTGTAGCCGGTCAGCCACCGGGCAAACGAACCAAGCGAATCTAGTTCCTCAGCCTGGGATTGCATGTCCGGACGGTTCACCAGGTCCTGGGCAAACTTCCGAACCCTCTCATTCTCCCTCGATGACACCGGTTTCCGTATTGCCGATGACAGTCGGTAGAGACGACTGATGATATCATTCGCTTTTACGACTGGGCTTGCATCCAGGGGTGGACGCCCTTCCATGCCCAGAACATTGTCAGCCATGTCTAGACTCACCAGCGAGTCGCTGTCGCTGGGATCGCTGCCTTCCGACTCGCCTTCGGATTCCTGTGCAGGCGGCTCCATGGCAAGCTGAAGAGTTTCTTTCAGGCGGCCGAGCAGGTGGCAGAGAACATCGCGAATCTCGTCGTGGTCGCCAGAATGGAGTCTCTCATCGAGGGATGCATGGCTTGGTGCGAGAACACCCATGCTGCCGGCCCAGATGCTCAGTCGCGTCAAGATGGTTTCGAACTCGGATCGTATCTGCGGCGGCAATAGCGCAATGCCCGAGCCCGAGCCTGCTCTTGAGTATGCTCGGTCGGCTAGGGAGGGTGTCTGGATGCCCTTGTTCAAGACGTTGAGCACCTGAAGCAACGCATGCTCAATTGGTGGGCGCATCTCGGGCGATTCGATAGTTGGATGTAGAGATGCGGTAAGTTGTTTGGGGTGGGTTCGTTAGATTTGGCATTAGGTGGTGCCTAGCGCCTTTTCGGGTCGCTGCAGTGAAGTATCTATCTGCGGGCGGGGTGAGCCTGTTTTCGATGTGAAAAGTAACATTTCAGCCGCTGATTGCAAGCTACCCCTGGACCACAAGCACGACTGCCGAGCGAAGCTCACTGTAACTGAACCAACCGCATCTGCACCGTCGTCGTCTGTTTCACCAAAGTGTCAAAAACTGCCGCGAACGAATTGTACAGTATATGGGAGTATAGTCCCAAACAGTTGCCTTGTCTCCGCATCCCAGTTGTTTTAGTGGAAGGCCGGGCCTTGTATGTACGCCAGCGGTCGGCGACTGAAACCACCCTTTTTTTACCATCCAACAGTTTGCTGCGCGAGAGGCCGATTTTTAGCGTCTTGGCATTTCTGACGGGCGGTGCTGCGCCGACTTCCCCTCCTCTCGCCCACCTGCAACTCTGGAATTCCGTCGTAAGCCGGCCGCCTGAGCGCGTAATGTTGTCGGGCTGATAAGGACCAAAGACCAAATGTCGGGGTTTGAGATTGCCGGCATCGTCCTTGCGGTGCTACCGCTGTTCGTCGAGGCCGGCAAGTTCTCGGCGTCGACGGCGTCGCTGCTCAAAAATGCCGCCGGCAGGTCCACCCGCGACCGGAAATTGACCGAGTTCTACGACGAGTTCTACTGGGAGACATACGAAATGCACAAACAAATGGAGCAAATCGTCTCCAGTCTGCCGGATCTGTCCGAGGAACGCAGGATGCAGATCCTCAACGACAGAGAGGTTCAGTCGTGCGTCGACGGTTGGGCTGCCGGCAGCGATCTCGCTCAGGCCCTGCACGCCTTTTTTGCCAGTGACAATGATGTCGCCGTCTTCCTCGAGACCATGGATAAGGTCTTGCGACTTTTCTACCAGCTTATCGAAGACGAGACAGTCAAGATCTCAAAGTCCGATATAGTAAATATCTTCCCGGAGCATTCGAGCCGGTGTCAGATGCCAGCCAGCTGACCACGCTGTCTAGGACTTTGAGAGGATGTCGGAGAAGATGAAGATTTTCCAGGCCCAAAAAGCTCAGCCTAGCGGATTCTGGGAACGGCTGAGGTTTCTAAGGCGGGAAAAACGACGGGACATCTGCCTCGCGAACTTGCGTAGGTGGAGATGCAGACTTGAGCGGACCATTGACTATGCCACCAGGAGAGCAGAGAAGCAGAACCACCATGGACACCATCCCACCGGGGACGGGCTGGCAGACTCCGAAGCGGAGCATCTGCTCCACCTTCGATCTATGTCGAAGAGGCTATTTCGGACCCTATCGGCGTACTGGGTTTGTGGCTGCGGGATAGCCCATCAAGCACGACTGTCCTTAGCCGCCGCCTCCGAGAGGACGCCCCCTAGATTGAAACGGACAGAGCTGGACCTAGCATTTCTCATCAAGGGACATGGGCCTTGGAATGAAATGTTGGTTGTCATGAAGGATATCTCGTATGTTGCCACCAGACATCCACCGCATAGCAGAAAATAATACTGGATGCTACAGAGCAATGACGACACAATGTTCCGAGTTGGGGCCAATCTGTGCTGCTATTGAGGCTATAAATGGCAGAGCAGCCCAGTACGGTCTACGTCTCGTGGTTGAGGACTCCGAAACTCCGTGCACGCCGCGGAGGATCTTTCTACTGGAACCCGCGCCGCGGAAGCTCGGGATTCCTACCGTGGCAGCGCCCGTCTCCTTGAGGGACTTGCTTCTTGCGACACAACAGCCGGGAGAACTTCTTACTAAGCGCCGGCTGGCTCTGACATTGGCATATTCGGTTCTCCAGTTCCACGAAAGCGCGTTCTTCAGCAGCAACCCATGGAGCGAGGACCAGATTTTCTTCTTCCATTCGCCCGCGTCGAGAAACGCGATTAATTACCAACAGCCCTATATCGAGTCGGCTTTTGGAGATACGGAGGGTGGTATCCCAGGTAGCAGCGGAGCGACTCCAGGAATCTTCCATCCCAATATTGGTATCCTCAGACTGGGGGTGCTGCTTATCGAGTTGCACACCTGGCTGCCGATCGAGAAGTTCCGGGATGGCCAAGACACCACTCCAAACGCAGATTATGCGACAGCCCTGCGAGTATTGGACATGGCTTTGGGAGACTGTTTCCCCACGTATAAGAGCGCGATCCGTGCATGTCTGGATGTCGATTGGGTACCGGCCGGCTCGAGAGTCAGCCTGGAGGACTCGACGACGTGTGACGGTCTCTATCGAAACGTTATCCTTCCCATACAGGAGGAAATTGAATGGGGCGAAAGAATGGCCAGAAAGCATAGTAGTGTGGCTAGACTAGGCGTTCCTTAATCCAATTTTTCTGATCGAGAGTTGCTGCTTCAAGGTCATCGACGGTCGCCCATCCTACCCCGAATCACAGCTGGGTTTCGCTCTTGCCGAATCTCGCGGTGCGGTGGAGCAGGGCAAAAAAGCAAATCACCCCACGATGTTGCTGACCTCGCAGACCTCAACAGGGCAGCATGTGGCGCGTACCGCCTATCAAAGAGGAGCGCCTAGCTTCGATGTCAACGGTATGCACATTTGTGAAAGTACAAGCAACTGCGGAGCGCTGGTGGTGTTTATTGACTACCTAAGTAAAGGAAGACGCCAGAGGCTAAAGAGCGGTGATGGGCTGGCACCCATGAGGGTCACACTTCCGGTGGACGGAGCATCGGCACGCAAAAGACACAGTGTTATAAACGCCCATCTGAGGAACTGAGATGTCTCCAAACAGGACTCAATCTTCCAAGAATCCTTACCCCCTAGTCAGAAATTACCACTTGGACTTCACATACTATGGCCAGGAAGCGCATCAAGCCCTGCAAAAGTTAGTAAACACAACCGGACCACATGAACGACTAAAGAGAAAGCAAGGAAAAAGGAACTCACAGCCATCAACATCCTCCCGCACTGTAGCCGGAATCGTGCACCGATTCGCCGTAGCCACAGCCTGGGTCTTGAGGCCATCACTCAGCAGGGCGCGCGAGTCCATGGTACGCTGCAGGGCATCGCCCTTCCAGCCAAAAACGTAATCCGCATGCGTGCCATACCCCTTGGTGTCGCCGTAGCTCCAGACGAAGGGCTGCGAGCCGTCGGCGGGCCACAGGTTGCGGTCGTTGAACTGGCGCGTGTCCCACATGGTCTCGAGCGCGATGTGCGGCATGCGCACGGGGTGCGACGACGGGCACGCCCGGTGCGCCACGAACCCGCCCGTGCCGCTGTAGTACATGTGGTCCTGGTGGTTGGGCGAGTCCAGGTTCTTGCCGTCCCAGCACGCGGGGAAGTGGTGGATCGCCATGATCCCGGCTGGACAGGGCGATGTAGGGAACGTGGTCGTCTCGGGGAAGCGCGTCATGATGTCCTGCAGACATGTGTAGTGGAGGTTGGGCGCGTTGCCGCCCGTCGTGGTGGGGCTGCCGACCGTCATGCGGAAGCCCTGGGATGGGAGAGGAGGGTTAGCTCCGGAACTTGAAGCGGGTAGGGTACTAGGGCTGAGGAGTGATGGGGCTGGGGGGACATACGGGCTTGAAGCTGGTGATCTTTTGGTTGCCGTTGGAGTTGAAGTCGGCTTGCATGTAGTACACAGTCATGCCGCCGGTCATGCTGCCGAGCAGGGCGTTGGGGTATTGGGGCACACGTTTGTAGGAGCCGTTGCGGGCCTTGAAGTACAAAACGGCGGTCCAGTAGTTGCTCAGGTCCTCGCTATGATAGGCAGATTAGAGACTGCTACAGCCTTGCGAGCTGACAGGGACTGAGACCGACCTGAAGGTGCAGGAAGTTTATGTGGCTTTCTCAGCAATGTCAATGGCTGGGTCCATGGTTGCATTGATCGCGTTGCCACCGACAATCTGATGGACGTGGGCAGAAGGGATGCTGCTCTGGCTCGACAAGAGTGTCGATGCGCTGCTGGGATGTTAACCTCACCTTGGCAACTTCGGAGTGTTTAAACCTTACCTGGTTTGAGATGGTAGCACATCCTAAAGCTTATATTCTCCTTTTAAGCCCAGAGAGGGCGAGAAGAGAAAACAACTTCATCTTTCAGGGATGGAATTGATTGCTCGCGGCTGAGATGGAGATTCTGAAGAGGAAAAAGGGAAAGAAAGCCACGATCGTGAGATGGGAGACCATGGTAGGTATTAAATAATCGGGTGGCCTGTTTGTTTTTGTCTATGCCAACAGCTTGACTTGCATTCGTCAAAGTTGATTCAACCGGTCCGATTCAAGGCGCCAATGACCAAGTCCAGGACTGTCTGGCCAAGGTGATTGTCATATCTGTCACACAACACATCGATATTTCCTGGAATTATCCAGATAAGGAAAGTAGAAAGTGAGTGCGAATGGATTCAGACGATGGGGTGCAACTACCCCCGCACGAGGGCACGTTAATATGCTATCAAGAGCAAGCTGGGACCGGCTGTTGTTGGGCGGGCACTGACGACGCTGGGAAGACGGCCCACACTGGAGACTCGAGTGAGGCGGCAGCTGCGCGTTGCCTCTTGGGTGGTTCAAGTAATATGATCTTAATCATAGGCTAGAGTCTGGTTGGATAACGCGTCGGTAGGGGCCAATTCCGGGACTGGTGATCCTCTGGTCAAGCCTTGCGTGTCATACCTTTCTGCGCGTTTCCTGCGAGCAACGAGCGCGCCAATACTTTACATGTATTGAACAAACGATCACTGGAAGCCCAGTTTCTCGTCAGGAGTCAAGAAAGTGGTGCCGTTTCGAGTCTCAAGGTCTTTACTATTGAGCATAGATATACTTTCTCTGGCTTTCGGAAAGCCAAGGGGACCTTCTAGACGATACAAACAGCAACGGGTTCCCAGTCTGAGTAGCCGACTTTCCCACTGGGCTCAGCCCTCAAGTGATAGATGATAAACACGCCCTCTCCTGTCCCTGTCGTCGTGCTAATGGTGTTATTCTCGGATCTCCTTCCGAGCCCGAACCGGAATGAAACATTGACGGGCTTGCCACATCATGCTCGTGTGTCAGGTGTGGTACTACGTTTGTTGTGATATTAACCGCAGGGCCAAGGAAACAGGCAACGCGGTGGTTGGCCAATGTACCATTATTCAATCTCGACCCCAGACATGCGGCTTGCAGTCACCCCTCGGCAGTGCCATCGACGCCGGCAGATAAGCGATGATTGTGGGTCGTTCGGAGCCAGAACCCGGCTTCGGGACTGTCGAGTTATGGAATGAGGAAACAGAGTTCTTAGATGCAGAAAAGCGACCCGGATATTTCTGGGGCGAGTTGCCGTCTGCACCCCATATGCGGATTGTTCCGATCTCCATGTGATCAGGGAGGTCTGGTTCTGTTGTCTCCAATCTGCTTCGTTGTTTCTCCCCGACGAATCTTCCTTGGGTGTAATACTATTAGTTACCCAAGATACCTGTCTGATGGTTCACTGGCTCCCCTGCGCTAATACCCGGCAAAGAAACCTCTTTCAAACCATCATTGCTTATCCGGGCCTGGTTATGTCTATTATATCCTCTCTTCTTTCTCTCAAGGGCTATAAAAGGAGAGAAAAAAAACAGAAATTCTATAACTAGTATCAGTCAGCATTACTGTAATAACACCACATCTAATAAGCACAACGTCTAACTCCACATTCACACACTTAGTAACTTGATGTGATATATAGGTAGGCTTTCGGTACAAGCCCCACTGTAAGTGATATGGCGGATATGGGTGGGGGTGTTCTAAATGGTTTCCTGCCGTCGGCCGGAAAGTTGGCCCTCCAGATTCACACTTTGGGCATCCCCCTTGGCCCAGGAGTAAGAGGGATGACACAGGGAACAGAGCTACAATACTAGGCGGTATATTTCCTCACCAGCTGTTCTCTGTGACCGAGACGGTGGTGAGCTGCCTTATCATCCCACTGTCATCTAGAACTCATGTTTCTCCCTCTCCCACACCTAAAGACTTCCAGTATGTTTCCAGTTGCGTATTTCCTAGCAATACGGCACAACAACCGTTAACAAAATTTGCACATTTTGTAGTGTACTAATCGACAGCTTCAAGAACCGGCTATGGGCCAAGACATGAACTAAGAACGCACGATTGTCCGAGACCGAGGCTGCCGGAAGGAGGTTTGGCCTTTTTTTTTTTCTAATTGCGAGGTGGAAGAGCTGAGCATAAAGACCCGCCCCTCAAAATGAAGATTCAGATGGCATGACTGGATGCGTACACACGAAGCGGTCTGTGGAGGCAAAACGTGCATGACGCGACCTTGATTTAGTCATGTAAGTTCAACGTCAGTAATTGTGTCATATGACAACCGCCAGGCTATGACACTGGAAGTCTAGGTATCAGAGGTCACTGTCCTCGTCTCCCTTGATGTAGTGGAAGGTGTCCTGATCGTTCAATATATCGTGCCAACTGCGCCCTGCCCTCGTCTGTGGCATGCGTCTTCCGATCGCCGCCGAGAGGAAGAAGACGATAAGTCCAAGTGTAGAGTGCGGTCGCCAAATGTTGCGATCAAGGTGAGACAGCGTAACTCCGGGGGGCCGTCGCCGAGGTACCGCGCGAGAGAGATTGGCGGAGTCGGTTGGCGTCGACGCTGGAGAGTATGGCCGTTGGGCTGGGAGAAATGCGAGTGGTGGGACTGGTTGGTTGTTCTCGGCTTCGGTTCACTCGCTCACGCGACCCCGCCCGAGCAGGGGGTAGGAGGAAAAGCAGGATACAGCCGCTTGAGAGACGACATGTGGGGGCAGAACTCGGCGTAAAGCCTCCCGAGTCAACAATCCCCAACTCTCTGAGCTTAGCCGAAAGACGCCAAGCAAAGGGAAGAGATCTCCATATAATCAACAGCTGCGTCATCAGGTCGAGGGTATGGTGCTGAGAACCTTTGGAAATACGTCCCCGCCAACCTCACAATGGCTCGACCAAACCTCTGGGCCCTCACCCTCCTTGCTGGCCTCTCGGCCGCCAGATACATCGTCCCCGGCGGCAGGTGGCGCGACACGGATGGTAACCTTGTCAATGCCCATGCTGGATGTGTGACAATCGACAAGGATACCGGCAAGTTCTGGTTATTCGGCGAGTACAAGGTTGAAGACCAGCCCGAAGGCGGGGGTGTTGCCGTCTACAGTTCAGATGATCTTGCAACGTGGGAGAGTCACGGCCTTGCGCTAAGTTTGTCTTAACGTATTTGTCCTTACCTCCGTTTCTGCTGACTGTCGCGTGTAGCCCCTGTCCCGGAACATCACTACATCTCACCATCCCACATCATCCAGCGGCCAAAGGTGGTTTACAGCGAGGTTACCAATGAGTATCACGTAAGCACCTGGGCATCCATCCGCCGTTTCAATGCACAGACCGACTTACAGAGGGCAGATGTGGTGGCACGCGGATAATGGGACGTATGGATTGCTGCTTCAAGGGTTCGCCCATTCTCCGAATATCTCGGGCCCCTACACCTTCGTGAGCGCCACCGCGCCGCTGGGCAACTGGTCGCAGGATTTCGGCCTCTTTACCGACTACAAGGACGGAAGGTCGTATGCACTGTATTCCAATGGGGACCGCAAGGAAGGCCGAGATGTCTACCTGAGTTCCTACAACGAGGATAAAACGGCGCTGGAGAAGGTGATCCACCGTTTCGACAAGTATGATCTAGAGGCCCCCACCATTGTTCAGACCGAGAAGAGCTACTACGCTCTCATGAGCCACAAGACCGGCTACCGGCCCAACAACGTTGTGGCTTTCCGCGCCGATTCTCTCACGGGGCCATGGTCGCAGCCGTTTATGGTGGCGCCGCTCAATACCCGGACGTACAACTCGCAGTCGGGCTTCACGTTGACAATCAAGGGAAAGAAGAAGACAACGCACCTGTACCTTGGCGACCAGTGGGATTCCAACTCGCTCTGGGACAGCCGCTATATCTGGCTACCCATGGAAATTGACGACCACAAGAAGACACTCCAGTTGGTGTGGAACGACGTGTATGATTTGAATGTGGAGACCGGCGAGTGGTCGCCCGTCAAGGGCAAGACGTACTTCGCGGCCGACGCTAAAACATCTGGGGGCGCGTTCAAGCAGGAGGCCAACTTCGCTAGCAAGGGAGCTATCGTCACGGGCATTTACGGTAACGACAGCACCATCACGTTCAGGGGAATCGAGGGCACTGGGAAACCACAGTGGGTGTCATTCTACTACCAGAACTCAGACGACATGGGGTTCGGCGATCAGCCCGGTGGCACGCCAGACCGGATCGGCGGGAACTGGCAGCTACGCCGCATTTCGAGTGTGGTGCTCAACGGCGACACGGAAAAGGTTGAGACGCTATATCAGAGGGATACCCACAAAGGCATCATCCTATCCACGCCGCTGCTGTTGCCGCTAGAGAAGGGGAAGCACAATACGATTACCGTGGGAGGGTTGTGGAATGGATTTGATTATAAGGGGGCTGACGTGGACAAAGTTGTGGTGTATCCTGCAGAGAAAGATCGCAAGGGGTGAAGGAGGATGGCAAAATACCTCTCTGGAAGCTATAACGTACTTGATAACTGTCTATGCCGTGTAGCTTGGCTTCCGCTTTTGCCCACCCTGTGCAATCTTCCACCTGTCGAACAAAAGTAGGCCGCATTTCGGACAATCCTATTCACAGATCTACGTCACACAACAGGACAGGCTCCTGTCCGTCCGTACACACCCCACCGACTGCTGCAGGCGCACAGTAAGGCTCTATCTTTGCGCCTTTCATAGCGCACTCTGATCCAAGCTTTCGTTAGTATCTGGCAGTGATTCACAAGGTGGTCGAGGTCCCTTTACCCATCCAGCATCTCCGGGTCCAATATGGGTCCAAGGACAAAGGTACTAGGTAGGTACTCACTTCCGTGGTTAATTCCGCCCACCGCATCAACAAAAAAAGAACATTCATCGCCTGGCTGGAGCTTTTGATCGGTATTCTCGATTGTGCATGCTTCGGTGTCGTCGTTTGCAACCCCGTTCGTCCAAGCGTGGGCACCGGTAGATAGGGCGAGGACAATAATAGCGGTGAGCTGCATTGTAACAGGATAACGATCTGGAGGAGCACTAGTCTGTAACAAAACTTTTATGGATTGTGAGTCCCTCAGGGTACCGTTGTCTGGCGTTGAATGTGGTTTTCGGAATATGGGTGAAAGTCCAACTACCAAGAAGGGTCAGCAGCCTACTTTATACTACTTGACTCATCTCGTTCAGATACCAACAGACTTGAGTCCTGCAGGTTTGCGTCCAACCATCCCAAAGAGTTGTGTTGGAGCCTAAACTTGAGTTTTGCAGGTTTACGTCTAACCATCTCAAAGAGTTGTGTTGAAGCCTAAACCAACATTCGCCCAGACGGCCGCTCGCGGCGCCCAGTGGTCCGACCAAGGCCTGGGAGTCCGAGCATGCTGGAAGTAGAAAATTTGCTGTTTGACGTGTGCCTTGGAAAGGAGCCACCGATTCCAGTGTCCCCATTGCCGTCGGGCTGTGCCGCGATCCAAGTCCGATCATCCGACGTAGCCAAGTACAGACCACCCACCTACCTATTTTTCGAACGCGGTAGCTCCGTGACCTGGTCGTTCACTCGCCGCGTAGAGTGTAGCTGGCTCACCCTAGCTGATTGGGCTGGGTCTGCTTAACGCCGTCAGAGGCTGGCCGGAGCCAACCACACGTGAGTGAACCATTCTGAGGGGAGCATTGCATCGGCGTGCGTCTGTCTCCGGTCCAATAGGGTGCGCTGGGTATGCACCCAAGCTGTACGTCTTCAGCCGCACGCTTAACTCCACACGAAACAGCTAATTATGCCTTACCACTAAAAAATTCTTTGAGCCATCTCGCGCCTGATATTGAGAGCGGAACTTGGGGAAACTCTGTTTATCACACGTCCCCAAACCCCTTGTCAAGTTACAGAACCAAAATCTCACCTACCTACCTAATTTTGGGCCGCGTATGATAGGCCCCAAGATTCGCATCTGACCCAGCGAAGACGCAAGGGATCGGTCACACGGACCGGAGCCTTGAACCACCTGTTCCCATATCACACCCAACCACCATGCCACCACCAAAGACTTACATTCTCCCACCCACCTTCGACTACCCCCCCAACTCCTCCATCCGCCTCGGCAACCTCCTAACCGAACCCTTTACCCCGCACCGACCCCTCGCCGTCCTCCCCGCCGAATCCCTCCCCGACATCGCCACAACCACCCAAACCAACCTCACCATCACCCACACCACCAACCGGGGCGCCTCGCTCTCCCTATCCGCTCACCTCCTCGAACTCGCCGGCCTCAAAGCCGCCTCAGAGTTCTCCCTGTCCGGCAGCACCACGTACTCGGCCGCCACGGTGACGACGCGCTTCTGCGAGCCCGACGAGGCGGCCATCCAGAATCTAGTCATGGCCACGCCGCGCGCGAAGCGCATCCTCTTCCCTAGCCGTGGGATTAGCGGACGGTTGTTTGTGATTACGGGTATCAAGACTGCGGAGGGATTTTCCGTGTCGAGGGAGAGTGGGGTGCGGCGTGGCGGGACGCTGGGGGCGGATGTGCCGCTTGCGGCGGCCGTGCCGGGGTTGGCGGTGGGTGCGGAGGTGGGGGGGGATAGAGAGAAGGGGGATGAGGAGGCGTATGCGGTTGAGGGAGAGGTGGTGATTGCGTATAGGGTGGTGGTGGTGGGGAAAAGGGGGTGGCGGCGGGGAGGGGAGTTGGAGTTGGTTGAGTATAGGGGGAAGGGTAGGGAGAGGATGCTTGGTGACGATGATGCTAATGCGGGGGATGGGGAGGAGATGATTGAGGTTACGGAAGCAGGGAGTGAGGATATTGGTTATGAGGATGACGATGGTGAGGTGAGTGTCAAAAAGGCTGTGGTGGAGAGTGAGGAGGGCGAGGTGGTGGTTTTTAGTATGGAAGATGAGCTGTTGGAGGGTTAGAGATTAGATCTAACGTAACAGGGTATTGGTATTGGTATTCGCTGCTCCTTTCCAACACCTCCTAGTAATTGAACTAGATTAGTCTGCCCCCTGTCAGTTCTACCACTTTTCCGGGTGTCTCCCAAGTGCTGTCTTCAGCTTTGCCAACCTCACATCCTCGCTGAGCCTGAAGAGATTGAACGGTGCGACATAATGACGATGATCCCCTGCGTGAACGCTGATCTCTGTGTGGCAGTCTTCTCAGCCTCTGCGACGAAGGGCGTGTGGGGGACTATGATGTTGACAAACCTTTAAACATCTCAAAAACGCCGCGGCGGGTGCGCATGAGTTTCAGATCGCCCGGTTCAAAGTCCCGAGGCCTCGCCGCGGCGTACTCAAGAAGCATAACAGCAATTGCAACGGCGATGGGTGTTGCAACTGAACAGCCTGACATGAGCTTTCCGGTTTCCAACCCTGGCCAATCTGATAAGACGTCGACACCCAACGTGCCAAACACAGGTTCATCAGAAGTCGTGGGCGGGTTGTACTTGGATTCGAAGCCGCCGGCCCTGTTGGTCCCTCGGACCGAAATGACGGACTCCCCTAGGTTGGCCGGGAACATCTCCCTGCTGTTGAACCCGTCGTTGTTGGCGGCTGCGAAGAAGGTGATCGCACCCCGCTTGTTATGGACTACATCTGCTATGGCGTCCCGAATCCCTTGAACGTGCCTGGAGAACCCAAAGGACAGAGAGATGAAGTCTACATCCCACTCCAACCCAGCGACTCGGATTGCTTCAGCAATACTAGCTTCAGCTGAATTAAGAGTCTTGCTATTCTCGGTTACGCGTGCGACGTAGATATGGGCAGGACACTCTAGCTGCAGGAGAAGTGTGAGCAGATGAGTCCCGTGGCCGTCCGTATCAACTGGGTGGGGAGACGAGCAGGCGAAATCTCTCCATTCCTTAATCCTTCTGGAACGACCAGGAAGGTCAAATGATGGTGAACTCTCGTCATATCCCGTATCGAGAATAGCAATCTTAAACGGGCCACTTCTTGTTGAACTCTTTTTCCTTTCCCTCTTCAGCATTGTGTTCAGAACAGCCACCTCCTCCAGCCATGGGTCCTTTTCAGGAACCGGTGGAGTTGCTATTTCCGAGATGCTGATTTGTGCGGCAGGTTTCGAAGTCTTCACTGCCCTGGGTTTTGGGACCAGGGCTGTCCGTTCGAAGTCGTCGAGTTCGGCATCCCACCCTGTTCCTTCGATCAACTGGCGTAGTGGATCCACGATTTCGTGGTAGAAAATGGAGCGCCTCTTTTCCAAGTTCTCAGTGGGCTCACTGGGGTTAAACGGGGCGTGTCGGAATAGCATCGGGTCGAGACACTTGTTCACCGCGGTTTTATAGCGCGGAAACCTGCAATCTTCATGGAACTCGCCGCTACTGGCAAGTTTCTGGAAACTCAGAAGTTGTTGATTGGATGTCCTTGGGTCCCACTGATCAGGATGTCCCTCCATCTCGAACCGCTGCCCAGTTGCGATCTCGACCAACATGATGCCGAGAGCGAGAATACGTGGGTACCTATGAATCATGCCGACAACCTGGCGACATTCCACGGTTTGACTGACCCCCGGTGGCAGTTGAGCTGAAAGGTAGGGCTTACAAAAGTAGACGACCTCATCCTCGAGCGCCTCGCCCATAAAATACACGCTGTTCTTGGTCATGCCCATGTTCGTCCACTCAGAGTCGTAGTAATACCAGGCCGCTTTTGCTAGGATGTATGCGAGAACTGGCCTCATTCCGTGCCGCATGTGAAACCGATCGAGCACTTGGCCGAGATGAAGACCCGGAGAGGCATCAAGCCTGACGGTATGATGGCTCACGAGATCGGTAGCCTCGCGCAGAACCTTCAGGTGATCACTGGCGGCTTGGAAACACAAGAGCGACCCGCATCGGCTGGATAGGAGCGTACATAACGTTTCGATCCGTTCATAGGTTTTGGTATCTGTCCCTCCGAGTTGATTCGCCTGACGCGGGAGAGAAAGTGCATGTTCTTCTGCCCATTGGACTCTCCGTGGCGACTTGTTCTTGCTGGTGGGGACGAAGACTCGCACATCTTGCCACTCGAACTGAACTGTCCGAGATGGGTTTGGCAAAACCGAAAGGAGTATGTCGAAGGATATTTGGTTGTGCTTATCTGCCTGATATAGTGCCTTTAGTCGAAGCCGGGCCCAGTGGTGGTCGTCATAATTTTGGCGCTCGCAATTGCAAGAACCATACCGTACGAGAAGTTTGTACAATGCCTTTGCGTACTTCTCGTAGCCGGCCAAGTCGTCCTTTCCTGAATGCAATTCGGGGGCGGGGATCTGTTCAGGCTCGCCATCGTCTTCCTCCCCGATCCGGGACACCTCCATGAAGGCAGAGAAAATGTCATTGTAGTCAATCTTGTTCCTCGACAAAGCACTTTTTATGCTTGACTCAATGACCGGGGCGTGTTTGCTCTTTTGTCCCCCATCACTAGCGTCCTCAATTGCTGCCGCGATATTTGTCAAGAGAGGAAAGTCGACATGTCCCCCAAGGTGCACATTACGCGGACCAGTCCGGATCTTGGGGGACGAGGCTGAGAGCGCTGCCTCAAGTTTCTCGAGGAGGCGTTGGATGAGACCATCATGTTCAAGACGGCGCTTCTGTGAGTCTGAAAGTGAAAGAATTCTTTCGGCCAAAATGCAAAGATGCGCTCCTAGCTTGCCCAACTTGGGATCTACCTTTTGGCTGGCGACTCTGGTGATCAGAACCGATAGCCAAGGGAATGTCTGCTGGGCGAGCCGGACCGAGGAATAGCGGTTATTACCCATGGCTGATAGGACATGGTTAGGATGAACTGTGAGTCCGGGACGACTCATCATTACATCCGAGCCTCGGTCACGGCGATTTCTCGCGGCTTCGCATGGGTCGAAATGTGAACTCAACGTAAGTACGGAAGAAGTGAGTGCTCTTTCAGGTCCCCCGCAGATTCCCGGGCACGTGGTTGGTCAGCCAGGCACATCAAGCCAGGGGAAAAGGAGGGGAAGCCGGCCGATGAATCCGTAAGACTAGGCGGATTGAGAAATGCGGGGAAGCCAGAACCTGCTTCAGCTTTTTGGTTACGCCCATTTGTATTCAAAACGAAAGCGCAAGGTGATGTGCCTTCTGCAGTCAACGGATGACTCCCGTCAACCTTTCAGGGAGGAGCGGTCTCTGCTTGCTTCATCTCATATCGCCCTAGTAGAGTCATGGATAACTCCCGGGACGACGGGTCGATATTTGAAGCGACATCAGCATGTCGCCAGCGTCTCAGAGAATGCATCAACAACCCAACCTTGATGGTCGATGAATGGCCCCGAAAACGGCTCGCCGACTTTAATCTTTGGGCCTCCGATTCTGGAGCCTTAGCCAAGAAGCGTGCGTCCTTGGATCGAAGACTAGCAGAGAAACATACGGTGCGCGAGGTTATCCTTAACCTGCTAAATCTCCTCGAGAGCTTACTGGCCCGTTGTCTAAGCCTGGGTAGAGGTAGGTAACCAGAACCATTCTTGAGAATCCCCCCCGGATTAGTTTACTGAGTAATTACTAACCATTATGGCAGCGCCTGGTACACCCGTAGATGGGGCTGAGGAGATAAACCTCGCAGAAACGTTCGAAAATGTCGAAGATATCATGGCCCAGCTAGTCAGGATCTCAGCTGCCATCCGTGGGGCTAGCATGGGGGCACGCTTTCAGAGGGCTGACGAATCGTTTAGTCAGGAGCGCCATACAGAGCTCAGGAGCCACTTGGAATTCCTGGTTCAGGTTGCGTCCTTGGCCGAAGGGGAAAAAGCAGGGGGGAATATTGACATCGTCTTATCTCGGAACATGACAGACATTGCACAGCGGCTTATATTGGCTAATCTGATCAGGCGTCACCGGTTTCTCTATGCTCGACGACGTTGGACGAAACAAGCAGCCGAGGACGAGGCCGCCGCGAAGCCACAGGTAGTGGTAGAGGACGCGACACTATCAGAACAGAACCGCGGGTTATGGACGTATACCGTGACCCCGGAAAATGGGGGTCAGGAATCCAAGACGAAATTGTCAGCACCTTCAGTTATTACCAGCACCGTCCCGACAGCCATACAAGGCCCAGTACAGATACCACAAGGCAGGCAGTTATCCATGACTGTCCCATCGTCGACCGGTTCAAAGGCCACGTACCCCAAACCCCCCAAAGTCGGCGAGGATGCCATGTTCTTCAGATGCCCTTGCTGCTTCCAGACACTCCCTATTACATTTGCAAAGCGATCTCGATGGAGGTAAGACTAAAACCTTGCGATCTTGTAAAAATTGGGAATAATCGTACTGACAATATTTGACCTTTGTTATATCTAGGAAACATCTCGCGGAGGATATCCACCCTTATACTTGCATCTTGGATGACTGCCCAAAACCACTCCAACTGTACCTCTCGAGGAAAGAATGGACACAACACATGCGAGAAGAACACGAAGTATCCAAGTACTGGTTGTGCTCCGCCTGTCTTGAGCCGGTACGATTCGAGCTCGAGAGCCACTTTTATACGCATCTCCAAACTCAGCATCGGGAAGTTGTCCCCGAAGACCAAATTCCCACCCTCGTGTCCATGTCTACCTACTCAACACCGCCGTCGTTACTCTCCTGTCCGCTGTGCCCATCGCAACCTGACGACGAAGAAGACGACCCCAGTGCTCTCCTAGACCATGCTGCGGAACATATACACGCATTCTCACTCCAATCCCTCCCTTGGCCAATTCTGGAGGAGGGTGAACGACAATATTTGGGGTTACCAGGAGATAACCTCTCGGATGACGTCGAATTTTTCGACGTTGCCTCCGGCCCCGACAGCGCCGATCACTCCTGGTCTTCCAACTCGCCAGATAGCCGCCTCGATGATGAGATGGGAGAAATGTCAGACCTGACCTTCGAAGACGAGAACCCCGATGGTAAGTCGGCTTGTTCGAGTACCAACAAAATACCTAGATTGCTAGTGGTCATCCGCTGATAAATACTCGTAGTACCATGGGAGCCATACCGCGGTGAGGAATCTGAGTTTTCAGACTCTCCTTCCGACGAGGTGCATGATGACATCATCAAAGGTAATTTCCCTTGCGCAGGAGGAATTATTACAAATCGATCCAAGTGTAGAATGCACGGAGATGTACTGCGTGAATCACGGTCCTTGCTTTTCTGTTATATTCCTGCTTACCTGTGGTATCGCCCGCACCACTGAACGCTGACCTTCTTCTCAACATCATAGACAAGGCCATTCGTCTCGCTCAGGCGCTCAAAAACGATCTCGACGTACCTTTCAGGGAACCGCTCATCAACATTCTCCCTACGCTGACGCATGAGCAGATGATGGGGCTACGACGTGCGTATAAATTGCTCGTCAGGGCGGGGCGAGAGCGGAAGGGTGTAAATATTGCCAAACATATCCGTGTGCGACTCCAAAACTGGGACGAGGACCTCATGGAGGCCTGCTACGCTACTGCGCTGGGCCGCTGGGAGTCAGAGGCGTACTGGGCGAATATCTGGCGCCATGACGAAAACTCGAGATACGAGCTGCTGATTGAGGCGTTGATGGGTCGAACGAATGGCGAGATTCGTTTGATTAAGGGGGCCTTTCGCGATAAGAAGTATGGTAATAGTCTCGCGCGTTGCCTACGTGGGGAACTGGTGGAGAGTAAGTTTAAGAAGGCCGTACTGATGGTACTAGAGGAGACGCGTATGGAGGAAAGGAACCAGGCGGGAGAACCGCTACGGATTGACTATCATTTAGTTAAGGATGATGTCGAGAAGCTGAATGCCAGTGTGCGAAGCGAGAAGGGTGGCGAGAGCCAAATGATAGCAATCATTACGCAACGGAGTGACAGCCATTTAAGGGAGGTACTCAGGCTATATACGGAGACGTTTTCCGGGGCGAACTTAGCAAAGGAAGCCTTAAAGAAGAGTGGGAATTTGGTTGTGAGTCTTACCCATCCCTGTCAAACTACACGAGTCAACGGAAGGCTAATCAACACAATGACAGGGTGAGGTACTGGCGCATATCTTCAATGGCGTTATCAATAGGCCTGTACGGGATGCTATGCTGCTCTACCATGCCTTAGAGCCATCCAAGCCTGGCGATGGGCGGCGAAGGCTGCTGGTCTCGCGCCTTATACGCTACCACTGGGATGGCAGGTACATGGCGATCGTCCAGCGGGCATACCGCCAGAAGTACGGCGAAGATCTGAGGGATACGGTGCGCGAATTTGTGGGCGGGGAGCTTGGTGAGTTTTGCCCAGGCCTTATGCGTGGTACACAAACAGGATCTTGCCGCTCTCCGCGAGGAGATGGAGCAAGGCAATGGAATCACATCTGCATTGTAGGGTACCACGCATTCTCTATTCCGAACACTGACCTGCGAGGGTTTATCTTGGTCGTCTTCCAACAATGGTGTCGCTGTTGGTCCCATACCGAGAGGAACGGAAGATGATGCGACGCTTATCTAGATGATAGCTAGTCGTGGTGCCCGTCTTAGCTCTGCTTGGCCACCTAATTCCAACATAGGCGAGGCAGTAAACAAACAGATCCACCGTTAGAGCTGCTAGTAAAACTCCAATATTCGAATTTTCAACAGGCTATTTGACAAACAATCGAATACCAGTCAAATCCTTGGTCTCACGGCAGACTCATAAACAACTCCAAAAGTTTTGGATATATTGGTGACCTAAAGACAATGATGGTTAATTACTCCTCCAAACAGTTTTCCGATTAAAAAAAGAACTCACCCTAGGCCCGTGACAGGGTCCCATCCTTCTTTCACCTTGAACCCGTCGCCACCGCAACCGGGATTTGATCCACTGGTGATGTCTGTAAACACCTCCGGATGTTCATACTAGGGCGTCATCAACATGGAAAGCTCGCTGTCGGTATTTCGAGCCACTTACCAAAACCTGGTGCACAAATCCAACCGTACTTTTGCCAGCGGCCAACCGCTCCTCGTTGACGAGCGTCAAAATGGACGCCCAGACCGGCGTGGAAACCGACGTCCCCCGCATCCGGTTAGGATACCCCCGAAGCACCACGCGAAAATTCTCCCCGATGGCTGCCACATCCGGATACCCCCTCCCGAGCTTGTTGAACAACTTTCCCCTCCCGGGCGGCGGCCTCAAGCTGTCAAACCCCAAGCCCCCTGCCCCATCATACCCTAAATCCGACACGTTCGCCCTAACCAAATACTCCTTAACATGGCGATCCTGCCACTTCGGTCGCTCAAACACATTCGAGAACCCACCCCCCGACGAGAACGACTCAGCCGCCACCTCCAGCAACTTCACCTCGGCATCAGGATCCGCATACTCAGGCTCCACCAACGCCGTAGCCCCTACACTCAACACATACGGACAATTCCCCATCACGCGCGGACTAAACACATCCTTGGCCTCACCAAGACACCCAGCCTGGGGCTCAAAGCGCTTGCCACCCACACCAAAGTCGCCCGAGGACTCGACCACCGTCACGCCCTGCAGCGCGAGCTTCATCACCTCGAGGCACTGCCGCCGCATGTAGTTGGCCGGCCACGAGTGCTCGGTGCCGCTGTAGCTGATGGAGATGACGTTGGTGGGGGGGTAGCGCCCGCACATCAGCGGGCCCTGGTAGCCGCCCTGGGAGGGTGGCGCGTTGGGGTTGGGGTAGATCGGGTCGCGGCAGGCGTTGGTCGCGCAGTTGCCGGTCATGTTGAAGGCGTTGAGGTGGCAGTAGGATTCGTCGATTGCGTCGAAGAAGGCTGGGAAGGGAAGCACGCCTAGTTTTAGCGTTATGTGTATTGGGGGGGGGGGGGGGGGTTTGGGTTGGGTGAGATGGTAAGTTTGGGGGTAACTGACTGTTGAAGAAACCGGGGTATTTGCTGTCGGCGCGAAGTTGGTCTTTTTGGTACCATTCATCGTCGGTCTGGAACAGGATGGTTTTTTGTGGCCAGATGAGGGGGATAGCGACCTGGAAATCAAGGTCTGCCTCCTCGCCTGCCTTGGATATGTCGTCGGTTGGTCCATATGCGCCGTTGATGGCCTTGAGCTTCGGGTGCGTGCCATGAGGGACCCAGCTGTGACCTGTTATCCAACCTGTGTGACTGGGAATGGAAAGAAAACTTACGGTGCAATGTATTTCCAGTAGTTGTCGAGATCCTCCTGCCCATAGTGTTGGCTTAACGCTTTGAAGATCCCGAGCGTGTTGCCTTTCCTGTTCTTACTGCCATTGGGCAGCTGATACTGCGCTGCCTGTGGGTTAAAAACAGTTCTCCAACAATAAGATGAACGTGAACTCACCTCGGATACAATGCGGTGCCTTTCTCGTCGCTACAAGGCCCCGTCACCTTAAATACGCTGTCATCGTCAACAGGGTCCACTGGAGGTCGCGGCGTGCATTTCTTTTTCCCCTTTCCATTCCCTTTTTCCTTTCTCCCCTTTCTCCCACTGGAATGTAGATCTCCCCCTATTAATGACCGCCGGCCCACCATCCTCTTGGTGATCTTTTCGTCAAAACCACCCGACATAAGCTTGATGCCGGGAGTGATGTAATCAATATGATGCGACACATTGTGCGGGACGTGGTACCTGAAGCGCCGTTAGTTTAGATCGAAACGTTCTGCTTAATCAGTGATCATCTTACTCAGAACAAGCAATGTTTGTGACACCTGTTTCAAGGTTCTCAAAGGTGTAGTACCTTGTGTGGAGCAAATCCTCAACCTCGTGGGCAGGAGCATCAAACTGGATCCACTGTCTCGACAGCCCGTTAAAGCCAGACGTTAGCTACCACTTCATCATTTGACTTTCTGATCCCGTTTTAAGCGCAGGAGGGCTGTTCACCTGTTTGTTTGGTGACTGCGATAGCCTCTTTTCCTCGACCCCCGCCGAGACCAGCCAACGTTTGACCTTCTCTACTGCCTGGGTCTGTGGAGCAAATAGATCGATAACCTCGCGCCGCGAAAGGTGCTTTCCATAGTTTGGGGACTGTGGGTTGGATCTGGCGCTTTAATAAGTACGTAACTGAGCAAGCATCGGGGGCCGATCAGCAGTGACTTACATGTCCATGAGCAAGTCATGTCCAGCGTCCACATTCGACTGTTTTAGCCCAATCCGCACAGGGACCGTTGCCTCGGAGTCCACAAGTTCACGCTTGACCCATCCCTCGAGGTTTCTTGGGGCATGTCTCTCATGGACGGTGTGCGACGGAGGTATTCTTCTTGAAACCCTTTCCCTGATATTCGACCTGGTCGCCCAGACAGGCAGAAAGATGCCACAAAGGCCTGAAAGCGCAAAAAGGGCACCACGAAGCTTCATTTTGTCTTCCACGGCCACTGACAGACGAGTAAGGTCAAAAATGGCTGAAGGGGCATCAAGAGGGGAAAATAAACCATCGTGAGGTGTGATGCAGTGGTCTTGGATCTCAACCACGGTGGCGAACCAAATGAATGCCCACCCACGGGTTCTATTTTCGTCCTGCTAACCATCTTGGCAGGGGTGTGAGAGATGGGTGCGAGGTCTGGGCTCGGCGTGGTTCTCGCTATATACGGCCGGGTAAAATGTTACGTTTATTACGGTACCGGGCCCAGAACTAGCTCGGAGGCGACGCTGCAAACAATCTATCCACAATCCCCGAGCCCAAAACGGGACAGGACGAAGTGCTCCGGTTTTGGTCATATCAGTTGTGAGGCTGGTGTCCCTGAGCGCTGGTTCTTAACCTGGTTCTGATGCTGAGGTTACACTGCTTGAACCGGAGTTATCCCTAGACGCATGTGCGTTGAGCCTCGAGTTGTAAATCCGGGGAAAGATTGCGGACGGTTGCTGCGTTTGTATTCGCAAGTAACGCTGCGTTCTGTCCCGGCCCCCTCCAGATTTTGTCGTTTCGCGCCGCCCTGTATTTTCTTGGGTGATCGAAGTTGGGAGGCGGAGGACCCCTTTTGCGGTTATACTCGAAATCAAAGACAGCTGGACAGCTGCACTAGCGGAGTGGTGATAAAATTCATGTACAGTCTATTATGTGTATATCCGCTCATGGTAATCTCTATAAAGCATTACAACCAAACAACATGATGCATGCCATTTTCTGTCAAACCACCAAACCCGGGTCTATCCACCCCTGACGCCGCGCAACCAGAGCACTAAGGCTTGGAAACCTGTTCCTTGCGGAAGAACTTGAAGAAGCCGATGGGAATGATCAGCTGGAACAGCAAACACACCCAGAAGAACGGACTGGCCGCGCCAGGCATGACGCCCTGTGAGAAGTCCGGGAACGTCGTATGCGGCGAGAGCGCGTTGGGGCTCGTCGCCCGCGCCAGCATCGTGAACGCACTACCCACCACCTGCGCTCCGATCAGCACCGTCAACACGTGCTGTCTCGTCAATGTCGCCAAAAGCATCATGCCCAGACCGACACCCTGGATGTTGTCCAGCAGGCCCAGCCACAGCCAAAGACAACGCGACACAATTGCCGAGCCCATGGGGCCGCCGGCCCACGGGAGGTACCAGCCGATACCGCTGGTGCCCCAGAACTCCTGGGCCCACCGCGGGGCACATAGGCCAATGGCGAAGATGGGCAAGAGCCAGGTATGTTCGTCGGAAAAGTATGAAAAGCCGTAGAGGACCAGCGCCCACAGGGCACAATAGAAGCCGAGGGCAAGCAGGAAGATCCCCCACCCGGGTACGTGTTGGGTGTTGAACAGGAACTGCCAGCTGCGGCCGTAGGGGGCAGACAGCCAGTAGTTCTGTAGGATAATCATGACGAAGAACCAGGGGACGATCTTGCGGCGGTAGAGCGAGATGTAGAAGCCCGGAATGGTGGCCGGGGACTGGCGGTAGAAGTCGGGAAGGCCGAGGTAGAGCACGACGCCAATGGCCCAGAAGATGACAGCGATGGGCACGCCCACGACGATGGCTTGCGGGACGTTCGAGGTGCCCACGAAGACGGTTGCTGTCGGGTCCGTGTTGGCCACCATGGAACCCCAGTACCAGAGCCCGATGCTGTAAACTTGCGCGAAACCCGAGACAGTCAAGGCGCGCGTGATCCACTGTTTTGTTGGCGAGCCACCTGACGACTTTTGTTAGCACGGGCCGCAAAGAAAACAAGGGGGATAAACGAAGAAGCATACCTTCGTCACCGAAGTTCAAGGCGAACGTAAGCGCGCCGCTGCTCGCCCCTGCAGCGTAGAAGCATGTCGCAGCGTCCTCGAGCTTGTTGGCAACACGCCAGTCGGGGATAAAGGGCGCAATGCCGATCAGTAGGAAGGCAAAGCCAAAGAAGAACCAAGGTATCGACAGAGCGTAGACAGATTTGAAGTTCCGCTCAAGCCCCCACCAAATCAACGAAGTTGCGATGTATGTTGATGCAACCATGTACAGCTTCTCTGGTGTCTGGGTCGTCTCACCCGTGAGAAGGACAATCTGGTACGAGCTGACCGAGATGATTTGCCCAAGAGCGAGAAGGAAGGAGTAGAGTGGCCAGTCTCCGAGACGGATGGACAGAATTCTAAAATAAGACATGGTTAGTACAAGAGCAAGCTGAGGTGGCGTGAAGGAATGGTTTACTTCTTTAAGCCTGTTGGGGCCTGGTATCCGTCACCGAGCAAAAACTCATCGTCAACGTGGGTAGGCGGTGGAGAGACTTCGAACATGGACCTGGCCAGGGAACTGGGTGTCATGCTGCGGTGCCGCTGGCGGCCGCGGCTAACAACAGACGCATTTCGACTCGAGTCATTTCTCGAAGGCGGCCGACTGTTTACCGGACTTCCTATCCGGGAGCTCCTGCCCAGCTTGGCTTCACGATACCTCGAGAACCACTCCTTCTCACTCTTTTTGATGAAGGTCTCGATGCAGAGATCACCGGCCGAGTTCTGGGCCGTGAGAGCGTCTAACATCTCCTCGTACATGGCATAGTACTCGCCATTTGAATCATTGAAGAACTGGTCCACCTGCTGCAGCTTCAGGTCGTGCCTGTCGCCGACGACGTCAGGAAGACTGAGCAGGCTGCTGTTGCGATGGCTCTGTCCGAGCGTGGGACGGGGTGGCGCGAGCCCAAAGTTGGGAGTTAAACCCGGCGACGCCATGCCATCCTTCTGTGCACGAACCGCAAAGCTATCCACGCTAACGGTACTCTCCCGCGCTGCGTTATTGCCGTAGATGCTTCCCGCGAGGGAGCTGACGGTGGAATCGCGGGGCGAACTAGATCTTGTGCCTCCTAGCCACGGGGCCGAAGGACTGGGCAAATCGGGGCTGATTACGGACCTCGGTGCTGGAGAGGCCGACGGGGATGGTGGCACCAAGTGTGTTTCGGGCCCCGGGCTGTATATCGCAGACCCTTGCTCAACATATGTGGCCTCGCTAGCAGGGGAAGACGGTCGTGACGGGTTCGGGCTGGGAGCGCGCAGTGCATCGAGCTTCTTCTTCCTCGCTTCCTTGTTGTGGATGCGGATGGACTCGCTGTAGAGTTCATCCAACTGCTTAATCCATTGCGCAACGGGGAACCGCTGCTTGGCACTCCACGCACGCATCAACGCGCGTTTGGACGATTTGCAGTCGAGCGCCGAGACAATGGCTTGCCGGAACTGTTGGAGTAAATGGGATGGAGTCATGGACTCGACTGTGTACCAGAAACCTGGCATTTGGCCCAAACCTCCAACACGCGCCCCCACGCCTAGAGCGCCCTTCCTACCGAACTCGACAGCGACCAAGCCAAATGGCTCGTCACGCGACGGGATCAGTGCAAATTCTGCACCGCTAAAAATGTACGGCGGCAGTTGGGTGAACTCAGGCTTGCTGAACACCCGCTTGGGGTACTTCTCCATCAGCTTCTGAAGCTTGAGGGCCGCGAACCGGCCATAAAGGTCGATAACGGGACCGACAGCGATGAGCTGTGTCTTGGGATACTTCTCCAGGATACTAGGGAAGATGTCGGCAATGAGATCCACGCCTTTTTGCAAACTCCAACGACCGACAAAAACGAATAGTTCCGCTGTGGGATCAACTTCCAGGCCAGCCCACTCTTGTGCTTGGCGTCGTAGATCCCCTCTCTTCTCCTCGAAACCCTGGTCGACATCGATGCCCTTGGACTGCTTCGAGACGTCTTTGTCAGGGTTCCATTCGGCCGTGTCGGACGGGTCGGGGTTGGGGAGCTGTCCAATGTTCTTCAAGCTCCAAAAGATGGGATAACGGGCCAGGGAACGATCGCCGTACTTTCTAGACACGCCCACCGCACCGAAACCACGCTGGTGTAGACGGAGGTAACTCGCGCCGGCGTGGAGTAGGTTGAAGACCGAACCATATTGGACGTAATCTTTGACCACTTCTGGGGGCAGGTTGAAGACCTCGCAAACCTCCTTTTGCTCCTCTGGTGTTCGCATCGGCCACATGCCTTGGAACTCGGCGTTGTGGAGAGAAAGGCAGCAGGGGATCGTCTGGGGAAGGAGGTAAAGGGGAGCCGCAGCACCGTGGTAGTCGTTGATGTGGTAGACGTCAACCGGGAATCGACGGATCGTCTCAGCGATGCAGCTATTCCACGCGGCGTAGAGGATAGCGCTCTCGATGTCGTCCATGCGAGCAATGTAAGGATCCGCCTTCGTTTGCTTGCGGAATATGGGGCAATCGAGGACAACGAAGGTGATGTTCTTGGTAGTGTAGTAATAAACTTCGATCTCGTAAGGCTGACCCATGACTTTGACAAACATGGATTCCGCGCGTGTCATGCGGTCGGTGGGGTAGTCGACGTCGCCCACCACAGGAACAACCCAAATGAGGTCGACATGAGACAGCGCCGTACCCATCAACTGGGCCATAACACCCAGGCCACCAATCTTGATCTTGATGCCGAAATCATCGATGTTGTACTCCATGGTGGCAATGAGGACGGTACGACGCCCACCGGAAGCACCGAGAGGAGTCATGGCGGCGCTTGGCGGCGGTGTCGGTGTCATGGCACTCATCTCAACCCCACGCTTCGTGAATGACTTGAGGTCGAGCCTGGAAACCGTACCGAGCTTCAGCGGCTTCCATCCCTTGCTCGTGAACCCCGATTTGTTCACCTTAACTTGGTAGAAGCTGCGCATGTAGACCCACCCAGCCAAAATCGCAAGTAAAAGCGGCAGGACAGTGAGGAGGATGAAAAGCAGAATTTGGATGCCAACATGCCCCGTGGGGAGGTACTCGAACTGGAATTTGTCATCGTAGTAAACGAGCTTATAGGCGAGGGCTGGCATCGGCGGCGGCTTGGTGATGTTGATGACGTTCTTTGCCAGACTGCTGGGAGGGAGGCGGTCGACAATGCCGTCGTTATCAATGTCTCCGAAGATGGCTCCGACGTCTGGCTGATTATCCGGGTTGATGCCCCAGATGTTGAGCTGGAAGTTCGCCGGCCACTCATACATGTAATGCAGCGACCAAGTACGGTGGGCAACTAGATCCATGGAGCCAGGCAACCCAGCATCATAGCCCCATTTGTTGTACGGGCCATGAATTCTGATGTGAGGAAAGCCGCGTTCCAACTGGACATCGCTGCTGTCAGCGTGCTGTACAAAGGCCGATGACCCCAGTGGCTTGCTGTAGTACTGGACTGTCAAGTGTTTGCCTGGCCACTTCTGTAGGTCTGTCCCTTCCCAACTGAGCTCCGAGATGGGCACCTTGGATGTGGTGCCATCATATGGAAGCCACTTGCTCCAGCTAGATCCCCAGTTGGTGCTGTACCGCCATTGTGTGGCACCAGCAGCCTTGTGTTGCACGTACATCGCACTTCCCTCCATGGATAGCAAAGTGCGCGAGTAATTGGCAGTTGGAAAGATGATAGGGTTGCTGAGACGTTTGCCAAACCGGATGAGGAAATGGTCGGTTGCGTTGGTCGGGACTTTGTCCTCGGAGAGAGCGTTGGCTACAGTGATTTTGACAATACCATCGGGAACGTCCCGTAGGCTCGTCGTCAACCTCCAGCTCGATTGGACGGCCCCCGTGTAAGGGATCTTCTCCGCGGGAGTGATCTTTTCGCATTTGGGCGTCTGAAACTTGAGAGTGGTGGCGTTGTGTTTGCCGTCGGTGACAACGACGGCGGACAGCGCCTTGGTCACGGAGTCGCAGTTCATTTGGACGTTGTACTCGATAGCAATCTCACCGAGCTCGCCGTTGCGGTCTGTCGAGTCAATAGGAAAGTCATGACCCGGTTCGAACTTCGTGATCATAGGCGCCGGCTGCACCCAGGATGTGGCTTCGACGTAAGCGCGAAATTCGTATGGTTCCAAAGTGATGCTGGGGATACATCCGGCGCTTGCACCAGTGCCAGTAAAGTTGTTCTTCCGCGGAGAAGACTCGAGCCGGATGGACTTGTCTTGGCCAAAAAGATTCACGACGTCAGATCCTGCGTCGAAGGGCGAAACAAATGCCTTGTTGATATCAGTGCAGACGAAGTTGTAAGTCGTGCGGTTGGGGCGGTTGTGGTAGACAAGCCACACCGGCTTGTCCGTGTCGTTCTGTAACTGGGTGAACATGCCGCGAGCAACACTCCACACTCCAAACTCGGTCTCGACCGTGCTACCGTTAAGTGGGTATGACTCGGTCTGCTTGGCAAGGTTCTCAAGCAGCCAGCCGTGTTCGAGCACTGGGAAGGCATCTCGGAGAGCAAACATGCGGCGGAAAATATTGCGAAGGGGCGCGGAGGGGTCACGGTGATCCCAGGCAACCTTCTCGTCTTCGCAACCCTTGCGCCCTTTCGTGATGGGCCACCCGATGTACTGGTCAACTGAAAGTTCGAAGCAGCCGTGTGCCTTCCATGCTGGCGAGGGAGCAAAGGCCTGACGACCATAGACGTAATTGGAAGCGGTGCCATCCAAGGCATATAGGGCTTGCTCCTCGCCATAATAAACCAGAGGGGCACCGGGCAGGAGGATGGTGGTGATGAAATAAGCCAACAGCATGCGCTCAACGCCTTGTTCAATGGCGGGCCAGCGAAAGACGTCTTGGTTTGTCGCGCCGTAAAGGTGCCGGGGGTCGAACTCATTGGTGTATGGGTTGAAGAAGTCGTTCGTGACAACCATGTGGTGCCAGGCGTCAACCCAGTCCAGAGGCAAGTCATAGCCTGCTTCTAGATTCCCGCTCAGGCCAAGGAAGCGGGTCATGAAACGGTAAATGGAGTAATGGAAAGCGCCGGCATCAAGAGCGCTGTTGCCAGCATCACGGATGAACATTCCAGACTTGTCGGTCGAAGGTGGCGTCATCGTCATTGCTTTGGTCCAGTCGCCCTTCAAGGTTTTGGCCGCCTGAGATTCCCGCCCACGGCCTAAATAGATGGATCCGAGGTCGTTGCCGCTGGTGATTTCGCCAAAGACCACGAAGTTATCCTTGCCCACCTCTTTTGCGCATTTCCGCATGGCGGAACTGAACGACGCCTGGGCGTCAACGGTAACTTGGACAGCCTTGTCGATGCGGAACCCATCAACATCCAACATCCTGATAGCCATGCAGGAGAAGAGCTCGAGACGAGCCGCGACCGAAGGTTCCCAGTCTCGAAGGCGATCTTGGACGGAAGCGAACTTTGCGAGCTGGCGTTTCCAGTCAGGAAAAACGCCGAACGCCTCGATATCGCCGTACTGATCAAAATCGCTGTCGTAGCAGCCCTGAAGACCCGGCGGGTTGATGCGTGTCCCATCCTCGTACCAAAACTGGGGGTAGTTGCACGACGAATTATACTCGTTGCTGATGTCGAAGTCGAGATATCGCCTCGATGTCTTCCACATTACCCTGTGTTCCTCGACCCGGAACGGTGTGCTTTCGTTCAGGAAGCCTTCGAACCCAATCAAGTCACTCATCCTACGCCAAAGTCAGATATCTGCTCTAAGTTCACCGGGGCTAGAGGATATGGGAGGTCGATGCATACGTTGCCATAGTATTATCGAGCACCACCGCCATGCCGCGGGCATGAATTTCGTCGATGACCTCTTGCCACACCTTGATAGTACCGAAGTGTTTGTCGAGAAGTGTCAGATCGACGGGCTAGCTTGTCCGTTAGCATGGAGTCCAGAGGTAGGTGGTGGTTGACAACTAACGTACCGAGTACGAATCGGCGCCCCATGGAAGATTCATGAAAGGAGAGCCTGCGATATAGAGAGCCTACTTCCCGTTAGACACACGCTCCCCTCCTCGTTCAGCAACTTGCGCGGTGTGCGGTACCTTGATCCCCATGCCGGCGATGTAATCTAGCGAGTCTCTCAAGCCTTCCAGGTCACCACCAAACCGGAGCTGGGTGCTCATCATGTCGGTTTCGTACACAGTTTGGTTGATATCATCGTTCCCTGGATCGCCATTCACAAAGCGATCCAAGAAGATCGTATAGAAAGGTACCCGCCAGTTCGAGGGAGAGGCGGCATACTCGAAGTCGGGGTCGTCATCATGGCGAGAGCCCCAGTAGTCGAGGGGACTTACGGCTGTCCTGTTTCTATTAAGATTGTAGTCGACCTCACTTGCGTCGTACTTGAGGCCATAAACGAAGGTTGTGGCGGCAAAGAGTGTGAAATGAAGCGTGCTAAAAAGGAAGGAAGGACGAGTCATCGTCACTGTCGCTCACCTCTCATGGGGAGCGACACGACAGAAGCAAACGAGAGACTAAAAAAGCAAACGCAACGGCAAATGGCACCACACTACAAGGCGGCTGAACACACAAGAGCGAGAGACGGACGATGGCATGAGGTGGAGGAAGAAGAGACAGCCGCGGGTTCGGAAGCAGCTTGCTTTCATGAGTAGCCCCTGCTCTGGCAACCCCACGGCACGGACACCTCCTTGGCCAGGAGGAAGCAAGCAGCTCTCAGGGGGGCAGGAATCCGGCATGCACTGCGTCTGGCTAAACGAGTTTCCAGGCTGCGAAGCGTCGAGACAGAGAGCCCCATCTGGGGGCTATCGACCCGCTCGAAACGCGAACGGAGAAGCCTTGGGCGGAGCCCTGTCAGCCCATCTCGAAGCCAGGATCGTGTCGGTCCTTGTCAACACGACGGCATGTCCGTTGCTGCGATAACACGGACTTCTTCTCTTCCAAGCCCGGCCCACGGCAGCGAAACGGCTCCAGTCGCCCCTTTGGCCAGAGGGCTAAGCGTTGCCTTGTCGCATATCTGTGCTGTCTCCATCGCCTTTTGCCACAGACGGCTCGACTCGGCAACGTCGGCCAGCAGAAACAGGGCTTTAGTTGTGTGTGCTCTGCTAGTCTGGAGAAGACGTTCTCGCATCCCTGCAGAGTGAGTTGCCGAAAGCGTTTGAGGTAGGGAAGTAAGGACGAGCCCGCACCGCGCTGCCCAGCCACACTTGCTAGCCAGGCCACATCCAGAACAATCGGTGCAAAACCTGCGTTTGAGGTGGAGCAGGGCACCTCGTTTTCGCCGCCTTCGCTCCATCGCATGAACCGTGTCGGCGCACCGGATAACACCGGAGGAGCCCCACCACGGATGGGCCTATTTTGGATACGAGGCTCGTCTCGAGAAGCTTCGCGCTGTGTGTCGTTGTGTTGACGCCGATCGCATGCCGGTAGATACACAGAATGGGCTGGCCAAGCTTCACAAGCAAGTTCGGAGCGATTATTGCTGATCAGCGATGAACTACGCCCATCTCCCGCACAAGTCCCGCCTTATCGCCGTATCCGCGGCGTTGGGAGCGGTGCATGATCGGTCGGATGGTTCGAAAGGGGGGCGCCCCGGTAGCTGGGTCGGCTGTCGACATCCCTTCCTCCTCATTGTCGAGCCCAATTGGGGAATTTTCGACCAAACTCATGCCGGGGTATCGCTGCCGCAAAAAGGGCCTTGTCGAGCTTGTCCAAAGCATCGATTCGTGGTTTTCTCCAGTCCTCGTCAATTTTTCTCGTGTGTCGTGTGTCAAGGAAAGCTTTTTGGATCCACCATGCCAGGCCCATAAAACAAGAGCGCCTCGTAGCCCCACCCGATAACTGCCATGCTGCAACCATTACCCCTGCATTGCCGGCAGCTTGCACACGCTTAGAAGTGGGGCTCCGATGAAATACCCCTGACTGTTCGCTTTCCAAATCGAAGATTGAGATCTGACAACCGCCACCGCTTGGTTTGACGTTCCTGATTCCAACCTCACTCTGTGAGCACATGTCGTGCCTTCCAGAAGAAAAGAATCAACGGGGCAAAATATCTCCAATCGGATTTTTTTCCATTTACTTAAAAGCTCCTTTCCTCCGCTTTTCCTGGTTTTTTTTTTTTTTTTTTTTGATTTTTTTTTTCGCCAATTCTCAAACGTTTCCGACAAGGTCAGTTGTGGCGCCTCGGCACGCCGCAGAACACGACTCGGCGTGGTCCGGCATCCCCGGCGAGTTACTACATGCGTCTCCACCATCGCTTGAGATGGCATCCGTGCCATCGGTGTTCGAGTCCAACCAATGCCCTGACCTCGCGTTGCCCCTAGCGTGGAAGAATCCCGCACTTTTTCCCAGGGGCCACCCTTCACCAGGAGGCAGTCTGATGGCTGCGCAGGATGTTGACCTCGGGTTCATGCGCTGAGATGTGGCTCTCTTGCCTATCTGGGAGACAACGGGGCACACAAGCGGATGTTGCGGGCAGAGTAACACTAGGAGTAAGGCCTTGCGCTTGGTTTTGGGTCAGGTTTGGCTTTCCCCCTGATATCAGGGTGTGTACACACTGTATCTTACGTTCTTCACCACACTCGTTCAGCGTCACCAACCTGGTGCTTCATCACACTCGTTTACCTATTGCTTGTTGGTGGTGTAATGCTGTTTGCTATCTTGTCTATCGTGCGATACGAGAAGAAGCAGCAGCTGTGAACATCTGACCCCAGTCATTCCTTGAACAAACTCGACAGCCGAAGATACCGCTGCTTCCGAGGCCCGGTGCCGCCTTGACTTACAAGTACTGAGCCATTATTTGCATAGTGGCCGGTGCATAGTTGAACCCGAAGCCGCGTCCGTTCTCCTGATATCTACAACCCAACATGCGGACTTCCGTCTTCCATGCTGCCGCCGCCGCCGCCCTAGTCTTCGCCGGCTTGGGCTCTGCCGCTGACCTCGATGAGTGGAAGTCGCGGTCCATCTACCAGGTCATGATCGATAGGTATGCGCAAACTGATGGCTCTACGGATAAAACTTGCGAGATGCATTTGTTCTGTGGCGGGACATGGAAAGGACTCATGAACAAGCTTGACTACATCCAAGGTGAGCGCTCTCGGGAAGCCCCCCCTTCTAGGCACCTGTACCGTACCCTGACTCCTACGTGTCCCAGACATGGGCTTCACTGCGATCCAGATCAGCCCCATCGTCAAGAACATCAATGACCACACATCTGTCGGAGATGCCTACCACGGTTACTGGTCCGTCGATAACTACGCCCTCAACGATCGGTTCGGCACAGAACAAGAGTTCAAGGACCTCGTGGCTGCCACACACAAGCGGGATATGCTACTCATGGTTGACGTCGTCGTCAATAACATGGTCCAGTCCTTCGACAACGTCGTCCCTCCCAAGGTCGACTACTCCAAGTTCAACCCGTTCGACGACAAGAAGTATTTCCATCCTTACTGCAACGTGACCGAATGGGAGAATTCGACCAACTACCAGAACTGCTGGCTCTACCCGTACGGCGTTGCGCTCGCCGATTTGGCCACCGAAACCAAGCCCGTGGCGGACGAGCTGGGCAGCTGGGCGAAGGGGCTTGTTACCAACTACTCGATCGATGGCCTCCGTATCGACGCTGCCAAACATGTCAACGATGAATTCCTCCCGGGGTTTGTCAAGTCTTCCGGCGTGTTTGCCTTTGGTGAGGTCCTATCCGGCCTTCCTGAAGACATGTGCCGATACCAGACCCTTGGACTCCTTCCGGGCATGCCAAACTACCTCGAGTACTACCCCCTCAACGAGGCCTTCAACGGCGGTTCTTTGATCGATGTCGCGAATATGCGTAATGATGCTGCCTCGAGCTGCAACGATACCGCCGCGCTCGGCAGCTTCCTCGAGAACCACGACATGCCCCGGTTCGCCAACCGCAACGACGATATGGCGCTTGCGAAGAACGCTATGACCTACATTCTCCTCAACGACGGCATTCCCACAGGTAAGCTCTGTCAGGCAATCGTATGTCACCCAACATTAGGATTAACCCCTCCGCAGTCTACCAGGGCCAAGAGCAGCACTTTAAGGGTAACGGCACCCCCTTCAACCGCGAACCTCTGTGGACTTCCAAATACGACAAGGAAGCCCCGCTCTACGTTCTCACGTCGGCCTTGAACAAGGTGCGCAACAACGCGATCAAGCTGTCCAAGGACTACATCTCGACCCCGTCCGAGACCCTCTGGGCCGACGTCAACCACCTCTGCCTCAAGAAGGGCCCGTACGGCAGCCAGGTCGTCTTCTGCATCAACAACAAGAGCAGCAAGGGCGACAGCTACCAGGTCAGCGTCGGCGGCTTCCAGGCCAACGATAAGGTCGTCGAGGTCCTCAGCTGCAAGACCAGCACCGCCGACGTCTCGGGCAACGTCACCATGTACATGGGCAAGGGCGAGCCCAAGGCCTACGTCACCGAGAAGGCGCTGAAGGGCACGGGGCTCTGCGCCAAGACCGAGGAGGATGCGCCGGTCGAGAACGGCGCCGGTGTGCTGGGGCTGACCGGCAGCATCGTCGTGGCCGTTGCTTTCGGGTGGGCCGCGGTTGTTCTCGCGTAAGGAGTTGGAGTTGGAGACCACGAGCCGTTGTGTTTTCTGTTTGCCCTCGTCAAGATTTCCCCCACGACACGGCCAATCAATTCGAGCACGTACATACTTTCTTAGGCATTTAACTAATAACATCTTCTTTGCCCATATATCGGGCCCCTCTTTTCATCCTGCTCAGAGTCAGCAAGTGACGGAAGCCCATTATTGCCACCAACTACGGGAGACCGCTGGGTGTTCGCGGTGCCCTTCCTCACCCTTATGTGAAATTGCACTGTCACCGCATGCTCGAACCAATAACAAGTATGATATGCCATGAATCCCAGCAGAACCATAAAGTTCTCAGCGCAAGGGCAATGATGAGTACTCCAAATAACTATCAGGAGTATATCAAAACACGATAATTTAAAGTGGATCAGGGTATATGGTAAGCAATATCGACAACCAGTGACCCCACTCAATATATATTTCAAATGAAAGAAAACATACTGTGAGGCGAGTATCATCTTCTCCTTCAACCTATCCCATAGTATGGACGTGACGTGCACGGGGCTTCGGTTGGCTATCACATTGGGTCCCATTGTACAAATTCATTCCGCGATATTGTTGTTCACTGATAGTTGCGTCTCATGGACTTATAGTATTTGGGGCCCATATCGCTACTTCGGTGAGGGGAGGGCGAATCGCACATTATAACCTGAAAGTCAAGAGCAAGATCCTTTCATTTTACGGTGTTAAAGCTATCTACCCTCAACCACAGTGGCTTCCTTGTCTTGTTGCGCCTCAGTTTGAAGGGTCTTAACCTCGACAAGTAGCTTCCCAAGGATCTCCTCGACTGTGGCCAGGTTGTTGCTAGGTCCCCTTATCCCCTTGAACGCACGGATAAACACCGATTGCTTTTTGGTAGCCTCCTCTTCTTCGGCCGGCTTGGCTTCCGAAATATCCCGTTCCCGCGGGTGGGCTTGGGTGCCGTTTCCCGTTGGCATAACGGAGACACTATGAGCAGTGTTTTCCGTAATACCGTTAACAACCCGATCAACATCCAGCATGTGGAGATTGGGGTTATACCCGAGACGTGGCCGTGGGGTTGTGACTGCCCTCTTTTGGATTTGTTTGGTGCTACTCACATCAGGGCCTTGGAAACTGTTGTCTGCTGGCAACGGTAGGGGAGGATTTGGCCGAGCCGGGGGCACAACATATTGAAATACTTGATGAGCCTCCTCCTTCACGTCGGGGGTCATTTGCCTTGCATTGGCCTCGATGTCCAGCTTAGGCAACGCTCGTTGACCTTCGAGTACATCCGGTTCCGGCATAACATGTGCTTTTGTGCGACTAAGGCGTCGTTCTAGGATTTCAAGGGGTGAGCGGGACGGAATCGTGGAAATTGCGTTAGAAATCAAACGTTCCTCTTCACCATTTGCGGCGAGCCACGGGCGCGGGCGGCCGAGGGACGTTGCAGCACTGATCACCCGGCTTGTCGTCTTTGGTCCATCCTCAATTTGTGTATCGGGGATACTGGCCGATGCAACCTCCCCCCCTGTGCCGGCATTGAGGGTCTGAGTTGTCTCACCGTGCAGGTTAGTGATCGTCATGTGCTGCGGCGTGCTCCTCGCGCGCGGGGAGAAGTGGACTTTGATCGAAGGCTCGACCTTCTTTTCTTTGGTTCCCATAAAATACTCTGTTGAAGTTCCGATATCCTTCCGGGAATGCGTTAGCCGAGGCCGACCTGGGCTGCGGGTCGGCCCGGCCGCTACGGGTGACTCATCCGAAGGTGCAGAGGGTTCGTTGATGGCGCTGGAGGCTTTCCTATCCAACCTGCTAGTAATTCCGGGCTTGTTTGGTACCAAGATTCGAACGGGTCGGAAGTCCGGGGTGTCCTCCACCGGTAGAACCGTCCTGCGACGTGATTTGGTGGTGGGTCTCAGCAGGAGGTCATCGCCGGCTTGTGGTTGCTTCGTGGACCCAATTACGGCTGTTTGTGGGGCCATGTCTTGCAGGAGTTCATTCCCGTTGTCTTTAACCCGGAGCGGATGTTGGCTTGGGTCAACTACCGCTGGGCTCTCTCTTGACACCGTCCCTGGTTGCTGTGTTCGCCCCTGCAAGGTGCGGATTAAGGCTTCTGCTTCTCGTAACTTCATGAGCACGGCCTGGTGTTCTTCGGGGGGAACACCGGTTAGGTGAATGGGCGTTGGGGCTTCGTGCGACGTCGTCGTCTCGCCTTCGGCCTCGGCCTCCCTGGTGGCAAGCAACAGAGGGGAGCTCGATAACCCGTCCGCGTCCCTTCTCTCGTAGTGGCTTCGGCGTTTTGCCGCAACCCTAGCGACGGTATGACGGTACGGCTTGCTATCGAAACAAATATCGTCAAAGTTAAAACGTGTGTTGCTGACCACCGAATCACGATCGCCCAGCATGCTATCCCCTGAATCGATGCCAGAGGCCGTCGAGTCCAGATCCTTCGCCGTGTAGGCGGGATAGGAGTGAACCATGTCGTCCAGGCCGAGCCTAGCTATATCCAGTGTCCTCATGTTTTGCTGCAGCAACTCCTGCATCTCCTGGACAGAGTGTCTGGGGTGGCAAAGGGCGTTTTCGTCAGCACAGTCCGGACTGCGTGTTCTCGCCGGCAACATTTATGGCACTCACAGGCTCAATGCTTGGACCAGAAGCATCAGGCTGCCTTTCTTCGTCTCTAGCCTCCCGAGCAGACGGCGTATATCCCCGGAATTCCACCACACGGCAAGCTTGAACCTCCAATCATGTCGGCCAAACAGCGTCTCAAACTCTTGTGTAATTTCTTGCAGCGTATCCCGGCAGCCTTCAACTGAAAGCTCGAAGATGTCGGCGAGGGAAAGGCGGCTGATAGCTTGCGGATCGCGCTGGAGGGTGGCTTCGACCTGGCGCAAGGCAGCCTGTACGATTTTGATCTCGTGCTCGATGTCGCGAGCGAGGGTGGGGGCGTCTCGGAACTGGTCGATGGCTTCCTTGACGTATGCCGCGGACCGGAGGACATTAGCGGCGAGGCTGACGGCGCCCACCGTGATGCTAAGGGGGTCCATGCGAGGTCAGTTTCCGGCGCGTCTGAGGGTAGAAACCGCGAAACAAGTCGCCGGTTCAGGTCCTGTCGTCAGGTAGGTAGCGAAATGCCCATGGTTTGGGAGGAATTGGAGAGACCAGGCTCCGGTGTCGTTGAACCACAAGCATGTCGAATGCACAGCCCGGCGCTATGGGGCAATGCGGGACAATTCTCGAGGGAAGACTGTCCGTCAGCGAGGCAGCATTTGAGGGATCGGGCTCGATGTCGATCATTGGCCCGAGAAATGTAGGGCGCGGCGCGGTTCGGGGCTGGGGTTCTGAGGAGGTGCGGGGTTGGCCCGCTGCGTCAAACAGGGGTCTTGCAATGAAAGTGACCCTAACCCGGTGAGCTCGGGACATGTTCCCCAACCCGGCAACTCCAACCACTTGCACGCGGGGGAAGTCACACCGCAACCATGCGGGAGCTTTGGGAACCGAGGCACCCAGGAGTGGCCGGGTACTTGTGCTGGGCGGCCATCTCACCACCGCCAGCTACCGTGACAACGATGTAAAGAGGTTTGTTCTTTGAGATTCCCCCAAGTTCAATTCCCGGTGGCCATTCCCATAACTGACCCAATTAGGAAACCAGCAACTCTTCCATCCCTTACCTGTCACGCCCGCTCTAGCTCCCTTAGTTCCTTCGCTCGAGCCTTCGAATTGAACCAAAGATGGCAGCCGAAACCGACAGAAAACCCGTCATCATCGTGGGCGCAGGTCTCGCGGGCCTCGTCGCCGCCTTCGAGCTCTCCCAACAAAACGTCCCCACGCTCATCCTCGACCAAGAGAATGCGGCGAACCTGGGCGGCCAGGCTTTCTGGTCGCTGGGCGGACTCTTTTGCGTGGACTCGACCGAGCAGCGTCGCATGGGCATCAAGGACTCACGCGAGCTAGCCATGCGCGACTGGCTCGGGTCGGCGCGCTTCGACCGCGAGAAGGAGGACTATTGGCCGCGCAAGTGGGCCAAGGCCTTTGTCGACTTCGCAGCCGACGAGATGGAGAGCTACGTCAAGGCGCGCGGGATTGGATTCCTGATGAACGTCGGCTGGGCTGAGCGCGGGGATGGGCGGGCGGATGGGCACGGCAACTCGGTGCCGCGGTTTCACATGACGTGGGGGACCGGGCCGGAGGTCGTGCGAGTGTTTGCCGAGCCGGTCAAGGCGGCGGAAAAGAAAGGAATCGTCGAGTTCAAGCACCGGCATATGGTCGACGAGGTTATCGTCGACGAGAAGACTGGGCGTGCCGTCGGCGTCAGGGGACGGGTGCTGGAAGCGGATGAATCCCCGCGAGGAGTCAAGTCGTCCAGGACCGTGATCGGAGAGTTTGAGATCCATGGTTCTGCCGTGTTGGTTTCCTCTGGTGGCATCGGCGGCGACGTTGACAGGGTCAAAGCCTGCTGGCCTGTCGACCGCCTGGGGCCAAATATTCCAAAGAACTTCGTGGTGGGTGTGCCTGCGCATGTTGACGGCCGCATGATCGACATCACCGAGACTGCTGGCGCCAATGTCATCAACCGCGACAGGATGTGGCACTACACCGAAGGCCTTGCCAACTGGGATCCAATTTGGCCTGGGCATGGTATCCGCGTGCTCCCCGCTCCCTCGTCCCTCTGGCTCGACGCCACCGGCAAGCGCCTGCCTCCGTTCCTCTTCCCCGGCTGCGACACACTGGCGACCCTCAAGCACATTTGCAGCACCGGTTACGACTACACATGGTTCATCGCCGATCAGTCGATTGTGGCCCGCGAGTTCGCGCTCTCCGGGTCGGAGCAAAACCCCGACGTGACCGGCAAATCGATATGGCAGCTCCTTACCCAGCGCATCTTCAGCTCCAAGGGCACCATCCCGGTCCAAAACTTTGTCAAACACGGCGCGGACTTTGTCGTCCGCGGCAACCTCGAAGATTTAGTCAAGGGGATGAACGAATTGATCGCCGACGTCCCCGGTGCCCCGAAGCTTGATTACGCCAAGGTGTTAGAAGTGGTCGAGACCCGCGACGGGCAGTTTGTCAACACGTACTCCAAGGATGCCCAGGCGATGCTTGTTCACAGCGCCCGCACCTACTGGCCCGATAAGAGGAGCCGCATTGCGCCGCCGCACCGGTTGTTGGACGTCCAGAACCACGGCCCGCTGATTGCAGTGAGGATGAACCTGCTGACCAGAAAAACCCTGGGCGGGATCGAGACGAACCTGGACAGCAACGTCATGCGGACAGACGGGACGGAGTTTCCGGGCTTGTATGCGGCGGGCGAGGCTGCTGGCTTTGGGGGTGGTGGTGTGCATGGGTATAGCTCGCTGGAAGGGACGTTTTTGGGCGGATGTATCTTTTCCGGCAGGGCAGCCGGGCGGGCGATGGCGAAGGAGGTGTTAGGCAATGGGGCGAGTGCGGAGTGAAGGGCTCCTGACCTGGAACATGACTTCGGTCAACCATCGGCACCGGCTTCGGGGCTTCCTTTTTAACAGCAGCATTCCATCGCATATGGATACCTAATATCACTGGCTTTATCTTTCCACTGTCCCACGGCGCCCACCCCGGTGCCGGTTTCCTGGTTGTCATGGCATCGTTGGGCTCAGATGGCATCGACCGTCGTACAATATCCGACCAGCGGGGTATCAAGTTGCTGAGCCAAGTTCCGTCCATTGGTTACCCCCGGTTATCGTATGTACCGGCTTCTCCTAGTTCCAACATTGTTATTGCTGGGTACAGGTCGGTCCCCGTCCATGCCTCGGTTTAGTTATTTACACGGCAACACACACAACACAATTCGGTCTCCGCCGGACCAAACAACCACCTAGTCAAACACCTTACCCGGATTCATAACCCCCTTCGGATCCACGGCGTGCTTTAACGCCCTCATCACCCCAATCGTCTCCTCCCCCAGCTCATCGCGCAAACACTCCTTCTTCCCAATGCCAATCGCATGCTCCCCACTGACCGTGCCCTCCATCTCCAGCGCCTTCCCCATCATGCGATGCACACACCCGGCCACGGCCTCCTTCTGCACCGCATCGCGCGGGTCGTAGATCATGGCCACATGAAAATTCCCATCGCCCACATGCCCAATCACGGACGCGAAAATGCCCAGCTGCCCGCACTCGGCCTGCGACCACGCAATCATCTCGGCCAGCCGCGAAATCGGCACAGCCACGTCCGTCGACCACATCTCGTACCCCGCCGGCCGCGTGCTGGTCATGGTGAAGAGCGACTCCTTGCGCGCCGCCCAGAGGTCCGCCTGTTCCTGGCGCGAGCTGGCCACGTGGATGGTGTGGCCCCCGCCGCCGGGTGTTTGGGCGAGCAGCGCGGCGGTGCGCGCCGCGTCGGATTGCACGGCGGCGGTGGTGCCCGAGAATTTGAGGAAGAGCGTGGGTTGCTCCGCCCAGTGCCGTTTGCGGACGGTCGGGCTGCCGTGTTTGTTGAGGATGGCCATTTGTTGCTCGTCCATTATTTCGAGGGCGGCGAGCGGGATGCCGGACCGGATCAGCGTGGTGGCGGCCGCGGCGGCGGCGTGGATGGTGGGGAAGGATACCACCGCCACGCTGGTGTCTTGTGGGATGGGCGCTAGTTTCAGGGTCGCTTCGGTCACCATCCCGAGGGTGCCCTCCGCGCCGACGAAGAGGCCGGTGAGGTTGTACCCGGCTGAGGTCTTGCGTGGGCGGCGGCGGGTCTTGATGACGGTGCCATCGGCGAGGACGACGGTGAGGTTGAGAACCCAATCTTTCATGGTGCCGTAGCGGAAGGCGTTGGTGCCGGAGCAGTTGGTCGAGACCATGCCGCCGACGGTGGCGGTAGGGGAGGGGTCCATCGGTGCAAACAGGCCGCTGTCGGCGATGTGCTTGTTCAGGTCCATCCAGTTAACTCCCGGCTGCACGACGACATCCATATCGTCAGGGTGGAAAGCGATGATCTTGTCCATGAAGGAGAAGTCGATGCAGATGCCAGAATGGGGTTGTGAGAAGTTGCCCTCGACGCTGGAGCCGGCGCCGAAGGGGACCATGGGCACGCGGCGCTGGTGGCAGATGCGCGCGATGGCCGACACATCCTCGGTGGACTTGGGGTAGACAACTGCGACGGCGCGTTCGGGCGAGTTGGAGGTTGACCAGTCGGAGTGGCCGTGGTGTTCGAGCACGTCGGTGTCGTAGGTCACGGCGTCTTCGCCGATAACTTTGGCGATCTGTTCCGCGGCCCGCAGCATTTCTGTGCGGTTGGCGTAAGGCACTTTTTGTCCGGCCCGCAGCATGGTCTTCACCTCAATAGTCCCTTTATTGGCCAAGTACAGGCCGGCGGTGAACGCAACGACTCCCACTGCACCAGCAACGGCCGCCTTACTCCAACCCTCATCCCCACCCGCGGACGATGTATTGTTAGGGGATGGACCGTTAGTCGATTTTCTGACTTGCTGCGATGGCCACCGGAAAACCTGTAACCTAGAGGCTCTCCGAGGGAGGCATCCCGGGAGTCCTGATATGAACTGACGCCCTCTCATCTCTTCCGCTGTTCTCGTCCCAGTCTGTTTTGTCTGTCCTCCGGTACTGTGTTGTCCGGCTGGCCGAGTAAATCCTCCTTGAATTCCGTCAAAGGGTGATCCTCCCGAGGCCCTGATGAAAGTTTTCAATATTTTCTCAGACCTATCATAAGATTCAAGATTGTATAGGGAGGGCTGGTGATGCCTGTGCAGCAGTCGTTGGCCCGGCCCGAGCCTCAGGATTCTCGGCCGATGCTTTCCGCGCGGTACTTTTCACGGCTCGCAACCAAATGGAAGAAAAGAGCGCTAGAACGTTCCGATACTAGTTCTGTGTCGGTTTTACACCGACTTCTCCAGTTAGTAGATAATTAAATCAGACTGGCAATCCCAGGTCGTTGGCCACTTTGTTCTTGGCTTCTGGTTTGAGGAAACCAACAAAAGCTGATGGAAAGCGGCGGCGGGACTGCAGTCAGCGATGCCAAGCCAAAAAAAGATGGCTTCCATTTCTGTCGTTCCAATCTAAAATTATCCGGCACCTTTCCCCTTTTGGATTATTCGGGGCGTTTCCTCCAACTTTCTTTCCACTACGATAATGGGCTGAACAACGACGGCTGCTGTAGGGCAACCTCTCGATGGATGGATGGATGGAATTTCTTTTGTCCGGAGGGCCTGGATGCCCAACTCGGTCGTGACAGCTTGCAATTTTGCAAGTACTGTCAGCGGCACGGCTACAAACGTGGCTCGTGGACAGTTGCCTAGAAATTTGCCTGAATTTGCGACGCGTTGGCGTAACTCGTGGAGCTGGCCGCTATTTCCATATAGAGTCATCTTCGCTGAATTTTATTGACCATTCTCCTTACGATTGGCTGTTTTGCTGTGCGTGGGGCTAGGGCAAGTAAGGGGAACTACTATATGCTGCCCGGGGTGGCGTCGAGGATCGCGAAAACTACCAGAAAGCTGCCGAAATAGAAGCGTTCGAAGAGACTGGCTCTTGGTTCTTAGCGCAGGGTGGGAGTTTCGCTATAGTGAGGCTCAGTTGCAAAATAACGTTCGCCAAGTGTCATAGTGCTATCAGGCCACCCTACTCAACGAGATGGGAAGGCTGGAGCTGACCGAGGAGGAGTGACTGATGGACTAGGCCACGAGTTCGTTCCTTTGGAAAATGCCTAGGCATAATGTCGAGCACGGAGCCAACACCTGCATTGGGGCGTTACATCAAGAAGGGGGACATTTTCCTGCTGGTTAACCTAGGCTCTCAAACGTGCTTGATGCAGAATTGCGGCCGTCTCCCTTCCCCGTCTTTCCTCCTTCTTAACTCGGTAGGACCTCTATATTTTACCCCCGCCCAGTGCTGTTTTTAAGTGACATTACTGACCGGTGCCGCTCAGCTCCGTACTTGTTCAAGTACCTTACTTGCCAGGAGCCTTCCATGTTCTCTCCAGTGTATGGGGGTGTCACCTGGCGGAAGATCAACAACAAGATGGTCCCGCAGTTGTTGGAGTTGGCCCGGCGTCAATAGTCCAGATTCCAACACCCTTTGCTCCAGCCCCCCGTTGCGCCGGGCCCAGTCCAAGAAAGCTTGCATAGCCTCTTTTCTGCCTTGCCGTTAGCTAGGGAACGGGATGGTGATTTCTCCGGCCGATTGAGTTATTACTAACCTGGCGCCGAAAAGTCGCTGTCCCTGTTCGGAGATGCCGGGCCCATTGGGCCGAATCTCCGCGATGACACTGGCGACCTTGTCCTTGATACCGAGCGCCGTCAAGGCGTATTCACGCGCAATAATGCTGTCCTCCACGCCACAAAGGCTCAGAACTAGTGCACAAATGACCCCAGTTCGGTCTTTCCCTAGAGAGCAATGTATAAGGATTGGTTCAAGCTCCGATGGGCGATTTGTTGCGAGATGGCTCAGGATATTCCTCAGCGGTTGGAATGGATTGTCGGCAGAGATGGCCGAGTCGATGATAGCCCGGTAATAGTCCACGAAGTCCTGCATGGAGTTGATTAGCTGCAAAACCTAGGCGTATCCAAGTAATAGCGGCAGTTATTGGTCATCGTACCTCAACGCTCACGTTTCTCAAGTTATGAACCCGTCCAGCACGATAAGTGTAGTCATCAGTAAAGATGGCGGCCGGTACTCTCACGGCTTGGTCCCAAACTCGAATTTGCCCCCAGCCTTTTTTAGTACTCTCCTCGATTTCGCCGTCAGAACGAAGATCAAACACCCGCGAAATATTTAGCTTATGCAGCTGCCATATGCCTTCCGTGGTGATCGTGGAGGGTTCCGCTGATCGGTAGAGTATACCCCGTCGGACTATCTTGTTGGGGCGATCCGCGATCGGGTAACCCCCACAGTCGCGAAAGTTGTAGAGGCCATCTATCTGCACGAAGGGCGGCGATGGGAGATGCCGAATTTCTCCTTGGGTTTGTGCCTGAGATTGTGCGTCAGGAGGTGTTAGCTGCGGAGCCGTAGCTTCTTGGTGTGCAGCCTGTGAATTCTTGTCCATTCTGACACTGGTGTCGATTCTCAGCTGCTGCTTTCTGAGCGGTGCTTTTCACGATTGGACGCCGAAGAGAGGAGGAGGGAACAGCGAAGTAGAGCGTTCCGATGCTGGTTTAGGGCTGGGTTTAGCACGAGCCCCACAGGTGCTGGGCGTCTAGATCAGATGGATGAGCAACACCAAGTCCCGGGCTGCTCATTCTTAGTCCAAGGAAAACGGTGAGACCAAGTATGGTACGTGTAATATACTCACTATTACCAAACTTGATAGGGAGCTTTGCGGTTGCAGTCAGTGCTGACTGCCTTTCGTTCAAGCTTTTTTGCCTTTCCGATAGATGCATTATTCCGTACCTTTCCCTTCTGCAATACCTGGGACCCTTGATTCAAACGTGCGGATCTGGATAGAGCTCTGGAACATTCTCAAATTATAAAACTTTGTGATAGTCAAACCCATCTAGATCAACGCCAGCCTCCAAAACAATACCCGAACTCCAGCGCTATGCACGAAAGCAACGCCAACAGAATCATAATCAGTATCCGAAAGGCGTGAGGTCACCCCTAAACGGCCGCTGCGGCTTCTTCACCTTCTCGTCATCCACCCTCCACACCCCCTTGGTCCGGTCGTGGTGCAGCTGCCAGCCCAAGCCCTCGGACAAGCGGTGGAACACATGATGGTCCTCGCCCTGACGTGACCGGAAGAACAGCGGCTGCCACGGCGTCCCCTTAGCCAGCTCGCTTGCCCGCATCTGCCGCTGGGCCTGCTCGATCTTGGTCTTCTCGGCCACCACCTGCCGCACATCCCCACTCCTCAAGCCCTGCAGCACCCCATCCCAAGCGCGGCGCGACTCGAACGGATCCTGCGCCTCGACCGGCTCAATATCCATCGGCACGGGATCATTCTCGGGCGCCCCAACCTCGTAAACCTCCAGCACCTCCCCCGTCCTGCAATCCTTCACCGTCCACCCCTCATTCCACGCCCCCGCCACCTCATACAGCGGCTTCTTCCGCTGCACATCCTCCCTCCGAAACACGCGCGCCTCAAACGAGTTCCTCTTCCCCCTCAACAACCCCTCCCCCCAAAACCTCACCTCCGACACCAACCCATTACTCCCCACAATATGATACGTCCCCGCAATCTCCGGATACAAACACCCCGCCAAAAACCCCCTAACCTTCACATCCGGCAACGGCACGAGATAGTCCTCCCCACACCGCTCCACGCTCAGGGTCGCGTGCCCGACCTGGCGGATGTTGACGGCGCCGTTGAAGGTCATCTCGACGCGGGCGTAGCCGTCGGCGCGCACGCCGTGGGCGCGGTCGACAACGTGCATGGCCGTGATGGGCGGGTGGTGCGACACTTGCTCGGCGATGAGTTCCGTGGTGGCGTGGGAGGGGGCGTCGGTCCAGCGGGCGAGGAAGAGCTCGCCGAGGAAGGCGTTGAGAGGTTTGCGGATGGATTTTGGGGGAGGGGGTGTGGTTGGTTTGGTGGTGTTGTTGGTGGTGGGGGGGGTTGGGGCCGGGTTGCCTCCCGCCGGGGTGTCGTCGACGCCAACGTAGAGCTGACTGCGTAGGGCGATGAGGAACCAGCGTAGGACGAGCAGGGCGCGCTTCTCGGGGTTGGGTTCGAGGGCGGGGGCGGCGAAGACGGCGGGGCGCTGGGCCCAGCAGTGGCCGACTTCGACGACGGAGGAGGGCGCGAGGAGGGAGGGTGGCCCGGTTACGTTGGCGAGGTCGCCTTTGACAGAGCCGAGGAACTAGATGTGGGCGGGATGGGTTAGTGGGCGTTGTCTTTGGGGCTCAGGGGGGGAAGGATCAGGAATACGCACCTTAACCAGCTCTCGCAGACGAGAGGAGAAGGTTTTGTTGTCCATCACGGAAGCTTGAATTATGGTGGATTATTACTCGGGTGAAGCGATAGGAAAGTATGGCTTGTAAAGTGATATGTAAGTAGGTACGAATGAATGAATACCGACTCGGCACCTAGGTAACTGACTGCCTTGGGAGAAGGTGCAAATCAATGAATGGAAGATTGCATTCGAAACACCAGGAATCGAGAGATGCTAGTAAAAGTCGAGAAGGACAAGCACAAGGTTAATAAAAGAAGGGGATTGTTTTGTGTCCACACAAAGCGAGGGTGCCTGTGCCTTTCATTCTTTTGTTGGCAGCTCGCCGCCACAGCTTTGTTTCACGTCTGTCTCAAACCCTGTGCTTGCCCAGACGGGGGCAAGAGAGCGAGGAAACGTAATACAGAAGCATTGCTCGACGTCACCTGTGCACCTCTACCGCGCATGTGCTGCAAGGACGGATTGATACTCGGTATAAGATGCATGGACCTTCCTGCAAGAAAGAAGGCGGGGCGAATCTGGAAGAGTCGGCTGTGCCTGGCGTGGCTGGCGTGGCGATTCCTGCTCGAACAACCGAAGTGCCTTGCATCACGCCAATTTTGCGTGTCGCAGTAAGCGGCAAGATCAGACCGCCAAGCACCCGCCATGGAACTTCAATGTTCACTTTGCAGTTCCGTTCCCGAAGCCCAGAAAGATATCCACGGGCTCAGATCTTCGATTGGTTTTGTTGGCACCTGCAGGGCCAGCGCCCTGCAGGTTGGCCTGTGCACAAGCCCACTCACAGTTCTTGGTTTCAGCTGGTGCAGCTTTAGCTGCAACAACCACTCAATCCATTTTAGCACTTCCTCTGCCTCAAGAGGTTTCGTGACGGACCCCGCATCAATACGGTGCACTGTCTCAGCGCCCACTCCTCGGGTTGAGCTGACTCCGAGAGGCAGTGCAACCAAAGAGTGACGCAAACCGCCTTTCGGTTAGCAATGGCCCGAACTCAAGACGGCCCAGGTGACACAAACACAGTCGGAAGGTCCGCTGCGTGGCACACAGCCCATGACGCGCGTATGTTGTACAAACAAACTCATAAAATATGTGTATAATTTATTAGAGAAAAATAACTCCAACAAAACCTCTTGTTAAAAAAAGCCACGAATCACACTACTCCTGGAACTGCTACTCGCCCCCTATCCACTTATCCCATGTGCACCGACTCCTGCTTGGCCTTGACCTCCTCGACACGCCGCTCGAGATCGTTACCGGCCCAATCCTTTCGGTCCATGGTCGGCACGAAGAGGGGCGCGTCCGTAAACAGCCGGTTCATCTCCTCGAGCGGGCGGCGGGCCGTCTCGGGCAGGACAGCCCAGAAGAAGAGGGCGTTGGTGAAGTTGCAGATGACGAAGAGGATGTAGTAACGGTACCCGACTGTCTTCATGGCCGGGCCCGTGATCTGCCCGATCATGGTGTTGAGCGCGAACGAGGTCATGGTCGCGATGGAAACGCCCTTGGATCGCGTCTTAGTGTCGAACACCTCGGCCGGGATAATCCAGGACAGGGGCCCGCATGTCGCGCTGAAGCTGAAGTTGTACACCCAAGTGACCACGATGAAGCCCCAGGCCGCAGCCGTGTTGTCGTTGGCTCCCGGCGGGAACTTGGCGAGCAGGATGGTGGCGATGAGGAAGGTGACGCAGTTGCCGAGGTTCCCGAAGATGAGAGGCCAGCGCCGGCCGAACTTGTCGATGAACAGCATGCAGAGTGCCTGGGCCACCAGCGCGATAATAGATGAGATGGCCTGGTACTTGAGCGTGTCGTCACCCTGGATGCCCATCAGCCCGTAGATGGTGACTGAGTAGTATTGGATCGCGGAAACGCCCGTCATCTGGGCGCCACCTTGGAGCGCGCAGGCCAGGAACAGACGCCGGAAACAAGACTTGTCTTTGAAAAGCTCGGCGTACGACTTGGCTTCGTTCGCGCGGTCGAAGGCAACTGCTTCCTGTATTTGTTGGTATTCGGCCTGCACCCAAGCATCGTTGGTGTCGCCGTGGGCGTGCAGCTTGGCGAGGGTCTGGAGACCGAGTTCTTGCTTGTCGTGGTCGATAAGCCACCGCGGGGACTCGGGGAAGAGGAGGATGAGGGCGGCGAGGAAAACAGCGGGGATGACCTGGATACCCAGGGACGTTCGCCATTGCCCGTCGTTCGTGGGATCAAAGCCAACATAAGTGCCTGTGGAAGTAATGGTTAGTCCGTGGTAGGGTATCGATAAAAACCAAAAAGATAAATCGAGCCTTACCGTAAGAAATCCAGGCCGCTGCCAAAGCACCAATACCAAGCATGAATTGCTGGAGAGCGGTGATACGACCACGGATGCTGGGATGCGCCAGTTCGGCCTGGTAGAGAGGTACAATCATGCAGAGAACGCCAACACCGACACCAGCAATGGCGCGCCCAGAGTAGAGGTATGAGAGAGCTTGAGCTCCTGTCTGCAGGGCACCCCCGAGGCAGAAAACGATAGCCCCTAGCAGAATTGTCCAACGACGGCCAAGTTTGTCTCCCATGGGACCGGCGGCAAAGGCACCAAAGAAGGCGCCGCCTGTAAAAACGGACACGACTGCTGCTCTGTAGGCCATGTCAGCAATCTGATTGGAACTTTGTTGTGGCGAAAGACGTACTCCTCATTGTTGCTGGGGTGGAACTTGGTCTTGAAAGACTGCGAAGCAATAACCTGGGCAATGACACCCAAGTCATAACCGTAGAGCAGGGACCCGAGCGAGGCAAAGACGCCCACCAGGAACTGGTACCATTTGGGGGAGAGCGCCATCGTGGAAGAGCTTTAAAATGTCTCCCGTGTCTGAAGTTTCGTCTCGACGCTGCAACGAACGGCGGGAAGTAACATGGCGGACATAAACCCCACACGGGGAGATCTGCAACGCTTTATACTGCTACCCAAGGCCCGTCTGCGGCTCTCCTGCAATGCTGCCCCGATGGTCTCGTGTCGCGTGGAAACTAGACCGAGACCCTGGAACGTCCGTGTTGACTTCCAGGAACATGTGCCGTTGCGGTCAAAGCCGTGACACGTGCCAAAGGACTTGGTACCAAGAATACCACATAGCGCACTTATCGAGCTGCAGACTTCCCCGGAATATTCCATCCTCTCCACCCTCGTCATCCACCTCTCCGCTTTCCGAGCGTTGGAGGATCCAACATGGCCCCGGTGTGTTGCCAGTCCAGACCTAGCTCCGCGTCCAGCTGCCCCGATCCCCGGACCGCGGAAGTTGCTGGGGCTGCGTGTTGTGGTGCGATCGGTCGACTGCGACTGGTGGGTATTTTCTCCTCCCCCGCGTGGCATCCTCGGCGGGAACCACTTCCCGGGTATGGCTCCCGATTCGGCTAGGGGCTGGGCACGCTGCCCTGGTCGGCAGTCGGGGTGAGTTATGCGCACGAATCAGAGGCCACGGGCTAGCGGCGTTAAGGACCCATTGTTTACGACATCACGGGCCTTGGGTGAGGAGGTCCGGCTGTCTCCGCTACGAGCCTACGGCCAGAGGGATGTGGGCGTGCCCTCCCGCAAATTTGGGTGTCGAATAAATTACCCTTGACTTCGGTGTCATCAGCAGAGCCTCATCCGGTTTTGTATGCGAGAGCCACGTTACTTCAGATACTCATCATGGCCACTTTCACAAGAATAGATGAGGGGGAGACCCCCTCTATCACCATTCACCCCTCCCACAAGATCGCTCAGATCGACAACAACATCTATGGCGGCTTCACAGAGTGAGAGGCTCAATTCCCCTTCTTGGCAAGAACCTCGCTCACACACCCCTAGGCACATGGGAAGATGCATCTACGGCGGCATCTACGACCCCGGCAACCCCCTGTCGGACGAGAATGGGTTCCGGAAGGATGTCATCGAGGCGCTTAAGGAGCTGAATGTCCCCGTGGTACGGTACCCAGGAGGAAACTTCTGTGCCACGTACAATTGGCTTGATGGCGTTGGCCCCAAGGAAAACCGGCCTGCGAGGTGAGTATTTCTCTTCCTGTCAGCCTAGGCAGATGTCCTCGTTTTGTTGACTGACTTGCGAGTAGACCAGAGCTGGCGTGGATCGGTACTGAGACCAACGAGTTTGGCACGGACGAGTTCATGAAATGGTGTGAAACGGTTGGAACTGAGCCGTACCTTTGCTTGAACATGGGCACTGGAACTCTCTCTGAAGGTCAACTTCACCTAACCCCTGAATTTAAAACGGTGGCAGTGATTAGGTAGGACTGACAACTAGCGCAGCTCTCGGGTGGCTTGAGTACTGCAACTCGGACCGCAACACATACTACGCCAACATGCGGCGGAAGAATGGCCGCGAGAAGCCATACAACGTAATTATTCTTTGTGCAGCCCCCAATCTGAGAGGGAACACTCGTTAACATCTACTCAGGTCAAATACTGGGCACTAGGAAACGAATGCTGGGGCGCATGGCAGGTCGAGCAGATGACAAAGGAAGACTACGCCAAGAAGGCATACCAGTGGGCCAAGGCACTCAAACTGCTTGACCCCAGCATCACCCTCATCTTGTGCGGCGAGACGGGCCACTCCTCGTGGGACTACTACGTGCTCAAGGAGTGCGTAAAGTGGGACGTCCACGGCCTGGGCACCGAGAGCACCACCAAATCCCTCATCGACATGCACAGCATCCACATCTACACAGCCGCCAAGGAGCACCTCCCCAACGCAACCGCCCCCCGGTCCGGCGAGCACGCCATCAAGATGGCCTCGTCCCTCATCGACCTCGCCCGCATCGAGAACAAGGTGCCCGAGACAGTGCCCAAGCAAAAGATCTGCTTCGACGAGTGGAACGTGTGGGACCCGGTGCGGGCGCCCGGGGAGCAGGGGGCCGAGGAGCAGTACACGCTGTCGGATGCGCTGGCGGTGGCCGTGTGGCTCAACGGCTTCGTCAGGCAGGCCAAGGACGTCGGCATGGCCAACATCGCGCAGTCGGTCAACGTCATCTCCCCGCTCATGACCACCAAGGACGGCCTCGTCAAGCAGACCATCTGGTGGCCGCTGCTGCTGTTCAGCAAGTACATGCGCGGCCACACCATTGCGCTCAACGTCCGCGCCCCCGAGTACGCGGGCCAGACCAAGCCGCGGTGGATTCGGGCGGCCATTGAGACCCCGTATCTGGACTGCAGTGCGACGGTGGGCGACGACGGGTTTCTGAACCTCGCTGTGGCGAACTTGCACGAGGAGAGTGACTACGAGGTCGAGCTGGACGGTCTGAAGGCGGACAAGGTTGCGGTGTACGTCGTTGGTGGGGAGAATGTCAGTGTTACGAACACCGATGGGGCGCAGAGTGTGGGTATCAAGGAAAGCTCATGGGATGGAAAGGGCAAGTATACGTTTGGGAAACACTCATTCACTTTGTTGAGATGGAGGGGGGCGTAAAAGGTGTGACGGACATAATGTAGACAAAATATGCCAGTAGATACCAGGTATTGAGTACCCACGATCGCGGGCAGGACATACGGTACCACCTCCAGTTTCCATCTCACCTCACCTTGCCTCTCGGAGTCTGAGAAATTCCTTCGGGTTTGGGGGAGGCCATTGCACTGCATTATTTACTGATAACTCTTTCCTGGAGTGTAATTGAGGCCTCTCATGTTCTGTGGCACTTGCTGCCGCCGCACGGGTTTCCCGGAAGGAGGAGACCGTACCCCAGAATCCTTGGTTTTGAAAGATGTCTGGAGAATCCTACTGTTTAGGTTCCTTGGTTTGCTGAATGTTTTTAGACAGACGCCTGCTTCAGCATCAAAATATCACTCGACCAACTGACGCACAAACAGCAACTTAGCATTCGTCGAGAGAACATCGATACAGTCATGGATCACAACCAGGAACCCGCGCTCACCGACATAGTGGCGGGCCTTCATGACGACTTCCACTACCACCGCGAAATGGACCCACGGAGCCCCATGCCGCCTGCTGAACTTCCAACGAACACTGGAACCTCCACCACCGAAACCCGCATGGTCGACTTGGGAATGGTAACTGAATGTGATCAAAGGGAAGCAAAACGCCGGCAGGCACTGATACACCCCATCACAGGAAGAAGTTGACTACGACCCATGGGAGATGGAGAGCGATGGTGAGCGGGAGAGCGATCGCGACAGTGAGACCGATAGCGACAAGGACATCCCGATCAAAGACACGGGGTCGGGCCCAGACGCTGAAACTCAGGAGGGATGCGAGAATTCTCGGTCCATGTTTGGACGTACCTACCACGGGTTCAGGGACCATAGTCGCCGCAGCGATACCTTTGATCGTTTCAAACGTATAGAACCCAATCTAAGGCGGACGAATGTGGTGACTGACAGCTGCGATCAGCATACTTCAGGCCCACGGACAACGACGAGGTACCTGGTTTGACCATATAGCACTGTTTCGCGGCTTTCTTTTGCTGACGGATATTGACAGCGCGAACACAATCTCCTCGATCGCCAGCACGACCTCATCAGGGTCGCACAGGACTACCGGTTGTTTGTGTGCCCCGCTGACAGCGAGATTCCCCTGACAATCGTCCTTGATGCTGGGTGTGGCAGCGGGATCTGGGGTCGGCAAGTTGGCATGTGCACCCCAACAACCGCTCGGGCCGGGTAACTGAACTCGGCTGACTTCCCATGTATAGCTGAGGAATATCCTGACGCCTGCGTGGGTGTACTCGCTAGCCTAACAGACTGGCCCTTGTGTTGACGGCTTTTAGGTCGACGCTATCGACATCAGCTACCCCCGAATAGTAAAGTAAGCCCCCGCCCAAAACATCACGCTCCATCCAAGCTCCCCGGCGTTGTGGATGTAAATGTGACCTTACAATTTACAGCCTGGACCAGGAGCCCAAAAACTTCTATTTCAGGCCAGGTGACCTCGACAGACGGTTGAAGCTCCTACCTCCTTACAACTTCGGCTTGATCTACGACCGGTTCTTGGCCGGTTCCATCACAGACTGGCCCAAGTTCATGCGCCGGTCATTCCAGTAAGCCCCAGAGACACAACGTTCTGGGTTCTGGCCTGACAAATGCTCATCATTTCTAAACTTAGAGCCCTTCGGCCGGGTGGCTGGCTCGAGCTGTGCGACTTTAAGTATCCCATGGATGGCATCGCCCGACAGTACAGCGCGCTGCACCGCTGGAACGAGTTGCTTATGGAAGCTTCAGAGAGACTCGGCATCCCCCTGACCTGTACCCGGAACTACCGGACGCAAATGGTCCAAGCTGGATTCCGCAGGGTGCAGGAACAGGTGTATCATTGGCCGCTGGGCGCATGGGAGAAGGGCGGAAAGAATCAATATATAGGTAAGCAAGCCAAAACACGAGGGTTGTGCAGGGTGAGCGGTTGTTGGCAGCAGGCTAGGCAGGAGAGCCCTCGAAATTGCCATAGACAGTCTCGAAACACTCGCCCTCATGTCTTTCACCAAGGCTTTCGACTGGAGTGAGCAACAAGTGCGTAGTTTATGCGAGGCGGCCGCTGCGGACCTCAGAGACCGGCATTCCAAGGTTTCACTGCGCGTGTGAGTCTATCCGGGGATGAAAACCGCGAAATCTGAGTTGATCCTGGCGTGTTACAGGACCATCATTTATGGACAGAGACCTTGGGAGGTGATTGGACCTAACCGTATACCCAGGATACTATGATGTTCGGGGTTGTTTGGTTTGTTTGATGGCTGAGCCTCGCATGGAGGAATAAGCGTGTGGTTGGTCACAAGCGACATGAAAGCGAGTTGGCAAGTTGTATTCGATTTGTCTCTCGGTCTTTGCGTGCTGGTGCTCCTCTAGGATCATGGTTTAAGACACGGGAATGACAGTGTTATACTCCGTTTGCCGCCCTCACTTTGACTTTGGCAGTGATATTAATCGATCCTAGTATATACGACACCAGACCATGCTTGCTTTTCCCCGCCATTCAGGGCAAGGAAGAGCTGATAGGTCTCGGACTTCGTATTCAGATATCAGGTGCATACGAAGGTGACAGCCAAGCCTTTGAGCAGTCATTACCCGAATGGTACCTGCAACCCTGTTGAAGAAGGATGGAGCAATCTGTCAACTGTACGAATAATAATCGTTTCCCCAACGGAACTCAGACATTGTATCGCCGCAGAGGGGCACGGAAGGAGGCGGCAACGCATCCCCGGATAATGACACGGACTTCTATTTTGGGAGTGTGGCACGCAACTCGGGTTGGTTCAACGTGGTTTATAAATTGGGTCTCGCTTCTTGTCCTCTGCGTTGTCAACAACCACCACCGTCACCGCCAAAACCTCACAACGCGGTCCATCCCTTATAGAACAAGCCAACAACCACAGAAGCTCTCTCCCAAAAAGGCCCCAGCAAGAACACGCAAAAATCCCCTGAAAAAAACGACAATAACAACAACAACAACCACATTAACACTTTCGACCGAAAAAGAAAACAAAAACCAAAGAAAGAAAATCGCCAAAATGCACCTCCCCACCCTCCTCGCCACCGCCCTCACCCTCGTCCTCACCACCACCGCCACACCCACAGGCAGCACCCCCCCCCCCCTCCACAAGCGCTGCTCCCCACGCTACGACCCGGACCTCGCCCTCGGCTACTACCCGCCGGCCCCCTGCTGGCAGACGTTCGACACGGCCTGCCAGCCGCACCTCGCGCCGGGAACCGAGATGACGCTGGACGCGCCCCACGGCTTAGCTGTCGTGTACGGCCTGTCGGAGAACTGCGCCGCGCAGATCGCGGAGGAGAAGGCGCGGGAGGCGGATGGGAGGAAGAATTATGGGTGGAAGGAGGAGCATGGTCTGTTGACGGTGGTGGAGGGGGGGGATTTTGGTGATTAGCGGCATGAGTCAGGAGGCGGTGGCGAGGTATGGGCGGTTGGAGTATATGTGAGGTGGGGGGGTTGATTGGGCTTCGGAAGTCTTAGACTGTGGAAGGGTGGGGTGGAAGTGAAAAATACAAATTGATACCAAATTATGCCTTGCCCTTCAGGAGATGGTCAGTCAGGAGATGTGATTCATTTAACGGACATCCCAGCTCGCATACCTGATAACACATCTCCCATCAGCCAAAATGCTACTCTTCTGGTCGGTCATATTCCAGGTCCAGACCCAACATGGCCCATGGTTCGACATGTGATAGTAGTTACAGGGAATCCGCGGGTTGCTCGGTGTCTTCAGCGCCTGTCTGGCCTTCCGCTGTGGCTGGGCCAACGGGTTCCATTTCCGGACCATTTCCAGAGGAACCGACTTGTCCCGTGTCCGACTCATCTAAACCATCCTTGATGCCGGCACCATGCTGCTGGAGAAGTCTGATAAAGTTTTCCTTGCGAAGGCGGGACGCCAGTGACAGTGCGTGTTGGAGATAGTCGTGGGTAAGCTTACCGGCTCGTCTGCCTTTGTTGAGAATTGTTGTGGCGATAGAGAAGTGGTCGTTTGCAACGGCCTTCGAGAGCGCCGTGTCACCGGCGGTATTACGGACTCGGAAATCGACGCCACCTTCCAACATAAGATCCACGACTGCAAGTTTCCCCGAGCTGACTGCGTACATCAAGGGCGTGTTTCTTTGTCCGTCGGCCAAGCCCCAGCCTAATGAGCTCGCGAGTGCCCAGTCCAGCACATCCTTCAGGACATCTTCGGCGTCGCCGGGCACGCGCGCCTCCGCCTCCAGTCGGCTTGCGGCCCAAAGAACGGCCAAAAAGCCAAGTGAAGCGACCGTTCTGTGGGGGTCCTCCTTATTCGTTCGGCTTTGGGACATGGCGATGACCTCCAGCTCGAGTTTTCGTTGGGCAGCAACGATGAGGGGTTCGAGCCCATCTGACCGCGGATCTGGCGATGACTCTTCTTGCGACGGCGACTAAAGCACGAGGCTTGCATTTAGAGCGCGCATTTCTTCGATGATTTCGACGTACCCTCGCTCGATGGCCACAAACAACAACTCTTGGACAGCAAGGCTATTTTGACCCCTGATATCGTATTCCTCCCGCAAGACAAGCACCTTGAGGCGGGACCAGCTAGCTCCGGGCAAGGCAGCATCTCGGCGTAGTTCCGAGACCGTTTCCATATCGAGTATCGGCAGAGCTTTCGGCTCCAAGGGCTTGCCACCGTGCCACGTGTTTGCGTTTAGGACTCCAGACAGCTGAGAGTAGTCTTTCTGCGCCCTGAACGCGGCGTACGATAAGAAAGCCAAGTCATGTACCCGCGGGCTTTCCATGTTTGCCGTGCCTTGGAGGCCGAAGTTGCGGTGAATCCCGCCTGGTGACCTGAACGCCCCGCGGCAGACTTCGCCCAAAGCTCGCACTGCCTTTTCTTGATGGCCCAACGAGCAGATTCGGAGCAAGTTTTTCAAATGCGTTTCGGCTTGCTCGTATTGCCCGTCGTTCCTCAGCTTCTTGGCGTCGGCGAGCAGCATTGTGATTGAGACGTCGAGCGTGGGTAACTTGGAATGGTAAAAGAATGCGGGCACGATGCTCATAAGCGCCGCCTCCTCATTAGCTAGTCCTGACTCGCACAAAATCCTGACCAGCGCGTCAATGTGCACGCTACCCAACTTGGTGTAGGTGGTATTGGGGTTGCCCAGTATCGAATCGACTGAGGAGCTTGGCTGCTGACGGATCGAGACATCGCCGAGATGGTTCGTGATGGATGCCGCCTCAAATATGAAGGTGATAAAAATGTCCTGAGCCAGTAATTCTAGAAGCGATGTTGGGGTTTGTATTGATAGAAGACACAGTGCCTTTCCCTAGTGCCCGGTGGAGCGGTCCTCCTCAACACTGTGGTCACGGTAAGTGGACATCGTAGGCCTTGGATATGGTTTCCACCGCGTGTCGCCTTGTATACTTTTTCGAGCCGAAAGACTGTACGGTGCGTCCTCGACCTCTCGGTGGCATGATCGATATCGGTAATCCAACGGACTGTCCCTTGATATCCAGAGCCGAACCAGTGCCGCCGTACGATCCAAGGAAGAATCAAGCTGTATAATCTTCCGTTTAGGGTACTGACTGGATGCAAAGATGAAGGGTTTTGCAGCCGTCGACCGGCGAAAGCTGCTGTATCTCCAGAGCCACATGACGGCTGCGAGTTGATACTCGTCTATAACCCACCGTTGCCCCCGCTGACGCATGACAAAGTGAATGGGGAAAACCGCGACCATGTGCCCCGGTGACTTTGCGATGGTAAACTCACAAGAGGCCGACCAAATCAGGGCCTTCGTGCTCTTCCAACTTCCATCTTTTTTAGCGGAACGCACGAAAGATGTAACTGGCGGCTTCCTGGAGAGCCGTCCGCAACCGCTTAGCTACACCTTGCAGCTCCGGATCCCATTGTGAGTTAGGAGGTGAAGTTGATCTGCAGTGAGGTAGCCGAGGCGCGCCCTGATGTATAAAGTCCGGCTGGAAACGTTGGCTTTGAACTGCGGGAAGGTGTCGGGTGGAGCGACGCCCTCATCAGGCCAGGGGACGTCGCCTTCTAGCATCCGCACAATCCGCATAGCACACTGGTAACAGTTCCCCTCCTCGATTTCAACGCTCCATCAGATTATCATCGGCGGGTATAAAACCTACAATGCTGCTTCCAATTTCTTCTTCAGACACGACTATCAATGCCTCCTGGCCATTCACCGGCAATCTGGACCGGGCGGCTTCTGACAGAGCCAAGCGTTGAAGTCCGGTATCGAGACACCAACTGGAAAGCTCCCACCAAACTGTATTGATCGAGGAATTTATACCGGGAGTACATAGTTAGTATTTTACAGCGGGTTAAGGCAAGTCCAAGACATGGCGCTCATACGTACCGGGGCCAAGGGAGATTTCCTCCAGGATCATATGCAGGGCTTGCCAGTCAGGTTCGTCACTCTCGAACACGCGGGTAGCGCCGTCTAATTGATTCTGATCTCGGCGGAGACGGCTGCTGCGGAGCCAAGCGCGGATCATAGACTTAAGGAGGGTGCAAGCGAGCTGGCAGAGAGTGATGGACCCGTGGAGACCGCGAAAGCCAACAAACTGGCAAGTAAACCCAACAAGCGGGGACATAATGGCCAGTAGGAGGGCAAATTCCGGGTGCAGGCCCAAGATATCGGCTCCCGGCTCATCGATGTAGGATGTGACATGGTCCTTCTTTTTTCTTGGAAAACGCAAAGGAGCGGAACTGCTGATCGCTCACTCGTTGGTTGCCACATTGAAGCCAATGGATGCGCGGCATCGCCGCCTCGGACATTTTGGGGTCTTTAATGTACTTGAAGCGTCTCTTGGTCGAGCGGCGGTCGACAAGGAAAGCGCACAGGGTCATCCCGTAGACGAGGAATGCCGTCCCAGTCATGCCGAGAACAAAGGAACATGACTGGGGTTTGCCAGAGCCGATGTAGAAGCTATCGTTATAAAAGGTCGCCCAGGTTGCGTAGATGAAGAAACTCGCTTGAAGAAGAAAGCCAAAGCTAGCGACAGCTAGCAAAAATCCCTTATTCCTTCTCTTCGTGCCCACGTTAAGGGAGAGGTTGGGGTAAGGCCGAAACGGACGGGAGCTTTTGCCCAAAGGGATATATCGGTTTCAAACCAGTTGTTAGTGATTTCGTCAATGGATCCGTCGTGAAAGGCGTCCTTGGTCAGGTGGATACCACAATGGGGCGGCCCGTTGTCGTTGGTTGCGAACAAATGATGGTGGGATGGGTAAACCCCCCCCCCCCCCCCCCCCCTTAGTATAAATGAACTCTAGGATCTTGGGCCTGCTAAACACGCGACAAATCCCTCCGTTAGATCACAGCTCGCATACGTCATGGTTAGTAGACGAGCATAGTTCTGCCTCCGCAACACCATGTGCCTCCTGGGCGCGGCCGATGAATGACTTGAGCGACGCCTTGCCGTACAATCGGATGGCCGAGACAACGGCCGTGATGGTTCCAAGCGGAGCGAGCCCAAAAATGATATTGTCGAGGAAGCCAGTGCTCTTGCTGAGAAACTGCTTGGTGACCTGCTCCCCAAAGAGCGTAATGAGCGGCGGCTGCGGCGCGAGGTCAGTTGCAAAGTTGTCTGCAAAGTCGGACCACCCCTCAGCACTTGTCAGAGCTGCGGCCGGGGTGGGGAGCTGGAGTGCAGCAAACAAAAGTATCATGGATATCGGAGCGCAAAAAAAGGGGCGTAAACGGTGCTCGAGTACGCGGTAGACGTGAGATCAACCACCAGAACATGTGGGAAGCGGAAGTATTCGCACAAAGCCACTTCAAAGAGAGCAACAGAGATTTTTCAGCCCTGTTTCTCGAGACGTGGGCCAGTCCTCCACAAATCCTGCAGTAATGTGAGACATCGTGTCTATCAGGCCGTCATGCATGAGGTGGCAGTCTTCGATCCAATGACGACCATCCACTCAGCTGGGGTGTGGCGCGCAAGGATAATTGACGCTGAAGCAAAAGTCGCTAGTTATTGATGCTATGAGTGGATGCTGATTTCACAATTGGAGTTTCGTGTTCTCATCAGAGCTAATGCGCACCCTACTGTGATAATGGTCTCTAGGATCAGTCGAGCAAAAACACGCAGGAGTTCAGGAGAATTCCCGGCACTCTGGGCCGCTTAGCAAAGTACCAAGCGTCCTTAGCGCAAACACTCAGTAACGCGCACGGCCGCCGCAGCGCGAGGTCGATGTTGGAAGCGTGTCACACAGAGCAAACGGACATCCTTGCGTTGAAAAAAGCCAGGGCCACCCCTTAACTATACCACGTAAAGACGCACCAGCGGAGACGAACATGGTAATACGGTCTATAACCGTTCTATCTACCTAATCCCGTCTAAACGTGGGCGCTACACCTGCCACAACTAGGTACGAGGTGGCCGGCAAGCTCATAACTTAAGCGCAACCGACATGTCGACATCGTTCGCCACCAGGACCAGAACTAGAAAGTAGCTGTAGCTGCTGAGCGTTGAAAACATGGCGCCGGAAGATCCAGTCCGGTGTACCCGCTGTTTCTCGCAAGAGGTAAAGATCAAAATGAGAGGTGCTGTAGTAGGGGCTTGGACTGTCTGGCTGCTATCAAGCGGCTGAATCCTTGGTTGAGGCAGTGGGTTAACTACATCCCCATGTTTCTCGAACAATTATGCTGTAAGCTTCTTCTCCTTCACCGGTCGTTTACCTGGTAGGAGTATCTCCGTACCTATCTAAAAAAGTGTTTAGTAAAGAGAACCGGTCCCACAACCGCCCCTCGCCCCATCGTACCCCAGAAAGGCATCCCATGTATCCTGTACTTGTTAGCTACAGCTTCTTAGTGTTTCGTGGGCCAGGGAACACACCAAGTCAAGGACGAATGGGCTTTTCTCCGAGGGGGCAGCCTCATTCGGTACGCCGAGCTGCGGACTCAAAAACTCAAAGCGTTCATCCATGAGTACCATAGGAACCCCCGAATGACCTGCATCAGCCCCAGGCCCAGGTCCAGCCCCAGTCCGGAACCCAGCAAGCATGTTGACAAGGAGGCGATAGACCCGCCCCGCTTCCTCACACGTCCCTATCGCCTCTGCCCAACGGGCACACGCCCGGTCCAGCGTCTCCAACAGCATACCACTATCCGGAGAGGCAGCCGCATCCTCGCCAACATCGCCACCATTAGGAGACGTTCGCCTTAACTCGAGCTCGAGAAATAGCACCATGGCCGCAAGCGTCATCATATGCCTCGTCTGCCAGTACTTGTAAAATCCCGTTTCCAGCGTCTGCTGCATCCCCACTAGCGCCAGCGCAGACGCGATACATCTCTCTCTTGAAAACCCAAACTGAGCATCATCCCGCGCCTTGGCCATGAACCTGCGGTGTAGCGTACACACCCCACTGTGATACATGCCCAGCATACCAAAATAGGGGAACACGTTGTCGGCCGAGGCCTCGGCCGTACGGCCATCCCCGTTCCCGGCTGCGGCTGCGGCGGTAGACATCAGTTCCAGGCCCTGGTACGCCTCCTGCAGGGCGTGGTCGACTTCGCGCAGGGCCTCGTACGAACCGAGTGCGGGGGCGCTGTTGTTGAAGTCTGTTACACGGCCCAAGGCGCGGAACAGACGGCCTTTGATGATCAGGGAGGTGGCTGCGGTGGGTTCAGTCAGGGGGCGGGAGGGGGGGATGAAGGGTGTGTCCGGGGACAGTTCCCAGTCGTGGAGGTTGCGGGGCTCGGCCGTGTCCGAGGATATGGCTGAGGTCATGCGCGGGAAGCCGCCGAGGAAGGAGGCCATGTCGTCCATGCTGTTGACCGAGTACCAGACGCGGCGGCGGTATTCGGCTTGGAGGGCGGATATGCCCGGGATGCGAGAGGGGTCGCGGTGGTAGCCCATGTTGATGGCGGCGCGGACCACGACGGCTGACATGATCCAGAGGCCGCGGCGGTTGTCTTCTTGGCGATTGAGCTCGGCTGTGGCGTTGAAGCGGAGTGTCTCAACGGTATAAGGCAGACACTTAAATATGTCTCCGCTTAGCAGGCATTGCGATGTACGTATGCGGTATAGCTGGAAGAGCGGTTCGGAAACGCCCTTGTACTTTGATGGCTCCCCATGCTGGTGGTACGCAAGCATGGTAATGGCGAGGATGGAGAACAGAAGACCGAGCCAGATGAAACTTGTTCGGGATTGGTTCTCCCAGTGCTCGTTGTACTGAGACGACATTAGTCAAGGACTATCCCGTAGTTGAGTTGGCAAGGATCTGTACCTCACGCATAAAGGTCGCTTTGTGTAGGATAGCTGTCCTTCCGGTAAGCAATCTTGACGACAAAACATACACTTCGGAGCCTCGGAGACTTACGGGGAAGATGGATGGGAAACGCGGGGTCGAAGAAATAAGAGATGAGCTCATCAACCTCGGCCCTGGATGGTAAGGTAGAAAGGATTTCTATTTTTTCCATTGGCTTGAGGTGCTGAAAAAGCAAACTTGCACCATCGGCGGCATATGAAAGCGCAGGAGGAATGCTATGGTCGCTCTGGCCATCATCCTCATCTTGATCCCAGGCCCTCTTGAGCTCTCTGATCTATGTATGGTTTGGGCGAGTTAGGCAAGGTTAATAAGTGGAGGAAATAAACTAGCAAACAGTTCTACAAACCTCTTCGAGCACGACGTGCCAATCATTCCCGCTGACATAGACGGAATGCATGCCGTCCATTACTGTCTTGCCAGCCCCGCCGGGCAGGTCCGGATCGCCCTCGGGGCTGGGACTTTCAGGGGTAGGAACCGTGATTTTGGGGGGTGTCGGGACAGGTTGTCGTTCTTGAATTAGCTTCTTAACCAAGTCCTCCAAGTGGTCTATCCGCTGGCGCATCTTGTCCCCTGCGGGGGTTATGCCTTCAGAGATACTGGAGCCATCATTGCGTTGTCCACGAAACTTGCACGACTGTTGCTCGTCACGGGCAGTGCAATTTTGGCAAGGGTGCTGCCGGTTGCACTTCAGCCTAAGACAGGTTAATCACTGACCTTTTTAAGACGATGATCCGCTACCCAGTGGTATGTCTCTACGAGGGAAATTACACACTTCCTCGTACGGCACGGCTCGCAAGACAAAGCAGCACGGTTCCGCCGACGGGGTCTAGCTCGTTGCTCTACTGTCCCCTGAGTCTGCATGATTGTTTTGTGAGTTGTGAGGTGGCCGTCGGGTTTAGCTGTTTAGCTCCGGGTGAGTTGAGGAATGGAGGTTGGACTTTGGAATCTAAAGCCACGGGGATAGCTGGGGGGTGGTGAGATCTGGCCTGCATGCGGTTCCATTCGCTGTCGTTGCAGCTGGTAACAGCTGCGTCACGGCCCCCTTATTCTCTTACATCCGCGGACTTAAGTCAAGCAACAAAACACCGCGGCGTTAGTACATCGGAATGAAATCGTGCACAAAGTGCCTTATATAACATCCCCAATAATGCTCGACATCCCAGTGAAAGTAATAAAGATGTTTGCTCGGTAACCCCTTGAGTCTCTTAACCACCCGTGAAACATCCATTTAATTGTACTCATATGCGCTTGCCCCCACCGCGGTACCCAGACTACCCCTTACCCACCATGCCTTCTTTCGGCGACTTTGTCAGGACCCAATTTCTTCTCAAGATTCCCAAGCCAACGGCCTCGTTTGCGCCCAAGACGGTCATTGTCACCGGGGCAAACGGAGGCTTGGGAAAGGAAACTGCCAAGCACATTGTCCGCCTGGGCGCCAGCATGGTCATATTGGGTTGCCGAAACTTGTCCAAGGGCAACGCCGCCAAACGAGAGATCGAAACTGCCTCAGGGCTTAGTTCCAGCACCATTCAGGTTTGGGAGCTCGACATCGAATCCCCGAAGTCCATCAAGCAGTTCGTGGACCGGGCCAATGCCCTACCGCGGCTGGATGTCTTGATCAACAATGCCGGCATCCAAAGTCAAAAGTTTTCCGTCGTCTATGGCACGGAACGCACCCTGGCCGTGAACGTCATCGGAACCTTCCTGCTTGCACTGCAGCTGCTCCCCAAGCTCCGCGAGACGGCCCACAACTACCAGACGACGCCGCACATGACCTTCGTCGGGTCTGCCATGTACGACGTCGCCAAGTGGCCCGACCAGCACGGCAGGGACATCTTTGCCTGGTACGAGGATAAAACGCATTTCTCCGCGATCAATCAGTGAGTTCGGTCCTCAGGCTCAAATGCAAGGACAAAGGGTTGGTTTTTAAGCCATGATTTCCTGTCCTAACGAACCAACAGATACAGCCTCTCTAAACTCCTCCAGCTTTATGCAGCGATTCAACTGAGTACCATCATCGACCCTGCGACTACTACCCCCGCCGGCAACCCCAACGCCATCGTCATCAACTCGCTCGACCCGTGCTTCTGCAAGACGGGGCTCCCCGGGGAGCTTCCGGCGACCATGAGAGTTGCCCTCCGCATCTTTGAGCTCACTGCTCGCTCAGCTGAAGAAGGCGCCTGCCTCGTGGTGCAGACTGCCTCGGCTGGGCGCGAGACCCACGGCTTGTACATGCGGGCGGGCAAGGTACGGGAGTATGATCCGATTGTTCTGGACGCAGAGAAGGCCGCGTACGTGTGGGAGCTGCTTTGCAAGAAGTTGGAGGGGTTGCAGCCCGGGATCCTGCAGAATCTGAGAGAGGCAGAATAGACGGAGCGCATTGTTGTGGTTAATGTGGGCATACGTTGGGATGAGCTGCTACAGTACCTAACTTAGGACTTTCTAGACTAGCAATTCTTCTGTTTCATTTTTCCACAATACTTCCGCCCTTGCCCTGCGGTCTCTGCCTTGACATTAATGGCCTTGTGTTTCCTCACTCAACGGGACCCTCTCTTCATAGTCCAGAAAACCATGAAACATGATTACCTGCTCGCCCCTGGCGAACGCCACCGCCGTTTTCGACGCCACACCGAGTACTGTACCGCTTCCCACATACCATGTCGGTGGGATGAAGAAGTGCCGCGTGTAGTGATCGGCCCGGCGTAGATTCTTGAGCTTGATAGAGCTCATCCAACCCATCGTGTCAATGAAGTAGAGCGTGTGCTTGAGCACCCCGACGACGTGCTTGAGCACCCCGATGACTGTCTGCACTAGGATCTGACGCGAGGCGAGGACCTGTACGGTAACGTCTTCTGGGTTCTCCGGCGCTAGTTTTGGCGCGTCCAATGCCACGAAACAAGTGGGCTGTTGCTGGCTTGGGGAGTTGGTGCATAGGACCAGGTATGGTGAACCAGGGCGGCCGAACCAAGCACCGTTCATCATATTTGAGGGCTCGAAAGGAGGCTCAAGGCCAGCGATTGCGATGCCTTCGGCGGGCAAGAGCCGTCTCAGTGAGGCCCAGTCGAATAGGTGCATCTTGCCAAACTGAAACACTATGAACTGTGAGGGATTGGAAGGGTGGCTCGAACAGAAGCTTGCTGGAATATCCAGTTCCGCTGAGACAGAGGCTCTGGCAACCGAAATGAGTTTGAGGGTTGCATCGGTACGGACAAGTATGGACGTGGAGTCGGGGCTTAACAGTGCTTGTCGAACAACATCCTGTTCGCGATGATCCAGCATAGCTGTGGCATGCGGTTCCTTTTCAAAGGATAGCCGGCTGACAATACAGTGGTTGTGTGCGTCGAGGCTGAGCAAGATATTGTTGGCGTCATTCCAGCCCAACTGCTTGATTCGTACGAAGCCGCCGTGGAATCGTAGCTTTTTGACGACCTCTCCTGAGTTTCCGTCACGAATATCAATCGTGCCGTCTTGCCTCCCGACAAAGAAGAGTCCACGTTCTGTCGTTTGGATGGCGGTTATTGCCTGACGCCATTGGAAAGCGTGGGCCAAGGAAGAAATCGGTTCGTGTGGTGGGACGTTTTCGCTGTTCAGTTCAAATGCGCTGTCATCGGATCCATCCTTTGGAATTAGCACAAGAAGCTCCCAGACATTGCAAGACTGCTCTCTGATCTCAAAGAACCAGAGGTTATTCGCCGAAAAGGCAAGCCCACAGAGTCGTGAGCGTTCGTCGGGTGGCTGGATACCATAGAGCGGCTGTAAGGTCTCAAAACCCAAAAGATGGATGGCACCATCCTCAGCACCACCAGAGAGAATGCGGCCATCCGATGTGCTCGCAAGTAAAACCAGGGAGTAAGACAGATGACGTTTTCCAGTCTGTTGGAGTGTCCATGGGTTACACAGGACGACCTCGCCATCGCTATACGAGATAGCCACCAGATCAAGCGCGGGAACGGGGTTAAAGGCCAAGTCAAGAGCTGGCGGGGATGAATAGACTCCCTCATACCCGTCTCTCTCAAAATTCCCTACTTTTTCCATGGCGTCCAAATCCCAGATGAAGACCGACGAGTTGCGGTACGTCAAAGCGGCCAGCTTTTGATCGCTATCAACGTAAGCATGCTCCGCGGCTTCCCAAGAACCCATCAGTTCCTCGCCGTCGGAGGAATCCGAATCTTGCGACGAAGGGAGGAAAAGAGTTTCACTGATAGAACCAGAGACGGCCTCAAATGAGATTATTGCACATCGTGCAGGATCGGAAAGCAGTATGCGTGTTCCTTCCCTGTTGAAAATCACCCGGTCAGGGGTAAAGTTAAGATCTTGGGCCCAGACACAGGGGAAAGAGGGCCCGCTGGATCGCCGTACATCCCACAACATCAGCTTCCGTACACTGCAGGATGCCAGGAAACACGGCGATGGCTTAAATGCCAGCTGCCGCACCTTCTTGCCGGGGGTAAGAGTGCCAACGGGCTCGAAGGTCCCAAAGCCAGCCGTGTCGTAGATGCAAATGTCGCCGTTTTTAAGGCCAACCGCAAGGAGTCGTTCGCAGCAAGCAATCGACATTGCGTCGGCTGAGAAGAGGTAGGAGGTAAGTCTGTCACTCCAATCCTCATCTAAAGGACCGGTTATTCTTAGGCGTTTGGTAGGTTTGGCGAAGACCTGCCGGATATTCGAAGTGGGTGGACAAAGGTATGGAATTATAAAGTGTATCGAAGATGGCGAGGCGAGGAGCCCGGAATGGAACGCCGTCACTAGATGATTGAATATCATTTGCCCATGTCGACATTGTCGAAAGTTCCGATTTCCCCGGTGGGTGATACTTCGCTTGCCGCGTCAGGTAGAGTTTGAGCCTCTGGGATGTTTGCTGTAGAGTTGAAAGACAGCCTGACTCTGCGAGCCGCTCGATCCATGTCAAGACGTTCGTTCGTAAGAACACGTTGAGTTGGGCGAGAGGTATCTCAGCCGAAGAAGAGCTGTGCATCAAATGGTACCCAAAGTTTGTTGCGACGTAAGAATTCAGGGGGCCGCCCCCCTTCATCTCGGAGGCGACAGCAACAGCGCGACAGATTTTAGGTGGTGCAAAGTCCGCACCGCAGAGCGTGGTGAGGCATACTTCAGCAAGTTTGGAATGCGCTATCGGCAGGTCAATCCAAAGGCCTTCTCGGCAACGAGTCAGGAAACTGGATGTTGTGCCATGGGCGACGTGAACTCGGGATTGGTTATCCACAAAGATTAGGTGCCCTGTGATGCCTTCTAGTTGTTCTGCCGATGTTGTCAGGGTGCGTCCAATGTCAAGTTTGACTGCCTCAACAAGTTCCGACATCGTGAGAGCCCTCGGGGAGCATATGACCCACTTCAAGATGCACATAGCAAGTTCGGAAGCTGGCGATATAACAATCGAGTCGGCGATGCGAGAGTAGAAGCCATTCATTTCGGAGGGAATGGTTTCCAAGGTTTCTTGCAAATCCTCCAAAGTGAAGATATTCTCCAATTTTGCCACAATGAGCCAGGCGCAGAGGAAAATACCGTTCGACTTGGACAGTACATTCGAGAGAAACATTTCATGGGACTCTGTGCCTTGGCGCTGTGGGCACTTGGCTTGCAAGAAGCGTTGAATATCGTGCAATGATCCGGATTGCCCGGTGCTTAAGTGCTTGAACTGGGCCTTGTTTTGCTTTAGTGATCTTTCCAACTGGCCCCCGGGCCGGCTGGTCATGAATACTCGGATGGGCGCAGTGTGATCGAGCTTTGACAACATTGCCACCAACGCCGGTGCCCCGTTTCCGGAACATTCATCGACCGCATCTATGACCCAAAATTGGGGTTTCAGCGAATCCAGTCGGAATATGCATTAGACAAAAAGCTTGGTCCACAGCATGTGATGATCGCCATGGCTCAGCCGTACGCCATCCTCAATCAGGGAGACGATTGCGCGCCGGACTTCATAGCTCGATTCCGCCATCTGGAAAGCAAGTGACTGAAGCAATGCTGCAATGGTGGACCCGGCGTTGTCGCTGTGCCGGAAGAAGTAGAAACTGCAATCAAGGTTGCAATCCTCCAGATATCGAACAACGTGACCAGAGACCACGGACTTGCCGGTACCAGGCCGGCCTGTGAGCCATAGGATCTTGACGTCTTCTTCGATTTCGGAAGACGTTTGTTGCGGAGGACCCGCGTATCTTGTACGGTCTGGGCCATTGATCCAACGTTGAAATACCTCGTCGGCGGTCAACCACTGACAGGAACCTTGATGCTGCTTTTCGTTGATCGCCAAAGAACGGTATCGGGACGATGCTCTACCAGAAGGAAAGAGGAAGCTTGTTGCATTTGCTCCATGTATTGGTCACGGCGTTGGAATAAGCCTAGTTCCGTGTTGGATCAGCTGGCCCAGACAGACAAGGGACGGGAAAACCAACTGTCTGCTTCGAGTTTCTCTATGGTGGTGAGAAATGCTCTTTGCAAGAGGATGTAATTCGGGCTGCTTGGACTTTCGAACTTGCAAAGATGGCGGTGATCGGCTTCGACATACTGGATATGTTCCCCGGGCAGCCCTGAGTTCACATGATCAGACATAGTCTACGAGTCACACATGGCGGCCGTATGTGACGACGTACCGAGTATCGCCGACTCTTTCTTAACCACAAGCGAGGATAGGGGGCCGAAAACTGTCGGTGCCCCCTCAAAGAAGGACCAAAGGTGTGGGTTGTTACAAACATGGCGGAATTCGTCGTTGGTTTGCTGGCGGGTGTTAATTGCAGTGTTCTAACTACGCTAAAAGCGTTGGGAGTGGACACCGGAGTATTAGACCAACATTTAGCCCTTCACTCCCAGGGACGAGGTCGTCGACATAGGCTTTGGTCCCGTGGCCGGCGGAATACCGAATAATTAATCTGTACAATCTGGGCTAAATCGGCACCGCGATGGGGTGTCCCAAGGAAGTACGTTGTATGAATTCGGTTGCCTATCCTTTTGTAGATCGAGTCGTTAAGAGCCAACAAGTAAGCCTGTGCATGTTAGCTTGGTATCAGGCAAACAACAACGGCTAGCCGGGGACCCAAAACCCTCATGTCAACCCCAGATAGCAGGCTAAGTGGCCACGAACTCGCCCGACCTTTTTGACAACCAACCCTCCCATACTATGAGCAACAAACACTATTGGTGTCTAGCAGTCTGTCAGCGAGAAACAATAGGAGGTGAGCTAGTTCGGACTCTCACGTCACCATTCTTACGCAACTCTGGTGAGTTGTAGATATCGGCAAGCAAAGCTTGGGCAAAATCATGTACAGTGAGTAAACTTTCCCTCATTGACCCGCCCGAGTTGTAACCATAGCTGTGTAATCGGATGTGCCTAAACCCAACCTCGTTTGGCAACCACTCTTTGGGCCAAAACATGCCCTGCTCTTGAGAATAGCTCCATGTTCTTCTAGATCCCCCGAACAGGCCGTGTACCTGTTCAACGGTCAGCCTCTATTAGTGTTTACAAAGTGGCTGGGGCACGCACGAAGATGAAGTCAATCCGAGGTTCTGATGGCTCGTGAAGAAGGGTTAAACCAAGGGGGCCCTTGATGTCTACTGCGGACAAAGTCTTGCCTCCAGATGGACCACCACTAAACCGGCGGAGCTTGCTCTGGATGAATGCGAGCGACGTGTTTTGCCGTGGAATGGGCTTCTTGTCGATGGACGCCAAGCGGAGATGGTCCTCGTCGCTGGTGCTCGCCTGAAAGGTCTAACAGTCAGTCTGAGTCCGCCCCGGGTTGCTTGATACTTCGCCTGAACTACCCAGTATTCTCGTTGTCTGCGAGGAGGCAGCAACGCAGGGTGTGTCGGTGAAACTTACCATGGTCCATGAAGCATAGCCTTTAGTCGCCCTTTTCCTCTTCTCACAAACACCTCATGCCGACAGACTTTCGTCCTTCCAACCACGCGCACAAAAGCTTGCAGGTCCAAATTTCCAACTTGACAGTTCCATCACAGCCCTGGCCCTCAAACCAGGTAGGACTCGAAGAAACCAATCATGGCAGGTCGGGAATGCTGGCCGGTATCACCTCCTGCATCACAGCTCATGCAGAGACAGCGAATCAAGAGTCAGAGTGCGTGTTCAGCCAACACAGGCCCTCTCTTCGCGCTCAATCAATCCACTGACTATCAGCACTCGCATGGAGGGCATGTGCCATCTGCGCCGGTCAACCTAACGGGTACCAACAACATTGATGCCTGTGTTTCGGCGGTTGGGTGTTGGATATGCATCCCAGATGCCCAGATTCTCGGCCCTATACTTATCCAAGCCTTTGCCGCCCGGTTCATCTCAGGTTCGTCTTACCTCTGTGTTTAACCTTGTTGACTACCTAGGTACCTAGGCGGCGCAAACCCGTCCTCCGATTGCGGATCCTCGAGTGGTAAAACGAAACAAAAGGCATCTAAGAGCTTGAGAAGGCTCCTTGTCCCTGATTTGCGTTCCGGTTGCCCGGTTTCTACTTTAGTTTTTGTTTGTTTTTCTTCATTCATTTTTTCTTCTTTTGGAGTCTGTCTTATTTTGGTCACATGTAGGGTCCCCCATCATCTGAAGGGTAAGCATGCGCACGGAAGACCTCCAAACCGACCCTCAGGGGAAAAATATCCAGTTAGATAAAGCTGTTGCCGCTGGTGAGCTGAGTTCCTCCACTCTATCGACCCTAATAATGGCGCTGTTCGTAAACGATTTCAGCCAATATTTCCACCTCCCGCGGTAGTTCACCTGTTTAATGGCTGGAATTAGAGCTCCCACCCAACTCCAAGGTACTTTCTGTGACCGATTCTGGGGCCTCGGCCAGTGGGTCAAGGCGGTAAAGATTGTGGTCCAGTTAGAAAATGGTGACACAGCGGAATTCTTCAAAAAGGTTGAAATATGCCATGTTATCAATGTTTAATTTCTCAATGCTAACTGGAAAGAGGGCGCCACGGGACCTACCGGGGCAAATATGATGAAAGGGGCATTCGAAGCGGAGCAAGCCCTATACAGCTGCATTCCCAACAGGGTCCCTAAGCCTGTCGCATGGGGGACTCATGCCAACTAACTGGAGACCCATTTTTATCTCTGCGAGTTTGTAGAGATGCAAGATGAAATCCCTAGCGCGAATGACTGGGCGGCTGCTGTTTCTGAACTTCACCTCGCCAGCAAAGGCAAATCTCCGACCAGACAATTCGGGTTCCATGTAACGACGCATCTAGCCAACGTTCCCATCAACAATACGTGGAACCCATCTCGTGAGGCGTTTTGGGCTCAGCAGATGAAGAGCCTTTTCGATCGGGAGGAATCGGTCAACGGCCACGACGCGGCGCTAGCAGAGCTTAAGGCTGCATATTTTGAGAAAGCCATTTCGAGGTACCTGAGACCTCTCGAAAGTGAGGGCAGGTCCGTCACCCCGTGCCTCCTCCACTCTGACCTCTGGCCGGGAAACATCAAACCCAGAACAGCCAGAAATGAGCTTTGCTTGTTCGACGCGTGCGCGTATTGGGGACACAATGAAGGTTTGTTTCACACCTTTTTCGCAAACTGCAAAGAACTCTTGCTGACAGAATGTGTAGCTGACCCAGCCATCTGCTACAACCCCAGATATAAGTTGGGCCAACCTGCTCTGGAGGCGTATAGCAATCTTGTGGCTCACTCAGACCCCGGCATAGATTTCTATGACAGGAATGCTTTATATGCCATGAAATACCACGTGTTGCTGAGCATCATGTATTCAGATAACAGGGTCTTTCGAGAGAAGCTGATGGAGGAACTCAAAATACTCCTCGGGAAGTTGGATTCTGGCTCATCCCCCTCGAGGCCGGACAAAACTACGCGGTTGTGAAATCGGATAGCGATCTCCCTGGCGGTCGGTTACTAGACGCCGGCCTAGCCGAGAAGGTAACGGGGGTGAACCGCATTTTCTCGCAACGACTCTCGCCGAATATAGTGCTCAACAAAAACCAGGACATGAGATTTTCACATACGCGACACCGGCGGGCGAGCGTGAGGTTGTGATGTGGTTGATTGAGATGGGCGCAGATCGTGGGAGGAGGGCAACGGTAGGAAGGAAGGGTTTTCGGGATCGGTGAGGCGGCGCTGGAGGTTGCGAGAGCGTATGGGAAGGTTGGATTGGGTGGGAAGCCTGGGGGCAGTAGAGGGTTGTTAAATTATGTTTCTGGTGACGGGGAGGAGACTGACAGGAATGGGGCACGCTGACATGTAGGTATAATAAACGGCAACTCGCTGCTTCCAGTCTGCCTAAATCACTTACCATGACTTGCAAGACTACATGTAGCACAAAATGATATAACTGCAATGAAACATGGTCGCAAGGCCTGCGGCGTCCTTAAACTGACTTTCACACCCATGATATTCCGTCGCACCATTCAGTGACCACCACGGGTGTAGCGTTGAGAGGACTATAAATTTAACTAGCCTGATCTGACGACCCTGAAAGGTACTTCAGTTCACACTCCCCAGACCAAATACCACACCAGCCTAAACCCCTCACTCCCGAAACACAAGCGCCCCACGTCTCAGACCTTCTCCTCCTCGCCAACCACGGGCTTATTACTAACCACCTCACCCTCGCCCTCACCCTTCTGCTGGCGGGCGGCGACGGCCTCGATCTCGGCAGCCAGGCGCGACTCGCCCTTCTTGGTCTTCCAGGGGTAGGGGGCGTCCTTGGAGAACATGAGCTCGACCTCCTCGAGGGTCTTGCCGCAGGTCTCGGGGCACAGCAGCCAGAACCAGATGGCGGCGACGATGCACAGCACGCCAAAAATGATGAAGACCTTCCAGGTGATGTTGATGAAGGCCGGCGGGGTGAACATGCCGAGGGCAAAGTTGAAGACCCAGTTGCTCAGGGCCGCCATGGACATGCCCGTGGCGCGCGTGCCCAGCGACCACACCTCGGCGGCGTAGATCCAGCAGACGGGGGCCAGGGTCAGGGCGTAGACCACGATCAGGAGGTAGGAGAAGGTGATGACGGTGTTGGCGGGCGCGCCGGGGGTCACGGCGATGACGATGTTGGCGTTGGGCGGGTTGCCGACGCCCTCCGGGTGGTAGGTGCTGTGCGCGCCCATGGTGCCGCCAACCACCAGGTGGCAGAAGCCCATGCCGATGGCGCCCCAGACGAGCAGGGTGCGGCGGCCTGTCTTGTCGATGAAGATCCTGCGGGGTTGTGTGAGCGACCGGTTTTCGGGATGATGATTACTGGGGAGTGAGAGGACTTACCACATGATACCGGTGAAGATGATGAACACGGCGTATTGAATACCCGAGGTAACCATGGCGACGTCGCCGGTTAGGCCGGCCATCTGGGCAATGTAGGTTAGGTAGTAGACGATGACGTTGGCGCCGGCAAGTTGCTGTGGTTGCACGAGTCAGCTGACATGCATGGAAGGGCGGGTTGAGTAACATACCTGCCACGCCTGAACCGAGGTGCCGGCCAGGGTTCGCTTCCACATGCCGTTCTTAAAGAACTTCCTCCAGCCTTTACCGGCCTCCCTCTCGGCAAGCATGACAGTCTGGATTTCCTCCCATTCGGCAATGACAAGTGGGTCCTCGATGTTGCCGTTGGCCTGGATGTTGGCCAGCGTCTCGATTGCCTCCTTGTCGCGCCCGACCTTGGCAAGCCATCTGGGGGACCGGGGAAGGAAAGGCAGGCCGATCATGAGGAAGAAGCACGGGATGAACTGAGTTCCCCAGGCGGTGCGGAACGAAGCCGTGCCCTCGATGGACGCGCAGCCGTAGCCGATGAAGTACATGATCAAAATGCCGAACTCGACGGCCAGTTGCTGGATGATGACGAGCGAACCACGCTTTTCGGCCTTGGCGATTTCGGCAAGGTAGACGGGAACCTGGGCGGAGGTGATGCCGACGGTGAAACCGTTCAGGACACGGCCGGCAATGAGCTGACCATAGTTCTGGCAGGCCACCTGAACCGCAGTGCCAATGAGCCAAAAGAGGCAAGCGAACAGGATAGAGTCGCGACGGCCGATCTTGTCAGACAGCGGACCGGCAACGGCAGAGCCGACAACAGAACCGGCCGCGAGAGCGGAGCCGATGGCGCCTTGAATGACGCCGGATGGGTTGTCGAAGAACTCGATATATTGATCTGTCACGACGATGGCAGACATGGAAGAAATGTCGAAGCCGAACCTAGATAAAATCAATCGATCCGTTAGCTCTCCATATTTGCAACGGGTACAACAAGGGTGGATTCATGTGGTGGGGGGACTCACAACGCGCCACCGAGGGTCGCGATGATGGCCACGAGCTGGACATTGTAGATGGTTGGCAACTTCATGGTGCCTGATTCCTGAGTAGGCTCTTGTAATCAGGATGTGGGCTCCCTGTCTTTCACCATTGGCCTGCGAGCTGACCGAGACTAGACCTTCGAGAGGAATTGAGAACAATCAAACCCTCGATTTCTTGGATTCTCGACTTGGTCGGCTGCCTTTTATTTGTTTCCCCAAGCTCTCGTGGATCCCACATGGGCCGGGTTAACACAAGGGACGAAAACCCGGGGACGTTACATGGCATGCCCGGGGGTGTCATTCTGGCTCCTCCCATGTTTCGATGGAACACTTCATTTGTGTGTTACCACTCTCTTCCTTCGAGACCCCGACCATGGTAAACATGGCTCGAGCGTGGGAGTCTGGGGTTGCCCCGGACTGCGGATCCCGCCAATCATGGGGAAAGGCTTTCGCGATGCGCCGGAAGAAAAGATCGAAGTCTCCAATCTGACGCTGCAGCTGCAGTGGCCGCACCCGAGAGCAACGGCTGTCTGCCATCTGATAGGCGCGCTTGTGGTACCCCCGGCCGGACGATTGTTGACTTAAACGAATGGGCAATGCCGAAGACGGCAGTTTTAGCTGACGATACCGTCACTGCAGGGCCGTTGGTGGGCTCGGTGGGCCGTTGCAACTCCTCCTGCCGCTTCGGGGTTGCTTTGACTTTTGCCAGCAAGCATGGGGCCTGCAGCCTGTTTCCCCGCACTCTGGCCTCGAGAAGCCTGGCTCGAACCTGGCACCAAACCCTGACCGATGCCGCCGGGCCGATTACACGGGCCCCACAAACCCACTTTCTCCAACATTTTCCCCAAATCCACCAACCTCCAGCCCGCACTTCCTGAACCAAGAACGTTGCTCTGAGTGGTACGCTTGGAGTCGCCATGAATGATAACCCCAAACCATCCTTGCCTGCCTCGTGCAGGTCCCGTGGAGAAGGACCCGAGAAACCGTGGATGATCAGACCAGAAACAAGACTACTACACGGTATATTGTTTTTGCATCTAGACCAGGTCGGTGGACGCGTGTTTCCTGTCAGTTTGCTATTGATGAAACCCAATTGAACACTGCGCACATGCAAACGACCCCGTCACCGGGTCACGAGCCGGGCGTTACCAACGAAGGCAGAGACAAGCACGGCCCGAAGCGCTTCGGTTTGCAGACTCGGGTCCCTCGTCGCATCGCCCTGATAACGGATGTGACTCGAGGGATGTGACTCGAGGGATGTGACTCGAGAGATGTGGTGTGATCCAATTCACATGCTTGCGGTGTCCCTTGTATTCGCACATGTAAGGATTGTATGTATGTACCCTGGTCGCAAACATGTCCGACTAGGGCCGGACGGAGACCGTGCGATGCTCAAACCAGCCGCCCAATCCAAGGATAAAACGGAGAGGACTGTGAAACTTTGCCCGAGCACCGAGGAAAATATATTATGCTAAACTCATCCCGACCCTCGCTTCCGACCCTCGCTTAAGCTTATTTTGTCCCGGCCTTGTTCCCGCCGTTGGCCCGCTCATCCAGCAGCCCCTCCTTCATTTTTGCAACCGCAGCCAAATCTCGCTCTCTCGTTTCCATCAAGGACAGGTCCATCCATCCCTCGGCCGTAAGCCGACCCCCGAAATCGAGCAACCAGATCTTGTCATCCAGATCAACGAGGAGGTTATCGGGTTTTGCGTCTCCCCAAACGATACCATGCTCATGAAGCGTCGTCACGGTATGCTCCATTTGAGCAGCCCATCGTTGTCTCAGTGCCACCGCTGGCCGTTTGCCAGGAAAGCTGTCGGTGACGATCGGGAGCAAGCTGGGGTGTTTGGCAGGGATCTTGGCCATGATGAAGCCAACGATACCCTCTCCAGGCGTGATCAAACCTATCGATACGAATATCTTGTCAGTTGTAGCCTGCTTTGTGCCATAGAGAGCGAGAAAATCACCTGTGAACTCGGGGATTCTGATTTCGGGACCCAACTCCAAGCCCTTGAGTTTCTCATATATCTGCACCCCTCTCGAGAGAGGAAGCTGTTCGGCATACGATTGGACAAGCTTGGCCCACAGCCTGTTTTCGTTTCCCGGGATAGTCACGTCATACATGCTCAACGGCCGTGTATATATCGTGGGCCTGCTCTCTCGGATCCCCTGGTCGGCGGGAAACTCGTGAACCACGCTGAAACCCGGCTTTCTCCATTTCGCTCCGAGGGACAACGTATTGTGCACGTTCCACGTCCGTATGGTATCCCGGAATGACCTCCAGCTTGCCATCTTTTGTCACCAGTTCCAACTTGATACACTGCGGGAACAAGTATTCTTCGATCGTCTCCACGGCAGAATCCGAGGCGGTTGAGGTAGCTACGGGGGTGGGTGCCAGCTGTTGCAAGGTTGGAAATACCGCCTCAAGTATCTTCCTCTCAACCTCATCCAGCATCCGGGATTGTTGCAAGGTTTTCTGGGGGTCCTTTCCATCGTGGTAGGATAGGTCGTCCAAGTGGTGGATCCATGCGCCCTCGATTGAGTCCGAATGCGGCTGGTATGGCTCTGGGGGCTCGTCGCTGATTAGGACCGAAAATAGCTGACCATTGTATCGATATCTTGCAATGTAAGCCAAGATATCCCCGCTTGACATGCCCCGGAGGGCCTGACGTGGGACTTGGTCCATGGTGTTAGTACGATTGTGGTTGACAAGCGAGAAAAAGGGCAAAAGTTGGAGCGATGGAAGTCGGGGGTTGTTTTGAGGACACTGAGTTGGTTTTGGTAAGGAATGAATTTAGGAACGGCCAACTGGTGTTGTCGCAATTTATAGGTGATGAGCCTCGCTGCCAACAGCACCAAATGCATATTTGGGGGGGGGGGGGGGCCTGGGCAAGGCTCGCCCTCACCAGGCAGTGTCTAGTTCTGCAGGCACACCAAGTAACAAACTGACTTAGCCACGAACGATTGGTTGCCTTGACACCGGCATCTCGCCTTGAACCAGAAAATGGATTTTGACCTGCAGTGTTCACAGCGGGTAATTCAAGTCTGAGCACTGGGTCAGCCTTCGAACTGGGTTGTTATCAATAGTCCATAGTATGCTGGTTCCAAAGCCAAGAGAATATTTGATATACCGGGACATTATATGGCATAGTGGCCACACCTCACTCACGTAGGTTGGTGTAACCTCTAGTCATGAATTAGGTTAAGTGCCGAATACCGGTCTGTCTCTTCAAAGTACCTTAGTGTTTTTGATTGTTGACTTCGACCGCTCCACCCAGATACATGACTCTCGTCTCGTCTCGCTTGACCCCCGTTTCGGGCGACCCTCCAGCGATATTGCCAGGTAAAGTGGGGGTCTTGATAAAGGTTGACGAATAGCGGCACAATTTGTTAACTAAGTTGGCGGTTGGGTTCTTGCATCATTTGGTAAAGAGATTGCGCCCGAAGATATCAATTGACATTGCCAGTGCTTCTGATTATATTTTTGTGTTTATCCATGATGTACGTCTCCCTGCGTTGTATGTTCGAGTGTCACCCACACTTAAGATCCGGTCGGTCATAGAGTTGGCCCAGAACTGAATGATAAGGCAGGCTTGGACGGTCACATCCGGATTATGAGTGGTCCGGGAGTGGTGACTAGCGTTAAGACAGATGGCAAGTCTTTTCCTCTTGAATACTATGCGGTGTGGCTCTTTTTCGATGTTGATCCAGCTTCAGGTTGGATCAAAATTTGAGCTTTTTGTAACCCATGAGCCGTCATTCGTTAGATTTATTTGATTTGCGCGGAGCGTTGACCCATTTACCCTGTTAATGGCTCGGTGTCGTGATAGGGCACCTTCTCTAGGTTGATGGCGGTGAACGCGATGCTGCTGACTGGCTGAGAGAACATGGCAACTCGTGGTCTTGGTCTCTGTCGGAATATCTACGCCAGAGTTACCCGCAGCGTCCTAGCTTCCGAGGTGTACGGAATGGTGGCCGGCGTGGATATGGCTTACGCCCTGGCTTCAACGTTACGCCAGATCACTGCCCACCTGAACCTTCCTGCCATCCCAACCATCGTCTATACAGATTCTTACTCACTGTACGAGTGTCTTGCGAAACTCGGGACTACGAAGGAAAAGCGGTTGATGATCGATATCATGGCACTGCGCCAGTCCTACGAGCGCAGAGAACTCCAGGAAGTGAGGTGGATCAATGGAGAGGACAATCTGGCGGACTCCTTCACAAAAACAACGCCGAATCGTGCCCTGGAGCGGTTTATTGACTGCAATAGTGCAACTGTACGCGTGGAAGGATGGGTCTCACGTTAGGAGACCTTTGGGGGACTACGAAGGGGATATTTGGGGACATGTACGTAATCCGAAGCCCCTCCTGCGAACTCTGGCGTTTCCTGGCCTCAAAAGAAGAGACTGCCAGTGTCGGAACATCTACGCCAGAGTTACGTCCTCGCAGGGGGACGTAACGGAGGGCAGGGGGGGATCCACGACTGGGGCAGTCGTCACGTGGTCCTGGACCTCGGGGACGACAACCCCGGCTGCAAAATCTGCGCCCCCCTCATTTCTGGATAGAAGAACATGATCCAACTGAACCACGAATGTAGCACGTCCCTCCAGAGAGAAGGGATTTTCCCTGTGCTTCTAACGCTATCGCGATACCTGGTATTCCCTACAAAGGTAAAACAACAGGCTGTTGCAAAATGTTATTTTGTAAACCAAGGCTCGAGGTAAAAGAGATAAGTCAACACAGCAGTAAGGTCATGAGGTCATGAACGGTCGCTTTAAGAGGAAAATCACATGTCACACTTGAGGCATGCTGAAATGGACAAACGGATACAGAGGTCACAAGTCATGGTGGTGGTTGACAGGGAGCCTGGTGGCTAACAGGGAGCCCTGCAGCCCTATCTCTCTCTGTATATAGATTCAGAGAGTCTCCCACCTCTTGGCGCTCCAAAAAAAATGCAAGTAACCTTACGCATAGCCATGCACCCTTCAACAAGGCAGTTCTCAAACAACGAAGTTCAAATTACATAAAACAAACAATCACAACGCCGGCCAGTGGCCCTTGGTGGGCACCCACCACCCCCAGCCCAAAAGGAAGCCCCGTCCGCCCTCATCACCCCCAGCGAGCAAAGGCATGAATGATTGAAAAGAAAAAAAACAGTAAAAAAAAAGAAAAAAAGCCAAACGTGAAAACCCCCTCGCGGGAGAAACCCGCAGCAAAGGACAGCCCCCACCCTTCAAAGCCCGCAACAACCCCCCTGCGCCCTCCCTTCAGTACCCACTGCTTCACCAACGTCCCCCTCCCTTACTCTGCTGGTTCCGACGGCATCGGCCACACGCAGCTGGATCCAGCGTGGGCGTCTGCCCCGGCCACACGGCGCAGCACAAACCTCCAGAAAATGCCCCGCCCAAGGCCATTGGGCACCCGCGACCGGGCCATCCACCACATGACAAGCCGTCGTAGCGGATGCCGACGGCGGGGGCCCCACTCGCGGCCGTGGCGGCCCGTCGCTGCGCAGCACCCGCACCGGCACGACGCGTCGCGCTCCGACCGCATCAATGCGCGCGTCTCGTGCCGACTGGCGCCGCCACGGTCGTTGCGCGCGGCGGCTGGTCCGCAGCTGTAGTACACCACCGTGCCCTGGTGCCCGGTCCCCGTTCTGCCCGTGGTAGGCCGCGGCGGCGCCCGAGACGACGACGGAATATGCACCTGCCGTGGGCGAGCCGAAAATGGCCCTTGATGTGCGACCCGTGGGCCCCGGCAAAGAAGGCGGCGATTTGTAGGGGCCACCAGTCGCCTGGTGTGAGGCCGTTGGCGCCGAAGACGTCGGCGGGTCGGCGCTGGTGGGTATATCGCGGGTCGAGTGCGTAGGAGCGGCGGTGGACGCCTCGCTGGAGGTATATGCCGTGCATGATGCCGGCGGTGCCCCAGATGGGGTGGTTTGGCGGGGGGAGGCGGAGGGCGGGCGTTGTAACGGACGGCGGCTGCGAGAATTGAGGCGGGAATAGGGGCCGTCTCGTCCTCAATCTCGTCCTCGTCCGTGGCTTCGCCAATGTTATTGGCGGTGTTATTGTTGTTTCCGTTGCCGCTGTAGCGGTTGTGGTTGTTGTTTCCGTTGCTGCCGTTGCTGCCGTTGCTGGTCTGGTGGTTGGAGTTGGTGTTGCTGGGGGTGCTCACGCCCCAGTTCTCCCGCTCAAACTTGGGCGGTGATTGTGGCCGCCCATCTTGAAACCTCCTCGGGGATGTACTCGGTGTGTTCCTCCCTGGAGAGAGCACGCAGGGTCTTCGTCGACGCGGTGAGGGTACCCCTTTAACCACCGGCGTCGGTTCGCCCAGCCCGAACTCCAGGTGCCATAGGAAGGAGGCACACATTCTTCCGTCGCCTAGCGACGTCAGCAGGGGAGGCTCGGTTACCCGCTCTCAACTTCCCAAAAAACCGAGGACCTCGGCTCTCCCTCCCTCGAGTGTGCTGGTCCATGAAAGGAACCGAGTGTTGGCACGATCGGCAGCAATGATGATGGGGGCCTCGGGGGAAGAAGCTACAACGGGGGAAGGTGAGACGGCCGCGGAGGATTCGCGGACATCGATGGTTAGGAAGAAGTTTTTAAAGGGGAAACCCGAACCGGCACGGTACCGGAAGGAGCTCCACTCAAACCGCCCCCCACTAGGATCGGACGGACGGCAAGGCCGGGACGGACCGTCAGTTATCGGGACATTTGTCGGAGCACCACCGGCATTCATGTCAGCAGGCAAACGGGCAAGAAAATCACCCATTTTTGACTTGCGTTATGTTGGTTGCAAAAAGAGAATGGATGGTATTGTGACTTTTTGATAGGCCGACGGGAATTTATGTCGAGTTCGAACAGCTTGGTTGTTTGTCTGGTTGATGGTGGGTGTTCGAGGTGCGGTCTTTGAGAATCTGCAACACATTTGTGGTCAGTTAAAACCCCCCCTCACATGTGATAATTGCTGGAAAGAAGTGCCCCCCCCCCCGGGAAAGTAACGCAAGTGTGATCACAAAAGTGAACGAGGGCTGAGAAGATTAATCTTGAACATACCGATGATACCTCAACACCTTGGCCACTCTCGTCGCAAGTCAGCACCAGTGTGGCCAGAAGAAAGTTGGTTGAGAAGTTGAGTGAAGTAGGGATGCAACGAGGAGAGAGAGAGGGAAATGGAGGGGGGAGAAGGTTAGAGAAGCGGGTCTGTGGGAGCAGCGAGGACGGGAAGGAGGGGGATCCGGAAATTCAAAGCGGAGCCACGCCGGGGCCAGGCCGGGCACCAAAACGGAGCAAGCAAAGGGGGGAAGATATTGGCCGGCAAGAACTGAACGGAGATGATCAAGTTGCAGAACAGAGCCGGCAACCAGGGTCGTAAAGCGGCCAGAGAAAACCGGAAGGAGCACAGCCTCTGACCTCTGAAAGGGACGTGGGGAGGCTATTGTCAATGTACAATAGGGGGCATGTGCCGCCGGAGAACACAATTTGAAAGGGTGGGTAGAGCTTTGGAACCCATGCCAGTGATCAAAGAGAAACAGAAGTGAAAGTAAGACACAACTTGAAAGGAATCTAGACTTTAGGCTGGTTGTGGAAACGCAGGTGCAAAAGGTTCAAGAAAAGAAGGGCCGTAACTAACATGATATGAACGTACCAAGTAGACTAAAATAATGAGCAAATCCAAAAGAGGGTATGCAAGTTGACAAGGTACCGCTGCGCCTCAAGCTGTGGAAGAGGAAAGACAGCCGACTATGAGTTCCTGTCAACAAATGACCAGAGCTCGGATTTGAGCCAGCGATATGCTCGTGAGGCCAGTAGTGGAGGTGAGCAAGCCCTGTTTTGATCGAAGGCGGGGGGCAATAATAATAATAGAGTAGAGGTTTGTATGATAATGCGGATAATTCACGCCAAGATTCGTCGATTTGGAGCGGACCAAGCCCAGAAGGCCGCAAGATATCTGCGAAACATAAAAGTCGTGCCTTATATAGCGACCCTATGTACTAATTAGTTGAGCGAACCTGATGTTTGAAGGGTTTCCTGTAACATGATCTGACTCTACAAATTGGTACACTACTGTTCCATGTCTTCGTTGTTAGGGTGACCGTCTTAGCATTCCGACAAAGTATACTTAGATTCAGTCAGTTGCTAGTTTTAATTTTTTTTTAGTCGTATCTTCAAGAAGATTAACGCATCCCACAGTCGATACACTCGAGATTTGTAAAACCAACTTGTACTAGTAGACGTCTGGCAAAAGTCTCGAAGGCTGGCACTAGAGCTGTGAGTGGCCAAGGAACCTTATCAGGACAGTGATGCGGAGGTAAGACCTTGGGTCTCACCTGGGATTGACGCTGAGTAGTAAGCTCGCATGGCCACACCAAAGCCAGAAAAGAATGAGGTATATAGATAGATGGTAGTGTCGGGGAGACAATAGTTTTGGTGCCACTGTCATGTCCGATACTATAGTTTGTTACAAGCCGTTGAATCCAAGTCGTCAGCCGTAGCACGCAGTCTCTGGGTCGTGTTTCTGAAGTTCAGTTAGGGATAGTTGACCAAGAAGAGCAACATCCAGAGCCAAGGAGCGGCGTTTATTATCGAACACTTTTGCAAGGCCACAACTCGTAGTCCATTATATGTCTTCCCACGATGTGGTCTGCGGTGATTATACCACCGTCACGTTCTTATTAGAGTCTTAGGCTAGTTGTGACGGCAGCTGCCGTCGGAGTGCACTGTGGCTCCATTTGGTTGGGCACGTGGCCACACGCGCTGGCATTTAACTCCTATATCACGAGAGCTCTTCCAGCTTCTCTTCCTTTTCTCCCCATCTTGTAATTAGCAGAATAGAGTCTCATCGGCAGTGCCCTGGCGCCTCGCCTAAATGTCCCTCGTCTCTCACACTGTACAGTAAATAGCTGAGGGTCAGGCACGCCCTAGGGCATAACGGAGTATGAATAATAATAATATTTATTTATAACAAGATCATTTGATGCTGGTTGTGTGGCGTTTCCCAAGGCACACTGACGAGGCAGACAACTCAAGTTGACTTACCGATCAGGTGATGCTGAGAGGTGCAGCAAGGACGGAACTCCGCCTGGAAAAGGCTAGTACCCTATTATTTCTGAGAGGCATGCGGACCATTTTCGTTACATCCAACAGGAGCAGAAACTGCAGATTCTCAAACCCGGGACATCATAGCCTATTATGGGCGTCTCCTCCGTTCTGGCATATGCAATTCCCCAACGTTTCGAACTATGTCTTGAGTATTTTGTACACAGTACTCCAGTTGTCTGATTCGTTTCTGTGGCTATTGGCGCCGGACATGGGCAGTACTTTTGGCCAAATCTAAAAGTAAACAGCAACAAAGAAAACACATTTTGGAGGCAAAAGAAAAATAAAAGTGTCATCTTGGAAGGATTTTTTTTGCAGTGTCTTAAAAGTGGTTATAAACTGGTTCCAGAATGTTGACATTCGCGACTTTTTGCGCCTCTCCCAGTTCCTGATCACCACTCACAAGGCCAACGGCCCGCACTTCGCCGATGGGCTTTATTCGGAACAAAAAAAGTACCATGCCGTTGCCGCGTTCTCGGTTAAGGGTCGAAGAAATCGGCGACTGATAAACGGGATGAGATACGCGGCTACGTCAGAACCAAGTTCTCGGCGGGGAAACACATTTCGCCTTCTTGTTTGAAGAGCAATGCCCTGCAAGTCACTATATCATGAAGAGTCTAATATTGAGTATGGCGACTCCGGGCGCCGAGTTATCACGGAGGTAGGGAGTCGTTTCGCCTTCTTATTCTGGGAACCACCCTCAAAACTTCCACGGATGGCCCTTCATGTCTCTGCATGGCCCGTGGCCCCTCTCCCCATCAAGTGACATTTTCTTGCCTTCGTGTCCATGTTCGCGCCATTTTGCAACAGCAGCTCCACGGCCACGGCAAAGCCGCGCTCAACCGCCATGTGCAGCGGAGTCCACCCAGCGACATCGTACGCATCGAGGTCTAAGCCCGGGTCTTGGCAATCCAACAGCACGCGTAATATGCTCTCGCGTCGATGCAAGATGGCCAGATGCAGCGCTGACCGTCGGTCGCGGTCGAGATCTCCGACGCGGGCGGCATGCGCGAGTAGCAACCGCACAACGGCCTCGTGCCCTTCGATAACGGCGTGCATGAGCGCCGTCCGCCCGTCGCTGTCCTGTTCGTTGCAGTCAACCTGGCCCCGTTGCAGCAAAATCCGTACGATGCCCTCGTTACCCCCCTGGGCTGCGATATGGAGTGTGCCGACCCATCCGTCTAGTGATGCTTCGGGTGCTGCCGTTGACAGAACCCGTAGTGAATTGTCAGATTGAACCTCGTAGAGTATTTGATCTAGAGGCGGGGGCAAGATCGGGCCTTGTTGTGGGTTTTGTCCGTCGTTGCTGTCATGGTGGGACGGGTCTTGAGGGAAGCCCAAGTCGAGAGTGGGTTCGAACCGTGCCTGCACCATCGGGACACCGACGACACCGACGTCGGGCAGAAAACTCCCCATCACATCAAGCTGACTAAAATCGACATCGTTGGGGTCCAAGATGGTGTGGCTGGTACTACGGAGAGGGTCATTTGGACTCAGGGGTATGGTGGATTGGTTGGGCAAAATGAGATTGCGAGTTTGCGTCTCGGGTTGGGCGGGCGATGGATCATCATGCAGGTGAGCGCGGTCGGCAGCTTTCTTGACTGTGGGGGTCGATCAGGCGAGGCTCTCAGACAATGCTCAAGTGCGACAGAGGACATTGCACATACGGCGAAACTTGCGCTGAGCGAGGCGGTTCTGCAAGCGCCGCCGCTCTATTGGGTCCGTGTTGGACAGGCGGAGGTCAAAGTCCATGATGGCCTTCGGGAATCGGATGTTGCGGAACGGGTGCAGGGTGGTGTGCAAGGAACAAACCTGGCACTTGGCAAGACCATGGGATCGGATGCAACCAACAACAGCATAACCCTAACCCTATAGCTCGTGTTCTTTTGATCCTTGGTTCTCTGCACTGACAGCCTCCTCGTAAAAACCTTGACCAAGGACCAAAGATAGAAACGGTATATTCAAGCCATGGTGTCACGCTCATGCATCGTCTAGTTAACTCGCTCCTAGTACTGCATATGAACTACCTAGATACCTTACCCGGTCCATTGCTAATATCAGCAAAACACATCAGTTGATCAATCTCCGCTGAGGGACAAGTTCGTGACGATAACCTTCGACTTCTCAAGAGTCAATCCTTCTCGACTCTATACGGGCCGGCCATTGCTAAGATGCTCTGTTCTCTAACCGCCGTGAGATTAATGTGTAGAGGCCTGGAATAATGATATCCTTGTCAGGTTTGGACTTAATGGCTTCATCACAGATGCAAGGCCAAGCATAACGCACCGGGAGCCGCATGCAAGGTAAGCAATGTGGGGGCATCGCTGTCTGCAAGGTAATCCACAAACCCCTGCGACACTGCGAGATCCCAGGTCGTTCATGCATACCTGGTTAGTATGTAGTGATCTCACCTTGCGCCGTGGCAGATCCACTAGCATCTTGGTTTCTCCTGATTTGATTCTGGACCTGTGGCTTGTTGATAACACTCAGCTCAATCGAGCAAGCATTGTATCGTGCCGTGGAAAGAGACGAATCAATCCATGTAGCTTTCTTTCCATGACATTGCATCTCGTTCTCCGCCGATACTTTCCCCCAAAACTTCAGTCTCTGCGGTCTCTATTTATTTAAGACTAGGGCGCACAACCATCCTGACCATGCGATTTCTTGCTCACTCCTTACCTCTACATCGACCTTTGTCTTGAATCTTGATCGAGCATCCCGTATTGTCTTGACCTTCTTAGACCCTCGTAACCATGTCGCCCACAGTCGTACTCATTACAGGCGCAAACCGTGGCATCGGCCGTGGGCTCCTGGAGCTCTACCTTGCTCGCGCCAACCACAGGATCATCGCTACTGTCCGCGACCCGAACCACTCTACCGCGAAAAAACTCACCACGCTCCCAAGGGCCGAAGGAACTTCGCTAGTTGTCGTCAAGCTCGACGTCACGGTTCACTCCGATCCTGCTGCGGCCGTTCAAGAGTTGTCCGCTAAACACGGCATTGACCACGTTGACGTTCTCGTCGCGAACGCGGGCATCGCGTTGAAGTGGCCCACCGTGTCCGAAGTAACGCCACAAGACATCCAGAAGCATGTCGAAGTGAACGTCCATGGTTTTGTTGTGCTCTTCCAGGCTTTCCGGCCCGTGTTGCAGAAGGCGAAGGACCCAAAATGGGTCACCATCGGCTCATCCGCAGCGTTTCTTACGGTGAGTTCGCCATCTCCAGAGAGAGATCATCTTTTTTCACTTTTGCTAACTTTGTCCGCGTCCGTAGTGAGTAATGTCGTACCCATCCTCTTCTGCGTTCTTCTGACACCAGCCACCCCCTTCTCACAACAGAAACTTTCTCCCCATGCGGAACGCGGCGTATGGGCCCACCAAGCTGGTCCAGCATTGGCTCACGAAGGCCATCCACACCGAAGAGCCATGGCTCATCGCCTTCCCAATCGATCCTGGGTGAGCTAGATTTCCAGTCCCATGATTCTTTTTCTCTCATCGAGCAATAGCTGCTGATTTACTTTCTACAGCTGGGTGCAGACGGACATTGGTGATCGCGGCGCCCACGCATTTGGAATTGAAAAGGCGGCAATCACCGTGGATGAGAGCGTCAACGGAATAATCAAGGTGATTGACGCAGCCACCCAGGAAACCCACAGTGGGAGGCTGTGGGCGTATACAGGCAATGAGGTGCCCTGGTAGCGTGTCTGTGGTGTACCTGGTCCCCTGGCTGGTTCTAGTAATAGTGAGCTTAGTAATGGAAGTCGTCCCGAACGAGTGACTAGATGCTGGCTGTTTGAGGGTGACCATAGTTCTTATGATTCTTTTCCTCGGAATCATGAACGCTTGCTCAATGCCTTGATATAGCCCTTCATGAGCATATCGCATGCTTAGCCAGACGTTTCATTGACGCGTAACTACACCTCCTGAGTACTGACATGCCTCCCCAGTATGAACAAGGAATATATTATTATTATTCATACTCCGCTATGCCCTAGGGCGTGCCGGACCCTCAGCTATTTAGTGTACAGGAAAACCGTGCCCTCCCGGGCCGCGTGAAAAACCCATACCAACAATCAAGGAACGGTGCGTTCTGGTGAGTCTGCGTATACAAAAAGAGGAGGCCTCCTGGCCTCCGAACGGGGGCGCTTCAGGCCGCCGCTTCCAGCTCGAGCCTCCTGGCTAAGTTGTACATCGGCAGCTTCCCCGGATCCATCAGCCAGTCGAGGACTCTCTTCGCGAGCCGTGCAGTCGTGGGATTGATGCCGTGTAGAACAGAGTAAAAGTCCCGTCGTGTCCGCATTCCAGTTCTCTCCCATCTTCGAGTCAACGGTGGGGCCAAACACCACACTACCAGGTGTTCGGCAGTCTCTCGTCCCTCGCCACACTCGCAGGCAGGAGTCAGAACCTCCGGGACTCCCCGCGTAAACAAGAAGTCCCGTAAGCCTATTGCTCCCGTCCGGATTTGAACCACCAGTGAGCTCTTCGCCTTGCTGAGACCGTCGTGCCTCCTTAGGGTTCCGTTCCGGAATAGCGTCTCCTGCTGATGGTCAAAGTCGTCCGCCGGCCTGGTGATGGATGGATGGATGGAATTTATTTCGCCCGGAGGCACTGGGCCTAGAGGACCTTAGCACGCTAACTACATCCGGATCAAATCGGTTTGCCTTTAACTCGTACAAGCCCCCTACTTCTTCCCTCTTTCTCGCTGCACCATTCCGGCCTGGTGATCGCTCTGTCATCCCGTTTTCGCTCTGTCATCCCGTTCTGTTGTGGCACGGCACAGGTGGGGCCCACCTGTGGCCCCACACTGGTGGGCAACCGACCACAAATACCTCCCACACTTGCAGGCAGATAGCTTTCATTCCCAAGTCCTCAATCAATCTATTCTGCACCAACAGACATCACCATCACGAGTCCCACACGTTCCTTTAACCACCTCGCTCTCCAAGCCTCTTCTACTACCCTGTTCGTATCAACGGTTCCCCCCGTCCAGCGCATGACCGTGCCCGCGGCTCTCTCCACCGCCGTAGGCCCTTGAGGTCCCAAGGTTCGCGGTCGGCCCCTGTTGCCCCTCCTCGAGCTAAGTCTCTGCTGTATCTTGCGGCAGGCGGTGAGGACAACGCTCCCCGGCTCCCCGCCGTCTTCTTGCCGCCTTGACCGTCGTCCAGATCGGGTCGTTGGAGTCGGTTTTCGAAATCTGCAAGCCGTTTGTTTAGGTACAAGTCCAATGGTGGTACCCATGTCTCTGTCTCGAGGTCACGGATGGGGGTAGACTTAAAGGCTCCCGCCACAATCCGCAAGCTCTTGTTCTGGGCCTTCCCGAGGGCCTTAGTGATGCCTTTCTTTACCGGCTCGCCTCCCACATCCGTGGGGATGTGAAACGATGATGCGCCATAGGCCAGCGCCGACCGGATGCACTTTGTGTACACTTCTCGCGCTTTGGCTAGCCCCATTCCCCACGTCTTTGCCACGATCCTCGACAGGGCATAGCTCTGGGTCCTCAGCTTCTTCTCCACCGCCACCAGGTGAGCCTTCCAGTTGAGTTTCCAGTCCAGCCAGACCCCCAGGAACCTGGCAGACCCTTCTGGTTTAACGGGGCTAGTGCCTCCCCCTGGGTTGGCAAGGTTTACCTGTTCAGTCCACTGCCGTCGCCCTTTGTTGAAATGGATGAGTTCGCTCTTTTCCGGGGCGAACTTCATCCCCCGACTGTCCGCCCATCGTATTCACGTTTCCCACGCCGCCTCTAGTTGCCGGACATTGGCTTGGGGATTTCGACCAAATACTAGGAGGTTGGTGTCATCCGCAAACCCTGTTATAGCCAAGTGAGGGTGCTCGTCTTTTAGCTGCTTGTATAATGAGGAAATGTACAGGATGAAGAGAACAGGGGAAAGGGGTGAGCCTTGGGGGACCCCTGCCCGAATTGCCGTCGGCGCCGCCGTCTTGCCGTCGAAAAGAAGGGTGGCCTCTCGACCGGTCAACCAATCTCTCGTCCAGAGGACCAGCCACCTCGGGAAGCCCATTTCTCGCAAAGTTGCTAGCAGTCGGGTATGGTTGACCGTGTCAAAGGCTCCTGAGATGTCCAGTTGCAATAGGGATGCCGCACCCTTCTGTCTCCACGCCTCCTGGACCTGGGCTACTACTAGCCGGACAGCCAGCTCTGTGGAGCGGTGTGCCCTGTTCCCCATTTGTTCATCTGGTAGGAGGCCGTTGACTTCTGCAGCTTGAGTGACCTTCCTGGCGACCACTGACTCTATTACCTTCCCCAGGGTTGGCAGCAGAGCAATGGGCCTGTATCCCCCCGGGGTCTGATACGCCGGCGGAGCCTTTCCTGGTTTCGGTAGTACTACAGTCTTCGCCCTCTTGAAACGGTTCGGGAACCATCCTAGCTCCAGGCACCTTGTCGCCAGAAGGGCCAGCACTTCAGCTAACGGTGCTCCGCACGCCTTCAGAAGGCCCCTCGGGAGCAAATCCTCGCCTGGCGCCTTCCAGGGGCTTGCTCTTCCTATCGCTTCCGTGATCTCGGTCGGCGTCACTGCCTGTACGACGTCGAAGCCCGGGTTCCAGCTGCCCAAAAAGGCTTGGTCTTCCACGTCCGTCAGGTTGGCCGGTGGGTCCGGGAAGAACCTCTCGGCCAGCGCGCTGGCCTTCTGGTCGTGCGTTTCGGCCGTTACCTGTCCGGAAGAGTCCTTAAATTCCGGAAGCCTCGGTGGTTCTGGCGGCAAAAAGCTCCGCAGCCTAGCCCATCTTTCCAAGCTCCACATCTGATCGGGCTTCTTTGCCTCGCTTGCTTCCTGTAGGCTGTTCCTCCAAGCCCTCGTCCGTGCTTCGCGCGTTGTTCTAGCAAGGTCCTTGAGCCTTTCGCTAAGCTCCTCCCAGCAGTACTCTGCCCGAGTCTCCTTCGCCAGCCTCTCGGCCCTCCTGGCCTCCCGGGCGGCCTGCTGCACCTCCACAGTCCACCAGGGAGAGCTGTAGCCGCAGCTCGCCTTTTTCCGTGGAGTGCTTTCCTTCGCGGTCCAGGTGAGCCACTCGGCCAGGCTATCGAAAGCTTTGCCAAGACCCTCGACTGTCCGGGTTCCGGCCGGTAGTCCGTCCGGTCCCGGGTCCGCGAGCCCCATGACCTTGCATAGCAACGCTGATTCAGCCTTCACCCTCTCCCTGTCCATCTTCTTCCAGGCCCAGCCATCCGGTTGGGTTGGCCTCGGCCCATGCCCTTCCCCGACCTCGAGCACTTGTGGGTAGTGGTCTGACTTTCCACGACACTCTTCCCCGTAGTATACTGTTTGGAGGTTTTCCGAAGTCTAGAAGTGGTCGATGGTTGACGGGCGGCCTCGCTGCCGCCCCTGGGGAGCTCGCGTTGTCGCTCCCCTTGGAGTCCTGATGGTGAGGTCCCACAAGAAACCCAGCTGCAATAGGTCTTCAGATTTCCTGTCGTAGCGTCCGAACCCATCCCACAGTGGGTTCTTTAGGTTGAAGTCTCCTTCCAGAACCACCGGGTGGCTTGGCCTTGGCCGCCCTTGGAGGGCTCTCGGTACGTTCTCGCCGGCGGGGGGGTTGTATACGGACCAAAGCTCGAATCCGCGGCTTTCCCTTCCGAGGTCCGCCTCTGGGAACCACACGCGGCACCAATTCTCCGTGGCTTCGGAGTCCCACTGCCTGATTTCAAATCTTTTGCTTACATATATTGCCGCCCACCCCTCGAGCTTATGTACCAGGTGGTATCTGCTGCTCGGGGGGCAGTATGTGGATTTTGTCGCCTTGTTGATCCACGGTTCTTGCAACAAGGAATATTATTGATAAGCCCCCCCCATAAACAAATGCTTACAACCTCGTTTATTGGTATTTCTCAACCACATATTGTTCCTCTATTCGCCATCTTGCTCGCTGGGGGTGCCCCTCGTCAACACACTTCCGCCATCCCCTTTTTGAGTTGGCGGCGGTCCTTTGCCTGTGCGTCTCAATGGTTCGGGAAAGTTATGCGGCACGGCATCAATAGTGCCAGAGTAAGTAGCACGTGTGGTGGCTAGGAGGAACAATCGAATCCAGTCAGCAAATTGTCGGGCTCCTGGTCTTAGAGATGTTGCCTAGTCTGTAATTTTGTAGGTAAGTAACTCACCTGTGACATTGATGAGAAACATGAGGAACTTCCCGAGGCTATCGACGGCTTTGTTCCACTAGTTGCCACTGATGAGACTGGGTCGGGGTGTGGAAGGAGGCTGGAATGAATTGCTGGCGAAACAAAACCTACGGCGGAAGTGAGGGCATCCATTTTGCGAGATAGCTCGTGATGGCTTTTGTGGATAGAGGTCCCTTATTAGAGTGTTTGAGCAGAGAATGGCGGCGGCCGGGTACGATCAAAGAAGCATCGTCCTCAGTCGGAAGGGTTGCGCAGGCCGAAGGGGAAAATAGGTTCATCCGGCATGGGCAGATTGATGAGGAGACAGCTCATGTCTGGCTGGTCCATCGGGTGACGAGGTGCACATCCAATGTAATCAGAAACCGAGGGCCAACTGGAATATCATAGCCGGTTACGGGCGACGTCCGTCATGGCATATGCAGCTCGCCAGCGTCTAAAACCGTGTGTTCATTGTTTGGCACATGGTACTCCACTTCTCCTAATTCGTCTCGTTCTCTGGTGTGCTTGAACTGAGGTTGGGTGCCAGCTGAGAAAACCAGACAGAGCCTTCAGTCTAATCATAAATCCAACGACATCACAACGCATCTCGTTGGGAACATTGAAAGGAAAAGCTTCTGGTAGTCGCCGTTAATTTCTAAGGAAACTGTTCGTCCACTTGGAGAAAACAGTTAACCTTCCCGGCTTTTCATCTAAGGCATAACTAGGGTTCTGGAAACATGTGTCTCAAGCTCATCTATCTCAACACTCGTTGAGATTTCAATGGTCGGATTGTTGATTGGGTACACCATCCACCACCCAAGCAGTGCATGAGTTGTATGTCGAATTACCCCGCAAATCCCCTGCGAGTTGCTTTTCGAACACTCCTTTTTCCCCCTGTTCCCAGGCTTAAATTCCAACACCAAACATTCATTATCTTTCGCGGCCTTTTTCAGGACTAACTGGAACAAGGTTTGTTGTCATTACCATTTTCCATCTAAATTACCTCCTCACCGTCAGCTCTATTCTCAGCGGTTTATCACAAGACGATGTCCGTTCCGACAGTCAAGGCGGGCCGCATCCTAGCAAAGCCGATCCGCGACCGTATCAATATTCACTACGAAAGCGATGATGACTGTGTTGTCTTCATTCGCTGCAATGGTGTAGAATTCCAAATCGAGTTGTCGCCTTTTTTCCTTTGCAATTCGCCTCTTCTCACCGCGCGGTACCACAAGTTCATCGCCGCGGTCAGGTACAGGAGCGGTATGGGCGGAGAGGAAGGTGATTCGGAGGAGGAAGAGCATCCGGAAGACGTCCAAACCCAATTCCATGATTGGATCATCGCTGTGTTCAAGCCTATCTTCTCAACAGTGGCCCCGACCGTCCCGCCGTCTTTTGACCCCGACATGATTCGAACGGGGAAAGCCAAGCCGATGCTGTCCGAGTATCTTCTCCCTGAGACGCACCGATGCCGGCTGGAATCGGAAAACGACGAGCCCATTCCGATTCATATGCCAGATAAGGAGAGTCAATTTATGGAACCCCTCTGTCATGTTGATCCAGACCTTGCACGAGAAGCCAAGGAGCTCGTCAAGTTCTTTGATCCGTCCGCAGTTGAAGTCTGGTTTCAGCATCCAAAACAAGCACTTGAGGACACACCTACTCGAGTGTTGGTCGACTTGGGTGGTTCGGGTGAGAAAACCACTTGCTTCTGCAAGGGATTTGGGGCTGGGGAGTTTATAGTACTGGAAAGAGAATTGGAAACCCATCTCCGGCTTCTGAAATCCAAGGTCGTACCAGAGGCACGCGTGGTGCGTCTGCTTGGCGTTGTTGCAGTAGAGGATGGCCGAGTAGCGGGTCTTCTGCTTCCTTACGTTGACTGCCGTCGCGACAACGACGGAGTGTTAGACGGCCTTTATCTCTGCCGCATCCCAGTCCTGCTAAGGGAACGCTGGGCGGGCCAGATCAAAGAAGCGGTCCAACAACTCCACGAAGGAGGTGTTGTCTGGGGCGATGCGAAGGCCGCTAACATTCTGATCGACAAGAATGACGATGCTTGGTTGATCGACTTTGGGGCTGGCCATACTGAAGGCTGGGTTGACGAGGAGAAGAGGGGCACCAAGGAAGGGGACTTGCAAGGAGTGGAGAAAATTGTTGAATATCTGTTCAGTGAGGAGTATAACTCGGAGTCTGCCTCGTCAGATTATGATTTCGACTCGGCGTCGGAGTAGGCAGTTCAGGAGCATCGGTGATTCTATGTATGTCGGATAACGTACTTGGGCAAGGAATATGTTTGAGTTACACGGCGGTGCCTTGAATGTTCACCGTGGGCTCGGTGCCGTGATCGATGGATCGGGGGTTGAGTTCCCAACAGACGCCCCTGGTGCCGTTGGGTTAGGGCCGAGTCTCTGCAGAGTGACGTCGGAAATATGAATTGTGGGTTGGAAAATAAGACACTTAAGACTGGCGTGGAGGCATATGTGGGCTTCTCTTGTGACACTTCGATGTTCTTTTCCACGTTCAGATATTTCCCACACTATCTATCTAACTTACAATCATGTCGAATCCTCGCCCTCAAGCGAACCTGGCGCGGTTCTTTAGCGTCGTTATTGAAGGCGGGATTAGTTCCCAGACTTGTTGATGTGTTGATGGAAAACGGCACTAAGGCTCTGCCGGCCCATGTCTAGATCTATGGAATCACCAGCGCCGGTTCGACCGTCTTTACTGAGGAGTCTGACGCCAGGAACCCCAGAAGCCAGAATCCTAGGTTGCGTATCGAAGTTGGCGGATTGTCTCCGGACCTACATGCACAATATGTGCTCGCGCAGCGAAGTGTTTTGAACTCGAAGAGGACGTTGGCCAAGATGGAGTGTTTGTGTGTGGCTTCCCAGCTAGTACCAGGTAGGAGGGGGTCTGACAATGGGACGAAACGGAGAGGAACAATAGAGGCAGATGAACCAGCTTGTTCTTAAAAAGATGAATTGCTACTTGGTTGACATTCTTCTTTTCTTTCGATGTGGTCTCCAATCAAGGCATCCCTTTCTCAAAGAGGCTGTTCCGCGTCCGCGGCAGTTGAGGAAACAGCAGTTGGTCACGCCTGCATTCAACATTTTTACAGTTTGAGCCACCAAATCGTGTTCCGGTACATGTATGTGAAAAATAACCATATCTGTTGGGGACTCTAATCATCTTGCAGGGGCAAGTCTAAGGCTAATGTTGCTAGCTTCCACGAAATAAGTAATCAAAAGGTGTACCTCCTCACACAAATTCTAGAAGATGCTTCACACCCATCCATGCGTAGCTAGCCACCGTCCCCAGAACTTGAAACCACAGTTCCATCCCCGTCAAACCGACAAACCGATTCAACAAAAGGAACCGCTTAGCAAACAACGCCGCTTCCCGGTCCCGTTGCTCTTGGGTAATTTCCTCGCGCCATACCCGATCCATCTGCCAGCAGTGGTGGGCTGCCTGTTCAGACGCCATTCCCACATGCGGCCGGAACGCGGTGTACGCGTCCCCAACGAGGATCAGGCGACTGTCAAAGAAGCTTGCCGGGTAGTCTGTGCCGTCGAGGTCGGTGGCCTTGGAGATGAACGGCCGCGGTGTCCTGTCGATAAGCTCGGCAAGCGGCGGGGTCATCTGCTCGAGGTATTGCTCCTTTTGACGGACCCAGAGATCTGGCTGGACAAGCCCCTGCGGCACGGTACTGTGGTGCATCTTGCCGTTGATGTCGGTGAAAATGTTGGCCATCTCGGGCGAGTCACCAGCCACTCGAAAGTACCATACCCAGTTGACGAACCGATCCCCGGGTGCAACTTCGCCGGCCTCAGTGGGGATGATGTAGCTAGTCACGGTATTGTCAGTCAAATGAACTTAGATAAGGAGGCCAAGAACACGGACCATGGACGGCTTTCACTTACCTGATGGAATATGCCCCCTTCATAAGGGAGAAGTTTAGTCGATTGGAGAAGTACTCGACCGTCTCGGGTGTCAGCAAGCGTTCCGGCACCACGCCGCGCCAGCCAATGTACCCGGAGTACTTTTTCTCCGATGGGATATCTAACAACTTCCGCACGGTTGAATGCACACCGTCGGCGGCGATGACCATCTCAGCGCCGATAATGTCCTTCTCGCCGGTATTTACGTCTTCAAACTCTACGTGGATGATGCCATCGTCTTGGCTATAAGTCAGCCCCACAGCACGCTTACCGGCGCGGTACTCAACTTCCCCCTCTCCTTCTCCCGGCGAGGGCGGATCCGGCACCACTCCTGACGCCTTGCCATCAAAGTTGGCTCGCAGAATAAGATACAAGGTACCCCAGTTGCTCATGTGGCGCGGAGCCGGGCGGTCGATGATGCGGAGGTGTTTGCGCCAGGCGACGCTGAGGAAGTCAGCAGGGATAGAAGAGGGCCGGCCGGTTGCGTCAAGCGTCTCGAGTAGGGCTGCCAGTCTGGGCCCAACCTGGACGCCAGATGCATGACTTTGGCGCTCTTCAGAATGGTCTTGCTCGAGAATCGTGACATTGACCCCGTTGCGCTTGAGTTGGAGGCCTTGGAGAAGGCCAGCAATCGACCCACCAATCTAGACCGTGAGAAAACCGTTGTGTCAGCGATGAATGGTGAAATGCTGTTTGGTGCGTAAGGAAAATGATGGGTTATGGAAAATATTACTTACAACAATGGCAGTCTTGGGATATGGCATCTTTGCTTTGCCCGCGCAAGGAAGACAGGTTTGAGGGTAGGGCTCTGGGTGCCTAATCCAAAGAAGAAAGTCTGGGATTTTTTGAAGGTATCGTGTATGGCGCTGAGGAGGAAAGGGTCAAAAAGGCACATGTTTCCGCCAGCGGTATTGCCGTCTTTCTATCGCTTACCTTTATAATGGCACTCCGGTCCTGGGCAAGCAGAGTTGAGCTGGCCATCAAGGTCAGGCAGTCTGTGCCATTATGCCCTCACGGATGTGTTCAATGTAACGAAGGCTTTCATCAATAAGTAATCAGTTGCAGGAGGAACATAGTGCTTTGTCCGGGGCCGGAGGAGCCACATGTTTCAAATCAGTTAAGACGGAAAAGCATCTTTGAGTGTATAATTGGTTGGGCAGGTATTTACATTATTCCGGATGCTCGGAGCGATCAACCTCCGAGGGATTGATAGATCCCAATCTCGAGTTGCTGTTGACGCAATTCCGCCCTTGTTAGAGCACGCGGGTATCTGACTAGAGACTGGAGGTTCGTAGGTTTCGCAATGAACACGGACTGTATCATTGATAGCTACCTACCTAGGGGGGCACTGAGGACTCCTCTGGCTAATTTCAATACTACCTGGAGGGAATTTCAAACTCCGGGTCGGCGTGCCCCAACTCCTGTAAGCTCAACACACAACTTGAAAGGGAAAACAAACCGTGTCTCAGCATTCTGTGACCCAGAGCATCAACGTTAAAAAGTGTAATATAGTGAGGGGCAACTAGAAGACTAAAATGGAAATTCAGGAAAAAAATCACGCCTAGATAACATTGAGTTATATTAATTCATACACATATATAAGTAATGGTGCACGGAGTGTTGTTGACTGTGAGCTTGGATCGATCCCATTTCTCCTATTTCGCAGGTTCTCTAACATAGGTAGATAGCTACCTACATACTTGCCTGCAACAGACCTGCCGAACGCTCCACCCAATATCTCGATTCCTAGCTAGGTACTCAGAGTAGGTTCGGTCTCGCCCCAAAAACACAAATTAGAGGTCGGGAATTCCCGTTTTTGTAACCACTCATAATCGGACACTGATCCGCGTCAGAACTTGACAGCAGTCTTTGCGCGAAGCCATTCGCCGTACTTGTAAAACAGAATTGGGAAGGGCATAAAAATCAGTGCAAGAAAACCAAGCAGCGAGTTGCCCCAGCCATAGTGCAATGTCTGGTACATCTTGGGCCCCGCGAGCGGCAGGAAAGTACCGGAGATGTAGCGCAGCAGAAGGTTAGCACCCAAGGCAGAAGCTGCCCCCTCGGAACCGAAGAGGTTCACGAGATAGAGTTGGGCGGGCATCAGCACAAAAAATGCGCCGTAGCCGATGAAGGTAGTCCCGATGATGGGCACGATCCAATGCACCTTGTACTCAGCCCCCCAGCCGTAAATGAACAAGCCCACAGCTACCGAAGGACTGAACCAAATCATCGGAAGGAGACGCTGTTCAAGCCGCGGTCCGGGCAGTCCCAGTGCTATGGCCCGTACAATCATGCGTTTGTTCAGGCTGTTGAAAACCGGCACAGCAAAAACCATGGAGATGCCCAAGCCAAGGTACACCAGCCCAGAGGTGGACGTCGTGAACCCATATTGTCCTTCGAAGACGCTGGTGAAGGTGGTGAACAGCAGGTACATAATACCAAAGATGAGGCCGACGTATAGTGACAAAATCAGCACAATTGGAGAACGGACCAGGAGCATGGCCGGACGGACAAGCGCCTTTGCGAGAAGCTGGCTCGGTGTGTGAGGGAGAGCCAGCTTTGAGCGGAGGTGCGAGTTCCCTGTCTCAGCGCGGAGACGGGCTGTCTTGCGTTCCAAAAGGATCTTAGGGTGTGTCTCGCGGAGCAGGGCGAGGGCAGATACCCCAGCGGCACCACCAACAATGGCCAGCACCCAGAATATCCAACGCCACCCCTTGTTCGCGGCGATAACTCCACCGATGAGAGGGCCGATCACGGGCCCTGTCAGAGGTCCAAGGCTGAACAGGGCCATCGCCAACCCTCTCTTGGAGAGCTGAGTGAGATCGGCGATGGAGCCGCCTCCGAGGGCCATTGGGACGCCGCCTGCACAACCCGAGAGGAAGCGGAAGACGATAAACTGAGCGGCGGTAGTGCTGAGCGCGTTTCCAATAACAAAAACCACAAAGACGAGATTGGCGATGTGGTAGACGGGAAGGCGGCCATAGACTTCACCGAGCGGGGATATGACCATTGGCCCGAGAGCGATGCCAAGGACGTAGAGGGTGATGGCAAGCGTGCTGACGGTCTCGGTGGTGATGTTCAAGTCGGCAACGATACCGCCGATGCCGGGTGCGCAAATGGTAGGGGCGAGGTTCCTGTGTTGCGTTCAAGAGTCGACGTTAGCACACATGATTTAGGTATCCAGGCCTTCGGTAGAGCGATGATGGTAGAGAGGGCATGCCGCATACGTGATCAAACCGAGTATGGAGATCATGATGATTTGGTTCCACCGTTTCGCCGCAGGCCAGTTGACGGGGTTCTCAGCATCGCCGGATCGCTCCCAATCTACAATGTTGTTCTCTATTCCGAGCTCAAGATTGCTGCCACTCGCCGGGCTTGACTCGAGTCCGGCTGCACGTTTTTCTTCCAAGGACTGCTCCTTCGACATTGAGGTAGTTGTAGCTTATGCGAGAAGATGGCGCCAAAATGGAAACTGGACAAAGATGACCTGGGATGAACGTCGGAGAAGGAAACCAGCGCGGTGCAATGTCTCCTAACAGGCATTTTAAAGACTGCTGAGGTTGGCGCGGTTTGGAGGAGACCGTAGCTCCGCGGCTAATGGGCGGATCTCACAGCGCATACTAGAAACCCAACCATGACTTTGGTCTTCGTCATCGAATTCAGTGCTGGATATCCGGTATCTCCGCCGAGCGAGCGGGTCTTGCCGTGCCGTTGTCCGCGGGGGATTGGACCCCGAGTGGTTCCGTGTCGGCTGCCAAGGCCCAAGATTCCCGATTCGGAAGCCAACCAGCATTTAGTTAACTGCTACTTCGTACCAAGTAGCCAATGAACTGGTTCAGAAAGTCACAACTCTTGTCATATCCCACGCGTGACATCACCAAAACAAAACCCCGGTGTTGTTTAGACCGCTTTCCAGCATTTTTTTGGGCCTGTATCTCTGTCGACTGAGGAAAATACCCTCCTTCTCTGGGAAGGTGATGCCTGCCGAGCTCAGAGTGGGGCACGGAGGGTCGGACGGTCATCCCCGAGACAGGTGGGGTAAATTCTAACAATGGAAGGTGGGGGGGCTACTCCCCTGAATCCTGAGCAACGACAACAACTTCCCTTCCCCGGCGACTTCCTCCCACTAGACGGGCAGACGGGAGGAAAAAATGTCCCGGTAACTGTCATGTTTCTAGCACACGCTGCTAGTCCAATGTCGTTGAGGAGTGACGGTAAAGCGGGCCAGGTTGAAGACGGCCCCCAGGCACGTCCCAGCCCCAGTGCCAGTCGACGCCGGGAAAAGCCACAACTTTCATGCAATCTCTGCCGACGTCGCAAGTAAGAGCCGTGTCCTCTTGGTCCTTTTTGCCTTTATGGATTTTTAGCGTTGTGGGCTCCTGGACTTCATCGTCCTGTTCCTCCGATACAGACCGCTGATTCCCTTCCCTTTCGCCCGCTCTAGGCTACGTTGCGACCGCCAACAACCATGTTCAACCTGCTCATCGCGGGGGCTCGCGTGTACCTACGCCGACAATTATGCCACCGCACTATCCCTGCCCAGGCCGGCAGCCATGCACGACCGCATCGTTCAGCTCGAGCGTCTTGTCATGTCTCTCATGCCAGCACCTGCGCTCAACTCCATGTCCGGCCCCGCCCCGAACCCCGGCCCCACTCCGGCGTTGGGTCCCGGTCTCAGTCCCGTACCCCGGGCCGGTCCAACGTGTCACGGCATGGCCACCCCGGCTGAGACAGCACCTCCTACCGTGGAATTAGAGACGGCCCTTGAAGTGGGCTCTGAATGTGGAAGCATGCATATGAGTGCGTCAGAACTACACTACGTTGGCGGGGACCACTGGACCGCCATCCTGGACGGCATTGCCGATCTCAAGGATCACTTCGACCAAGAAGAACGGTTCCGCCTAGCCCAGGCTGAGCATGACACTGGCGCTGGCGTTGAAACCACCAACCCCCTGGGGCCTCGCTCAACCCACACACTTCTCCTCTACGGCTGCCGCTTGCCAGTGTCGCGCGCCGAGATTCTCGCCGCCCTGCCGCCAAAGACTGCTGTAGACCGGTACATCTCTCGCTACTTCAACCGCTTGGACTTGGTCCATTGTTAGTGCCCCCGATGCTTTGTCGGTCATTTCATGCCTGGGCCTGTTCTGGACAACCAATAGGGATGAATTTGGACTGACGGCGATAGAACAGCCATTATCCACGGCCCAAGCTTTCTTCAGGAGGCAAGTTCTAGTGATACTCTCACCGGCAATACTTTTGTGCTAACGAGCTGAGCCCAGTATGAGGCGTTTTGGACCAACGAATCCAACATCCCGGTTGTATGGGTCGGGCTGCTTTTCAGTATGATTTGCCTCGCCCTCCTTGCATCGGATGCCTCCGACACCGCCCATGGCGACCCCGAGCACCGATCTCTGCAAATTGACCTCTACCGCGAAAAGGCGGTACAATGTCTCATCATCGGCAAATACATCAAATCCGGCCCATACGTTCTAGAAACTGTCATACATTACGTTTACATCGAACTCATCCTTCGAGGCGACGCCGACAAAGATATCTGGTTTCTTTTCGGCCTTGAAGTGAACCTAGCCATGCGCATGGGCTACCATCGCGATCCGAGCCATTTCCCTGGCGTTTCCCCACTCCAGAGCGAGATCAGGCGAAGACTCTGGGCCACCGTGCTCCAGGGCGATATGCTCATTTCCACCCAAATGGGGATGCCTCGCATGATCTCGGACGGGATATGGGACACGGCGGAGCCACGCAATATTAGCGACACCGATTTGGACGGAAATACAACCGAGTTGCCACCACCCCGCCCTGAGACTGAACTGACACCGACTCTCGGCATTATCGCTAGGAGGAGAATGTTCATAGCCCTCGGCAAAATATGCGATATCACTTCTGCCGCCCAACCGTGTGGCTATTCTGAGATGATGAGGGTGGACGGCATCCTCCAACAAGCAGTTGCCAGCATCCCCCCACCGTTCAAACCCAAACCCTTGGCTATCAGCGTGACCGATACCCCCGAAGTTATCATGGCCCGCCTATTCATCCTGCACCTGTTCCACAAGGGGCAAATCATGCTTCACCGTCGCTTTCTCTACGTGGATTCCCCCTCGCCCGACGAGGACGTCTTTGCCTACTCCCGCACCACCTGCCTAGACGCCTCACTCGGCGCTCTTCAGATCCAAAATACCCTGGACGAAGAAACCGGGCCTGGGGGGCAGCTCTTCAGGATGCGCTGGCGCGTTTCTTCCATCATGAACCACACTTTCCTTACGGCCACTATGGTGTTGTGCTCGATGCTACACCGCGGCCGGACATTCGAGCGGAAAGAGGAGATTCTGACGGCCCTTACGAGGACGAGGACCATCTGGATGCGCGCTAGTTCCGGTTCCGAGGAGGCAAAAAAGGCAGCCGAGACGGTGAGCATTGTGCTCGCGAGGGTTGGGGAAGGCCGCGGTGCTCAAGAGCACCGGAAGCACGAGCATGGTGGTGGGGTTATGCTTTCACACCAAGCAACACGGGGCACCGCACCGGCCGAGTATATCTCTACCGACGGTAGCTGTCTTGGCAACATCGGCGTTGATGGCCATGATGTGTTGCCCCAAAACAACACCAACGTGGGAAGTACTGCTTTTGATCGTGAGTATTCCTAAGGTTCCTCCATCCCCGACGGACGGGATCCGGAAACTGACTATTTCTTAGCCGATAGATTTGTCATGCCAGGGCTCCTTGGGACTTTCACCCCGCCAGATGCACAGGGACAGACGATCAACTTGAACTACAGCCCTAGGTTGGATGACGTGGCATTTTCATTGGATGAATGGATTCAAACAAATCATCAGTTTACCGCACCGCCTTCGTAGGATAATTCTGAATATAACTTGCAACCTATGTGAAGAAACGCTGGGAGCAAGACGTTCTTGCGGGGCTTGGCGCGAAGATTGTCACTATGTCTTGCTTCATTACTAGAACTTCCGCCAGTCTTCTACCTCTTCCGCTACGACTATCCCCACGGCGCAGTCATTTCGACCCCTGCCCCCGTAGCCCTTTATCTGCCCCCGCTTCCATTGCCGCGAGCCCTTCGCTACAGCCAGTTGCTGGTCAAGCACGTTACACCTGTCGTTGCTTGTCGCCAGCTCGCTCTTGGTCTTGTCCAGCTCGTTTCCCTTATCCACTAGCTCCTTTATCTTGTCCGCCAGCTCCTAATCTTTGCCCTACAGCTTCCCTTGGTTTTCATCCAGCTGCCTCTCTAGTTGCTGGATTGTCCTTTCCTTATCGTCCGGCTGGTGGTGTTGGCGCTAACCGTTATCAATATCGAATATCAGGCCAAGGGCCGAAACAGTAAACTGTCTGGTATTGCTACCATTGTGATCGCCGGTGTTGGTAATTGTGCTGCTGGTGTTGGTGCTTTTTGGTGTTGGTGCTGGTGCTTTTGGTGTTGGTACTGGTGCTTTTGGTATTGGTGCTCTTATTGCTGGTGTTACTACTACATATCTTTGCCATTGGCCTCCGGGCACAAGTCAGGGAGCAGGAGGGTTTAAAAGAAGCATTCAACTGGTTGGTCGAGGAGCTACAGAGGATGGCTGAAGTGGCCACCCCTCGGAAGAAGGCCAACAGAGGCCACGGCTCGCCGTGGTGGTCAGTGGAGGTCCAGGAGGCCCAGAGAGAGGCAAGGAGAGCCGAAAGGGAGTGCAAGGCAGCCCCGTCGGAGCACAACAAAGAAAGACTTAACCAAGGTCTACGGGCCCTCGCGGCCACCATCAACAAGGAGAAAACGAAGACCTGGAGGACAACAATGCAGAAAGCCACCCACAAACCCGACCTGCTATGGAGCCTAGAACGCTGGGCCCGTTGCAGAAGCTTCGCCCCCCCAGATCCCCCGAAACTACCCGCTCTCACAGGGCCCCCCGGAGGCCAGGACCTCTCCACCCACGAGGAGAAGGCGGAGGCCTTAGCACGCCGGTTCTACCCTAACCCAGAAGCTGACCTTTCTGATATAGAGGACCCGGACCTGCTAGAACAGTGGGTTCCGAAGTTCAATATAGAGGAAAAGGTTACAGTGGGTGATGTTAGGGCAGTTCTTTCGAAGATTAGTCCTTGGAAGGCTCCAGGCGAGGACCACTTACCTATAGGCCTTCTTAAGGCCTGTGGGCGCCCACTGTTCAAGGTGCTAGCGGTTCTCACGGAGGCGTGTTTCCGGATCGGATGGTTTCCAGAAATATTCAAGAGAGCCAAAACAGTTGTCCTACAAAAGCCCGGAAAAGAGCCGAGTACCTACCGAACTCCAGGAGGCTACAGGCCTATAGCCCTTCTACCTACAGTTGGGAAGGTCATAGAAGCACTGGTAGCAAAGAGGATTACTAGTGCTGCAGAGGCCTACGGCCTACTACCAGCGGAGCAGATGGGAAACCGAGAGCACAGGTCAACAGAGGTAGCGATTCGGCTAGTCGTAGCCCAAGTCCAGGAGGCCTGGCGGCAGAAAGCAACCGCCTCCCTTCTACAGTTGGATATCTCAGGGGCATTCGACACCGTCAACCACACCCGGCTACTAGCCACTCTTCGGCTACAGGGTTACCCACAGTGGGTGGTTCTGTGGGTGAAGGCGTGGTTAAGTAACAGAGTTGCGATCCTCCACTTCGACGGCCAGAAAACAGAGGACATCCCAGTCATAGCGGGAGTCCCCCAGGGCTCACCACTATCCCCGATCCTATTTATCCTCTACATTGCCTCCCTATATCAGGCCCTGAAAACAGCCCATCCACTGGTTAGCATAGTAGGGTTCGCAGACGACACAAACCTACTGGCCTTTGGAAAGAACCCAGAGGCCAATACACAGGCAACTGGAAAAAGCTTGGAAGACCTGCTTGCAGTGGGCTGGTACCCGGGGGATGGAGTTCGCACCTCAAAAGTGCGAATTAATTCACTTCAACAAAGGTAGGAGACAGTGGGAGAACCCGGTGGCCCTGGCCCACCCAGGGGCTAGTGGCTACAGCACAGTTAAGCCAGTGGAATCGGCTCCGTTTTCTAGGAGTCTTGGCTGGGACTGTGAAGCTATCATGGAGGGCGCACCAACAAGCTGTGGAACGGAAACTCAAAACCCAAGATTTCGCCTTATCGAGGATTGCAGCAAAGACGTGGGGCCCGAGCCTATCCAGGGCTCGGGAGGTCTACGTAAAGTGCATCCGCAGTGCCATAGCTTACGGAGCCTCCAGCTTCCACCAACCAACAGCTCCAAGAGCTACAGGGCCGAAGGGGCCTGCAAAGCTCTTGTCAAAAGCTCAGAACAGGAGCCTTCGAATAGTAGTAGGGGCATACAAGTCAGCTCCTATTCGGTGCTTAGAAACAGAGGCCTGGGTGCCACCGCTAGACTTATATCTCAACAAGCGGCTGGCCGACTTCGAGGGCCGGCTACAGAAGCAGGCCCTACAGTCAGGGGCTGGGCCGGAGGCTGAGAGAATAACCACGGGGCATCTAATTACTGAGGCCTGCAATAAGGTCTACCGAAGGTTCAACAAGAGGAGGAAAACCCGAGGCCGGAGGCCCCGTCAGGGCCCGCAGAGTCCCACGCCCACTGAACTAGCCGCTAGTGTAGTGGCCCAGTGGGTTAACTACAAATGGAAGATTGGGGGGAAGGATAGGGGGTCGAATACCAAGGAGGTGGTCGAACTGGCCTGGCAGGCCCGGTGGGAACAACAGAGAGCTAGTCAACAAAGTACTACTCGACAGAGGGTATTAAACAGGAGGATAGCCGACGAAGACCCCCCAGCCCTCTTATTTACCGACAAAGCTCTGATGAGACACGAAGGTCTTACAAAGGCGCAGAGCTCCCTCCTTTCCCAGGCCCGTATCGGGGATATAGGCCTCCGGGACTACCTGTTCAGGGTGAAAGTCCCGGAGGTCCGTACCCCCTATTGCGAGTGCGGGAGGGGCAGGGAGACAGTGGAGCACTTGGTGGTTTGGTGCCCCGACCCGCCGTTACAAAGGCCGTGGGACGGCAGAGAGATTCGGTCACATCGGGACCTACAAACCGTATTACGGGGAGTAGGTGCCCGGAGCAGAAGATTTGTTAGGAAGGTCCTTGGCTGGCTGATGGACTCTGGCCGGCTACTGGAGTATAGGCTGGCCAGAAGGCTGGAGCTAGAAACAGTGGATGGGGAGGGCTAGAGGGCCCGGAGGCCGGCAAAGGGCCTCCTTTCTTTTGCAGTATGACGGATTCATAGATTGTTGTCTCAAAGTGGTAGACAGAGGTTTTTATCCGGCCTATACGGCACGGTTTCCTTTGTAAATAGCAGTAGAAGGACCGGCGCGCCCCAGGGCATATCGGTGTAGGAAATAATAATAATAATAATAATATCTTTGCCATTCTTGCAAGTGCGACTGCTAGTGCTGTGTGTTGGTAGCGGATGGTATTTTTGGTGTAATTGCTACCAAATGAGAATGTTAGTGGTTTAGCTTTTCCAAGCGAGAGAAGGGGGAAGACTTAGAGGCATTTATATGAACGCGAGAACTTGTTGGGGCCGTGGCATGGCTTAGTTTACGGGAAGGAGGCAGTGGACTGTCACTTGCACGTAAGAAGGGACTCCCAACGTGCCATTTCTCAACGGGAAGGCCATATTGGGGTAACCGCTCATATCGGGCGGTCATTTCTTTATCTACCTGCAATGTTGCCTTGTCCATCCCTCTTCATGGAAACGTCAACGCGTGCATCACCATTTCCAAAAGTGACTTCTAGGTGCATCGTGAAGTGAGTCCCAGTTGACGCTCTCTACGGTGGCCTAGGCCAGCGCTCCCAACAACCCAATCAATCCGATCTGGGCCTTAAAATTGGATTAAATTGAAGCCTTTCCGAATAATTGATTGATTGAAGCCCCGGAATTGGATTGGATTGAAGAATTGCAGCTAAAGTCACATGATCCCCGGTAGGTTTTTCCGACCTCACACAGTCCCCTTGGCACAGAGCAAGATCCCCGACCACAACCCTGCCACTCTGCTAAGAAGGACCTCGATTTCGCAACCAATTCTTGAGGCACTGCAGCTTGGATATTGTATCCTCCTGTGTAGACTGCCTCTGCATCCCCACGGCCAGTTTCGCAAGGCTGAATGTCCTCTCGCACTCTGTTGACATAGGTGGAATAGAGAGCAAGTCGAACGCCATCTTTGACAGCCGAGGAAATCGCTCTTGGTTACTCAACCACCACTGCAACGGATCTTCCACCGGCCTAACAGGCTCACCAAGGTGGGCTGTTACCTCAGATGCTGGAACAAAGCTCACAACACTAGAAAGAGCCATCGGTCTTGTCCCCTTGTAGCCGCGTGAGCCAGATACCGTGTTTCCCGATCCACGAGGTCCGATTCTTCTTAGATAGCCATTCCTCTAGGATATATCTATTTCCTTTATGAAGAATCGCTGGAAGGTCCTTAACGGCGAAGAGGGACAGTTGTTCTACGGGGATCTCTGCTGCCTCGCGAGCTTGGTCGGCAACGCTGCGGGCCCGGCGGAGGCGGGAGAAGGCGCTGTTTCCGGCGGTGGAAGCGATCGGTATGTCGGATATGTGGATTGGAGCATCGCTGGCAATAGATGCCGTGTCTGAACAATCGGCAAGGTTAACGATAGCGGACGTTCAGAGGCAACAGTGACCTAGTATAATGGTTCGCCGCGGTCGAGCGGGGACGCAACACCAAGGGGAAGCATCGCGATACCGCGCGTGTCGAACCGAGGGCCCACAACGCGCCTGGCCCGGGTGTTTTCTTGGGTAAAGGGCTAAGAACCTTGAACCCTCAGGGTTTACCGGGGTGTCCAAAGAAGGAAAAGTTCTGGGCCAAAAATTGACAATCCGCCAATCAATCCGGTGGCCGAATTGGATTAAATTGGGGCTCGAAAATCCAGAATTGGATTGAAAGATTGCCAAGAAAAAATTGGATTATTGGGAGCGCTGTCACGAGATGGCGGCTGTATCAAGAGTATATCTTGTATATCTACGTCGGCCTTTTGGTGGCGGATTCAGCGGATGAGCGCCACTTTGCCACCAAAAAAGGGCCGTGCGCTCAGCGGCCGGAAATATTCACCCCTATCTACGTATTGTCAAGGGTTAGGGTTATATATGTAGAACTGGTATCCATGGTTGCGAATGCCCTCTCTCTGTAAGAGGCATCTACTAGATGCGGGTATATAACCTCTTGGCTCTGAACCGCTTTTCAGCTCTAGGGCTAATACAGTTTAAAGTAAAAAAGGCGCTCGTGGTGTAGCGGTATAAGACGGCCACCATTTAATGTGGATAAAACCTTATTTGACCACCGATAGAACCTCTCAAATATCAAGGCCGGCACCATACTAGATCTCGAATCTTAAAAAAGAAACCACGACTTTAGCTACCAAGAGGCCACGAGTTCGAATCAATGTACGGGCTCTACAAAAAGAATAAAAAAAACAAATCCACTTTCGGCCTATATATGGGGGGGGGAGAGGACGTAGGCGCAGCCGCTTCCGTAAGACGACTGGCACCGTATACAGACTGACTGCCTGGCTAGAGACAACTGTAACTGTCCACTGATGGCAACCGTCGCTTCTAACGATCGGCTCTGGGAGCCTCCAGAGTCTTCCTGTTGGACTCGGAGCCGCTTGCAATAAAGGTCTAAAGAGCAGTTAGACTGCCGGTTGTTCGGCACCGACAAACTGCATGGCCGATTCCTCGCTTATTCGCCGCGACCGGGCAACTCGCCGGATCTCCCGGATGACTTCGAGCCGTAAGGAATACCACTGCACTTCGGCCTGACGGCCGGCTCGCCATCGACTCCCCCACCGGTTGTCTAGTGCCGTAATCGAAGGGCCGCCCTGGAGGCCAACGGTCCACTCGCGCCCAGAGGTCCCTCACAGTCTTGACAGCCCTGCTCATGCGATACCTCGGCGGCTCTACCCCTGCCTCTGCCCCTGCCTCAAGACTGTGCTCTTCCGCTAAGCCGGCGGCCCCTGGGCTAGCGGAGCGACTTACCGACAACAAGGGTGCCGACCCGTAGACACTCCCCTCCCCTTCCGCAACTACTTCGCCAAGCCTTTGGGGCAACGGAACTAGAGGTGTAGAGGCCAGTGCCGGCGCCGGTGCTGGCACCGGCACTGGCCTAGTGGCCGACTTTAGCTGAAAGACGCTCTCGGTAAGGAAGGTCTGTAAGGAAGACTGATAAGCTCCGGCCAGCTGTTCTTTAGCCGTACGGATCTCGGCCGTCAGGGCTGCCGAAAGCTCCGTCATCTGCGCCTCGCGCCGGGCTTCCGCCATTTTGAGATAGTCGGTAAGGGCTGGCAACGCTTGTGTCAAGATGGCTAGTTCAGTTGGCCGCTCGTCTTCCTCTATCAACGCTAGTACCCGGCCTGCGTATGGCGCGTAGTCTTTATGCTGAAATACCGGATGGCTCCATACTGCGCAGTCTGGGAATTGGCGCATTAGCAACGCCGAGTCCTGTAAGATAACCTCCCGGAGGTAGAATAACAAGGTAGTGAAGCCAGCCGCCGCTAGATCGTTTACTTGCCCCGGCCCTGGACCGAACTTGCCGGCCCACCTGTTTAGGTCCGGCCAGATCAACGGCAAGAGTGAGCCTGGAGGCGGTATTCGGGCCCGGCGTATTTCAAAGCAACCCATCTGCGCCGGGTGGCCGGCCATGGTCCGCATAAACTTCCGGGATAGCGAATTCAGGTAACAGCCGACCATTTGCTCCTGGTTCCAGCGGCCTGCACGCTGAATCTGTGCCTCGCTTATGCCTTTCAGCTCGGCCGTCTTTGCCCCAGAGCTTCGGCCGACGTGGGTCTTCTTGATCGACTGGATACCCGCGTACGCAAATGCCTTGATAACCCAGTCCCGTTGGCTATTGTATGCGAACTCAGAGGTAGGACTGGCGTCGGTGCTCTTTAGCAGCCGAATATCGTACCATTGTGCCCGGTTCTCGAACTCTGGGAACGGCTCGTTGGTAAGGTCCCACCGAAAAAGTAGGTAAAAGGCTATGGCGCCGAGCACACAGATAAGCGGGTCACGGCTGCGAAGTGCGCTGGCAGTCTCCAAGCGGCCGTGCTGGTTTTGCTTCCCGGCTCGCGTCGTAATAATGAGCGGCATGCACCGCGTAGGGCCCTCGCCGGCGAATTCGAACGTAAACAGGTCCGAGATCTCAAGAGCTCGGCGGTCACCTCCGCGGGTAAGCATATAGTGGCCGAGGAGCAAGTCAACCAGGGTCCGAAGGTGGCACTCGGCCGACTGTGCCGTACGGCCCCAGAGCTCGCCGGCGATCCGCTTCAAATCCTCCTCGGAGTAGCCATCAAGAAGGGTATCTCGGCCCTTGTCGGCGTAATTGGCCTTTTGCTGCTCTGCATCCCGGCGCTGTAGGGATTTGATATACTCCCTAGCGTTGTCCTCCCGGGGCGACGGATAGGTGTTCATACCGAGCGCTTTCTGCGCGCGGTAGAGGTCGGTAATCGCCGTTATATACGACCGAACTGATCGCCACGAAAGCCGAGTCTCTGAGAGGGGGATATCTTCGGCGGCCTTCCGGCTCCGCGACCGCAGCGGCCGATGGACGACTTCCTCGACAAGAAAAAGAAGGAGCTTATCCTCCCTGACCGTCTCGCCATCTTGGTACTGCTTCCGCTTGCAGAACCGGCGAAACTCTTCCTGCTTTGGCTCGTAAGCCGAGGTCGTATTCTTCGGCCGGGCTGCCCTGATCATTGTGAGGATATTTTGCGAGTTGGCATGTAGCTCGGCGTTGTTAACGATGGCGCGGTCCACGTGTTGACCACGTTCAGCGGCAGAGGGCCAGAGCCGCGCCGGTGCCGCTGCGGTTAGCGGCTCTTTTTGGTGGCTGCCCGAAGGCTGTTCCGTACCGGGCGACAAGGCCACGGTGATCGACTGGTAGTCGGCCGGAGCCGGCGCCGGCGCTCGTCGCTTTCGGGGCGCCATGGCCGGGGGGGAATAGAGGTTGGAGAGGGGTCGATAGTGTTCGCTGCAGTGCCCTGCCGTGCCGCAGAGGAAGGGAAAGGAATGGAGGTCGGGGGGGGAGGAGAGGTTTGCCACTAGGAGGCGGCCGCTCTACTTCTGTACTGCGTAGCGATCGCCCGCGCACACGCGCGAGGCGCTGAAAGCCACCGAGAGGCTAGCGGTCATAGTGCTGTAATGCCCTGGAACGCCCTGAAAGCCAGTGGGCCGTACAGGGGGGCTCGGAGCGAATCAGCAAACCGATCAGCGCAAGCCGTAGATATACCGAAATAACTATGGACGGACCTTGCAGCTACACGCAAGGCTCCTCACAAATCAAATATTTCGCAACCAAATAAAATACTTGGCAAATAAGCCAAACCAAATACGGCCCTATATTTGGCAAATAAAGGGCCACATTTGCCAAGCTTTATTTGGCTTATTTGACTTATTTGCCAAGATTAATGGGTTCCACACACATATATAACCCTAACCCCAGACTACACCGTCGAGACCGTCTTCCCACCTGCCCTGGATGATACCATCACCGTACATCCACTTGAAGCGGGCATCGCATCAGCCGTCACGAAGCTCGACGAGTACATCGCCTTCCTCGGCGATTCGCACGCATACTGGTTCGCAATGATCTTACACCCAGGGCACAGAAGAAGGTGGATGGAGTTGAACTTGAAGCCGGCTCAGATGGACAGTTGGATCGACGCATTCAAGCAGTATTTCAAGAGCCAGTATTTCCATCAAGATGCTGCGTTCGAGACCAACAATCCAGAGCACCACGACCGTCCCGGGCGCAACAGCTTCCTCCTCGGCTCCAACTATTATGACGACATAGAGGATCACAACGAGGTTGACCAATACCTCTCTGAGCGGCCCAAGCAGGTAGATGAGCCTCTGGCGTGGTGGAAGGCCAATATTTCACGGTATCCACGGCTTTCTACAATGGCATTCGATTATCTCTCCATCCCGGCCATGTCATCAGAGTGCGAGCGACTGTTCAGTCGCGCCAAGCACTGCGTAGGCATCCAACGACATTCGCTTCACGCAGACTCAATCAACATGCTCCAAAGCTTGAAGAATTGGGTGGGAAAGAGAGAGGTCTGAAGCGGTGGTTTTCGTGGGCGGTGATCTTGATGTCCTGGGCATGCAGGCCGGTGGATGGATGCGCGGGCGCGCGGGCGGTGCAGGCCGGCAATTGCCTAAATGGGCCAAAAATATATTTAGGAAGTTCTGAATTTTATTGCATTTTAGTACGATTCTCCCAGTTCCCAGCCCAAGCCTGGCTTTACCTGACTGCCGGTGCAACTGACGTTGTGGGTGCATGCAGGTGCTCTCCCCTCAAAAACAAGGTGTGGTTCACGGTTATGGTTATGTATGGGTATTTGGCTTATTTGGCCATGACCCCATTACATATGCCACCTAGACCAGAAATAGACTATATGCAGCGTGCCCCAGCCCATGTAAATAAAATAGGGGGTCTTATTTGATTTGTGAGGAGCCTTGGCTACACGTAGGTATCTCGGCATCTCGACGGCCAGTGGGGCGCAAGGGTTGTGGTTTAGTGCGGCGGATGGATCAGCGAGCCGCGGATCAACGCTCAGTGGCTGCTTGGATACCGTCGAATACGACGCATCATCTCATTCCTCCCCATTGCCAACCAATACCGAGACTAGAGAAGCACAACGTGGCGGCCGTAACCCAGTCAGGCCGTTCGTTTGTCTCGGCTCTGATCCACAGGATTGACGCTGTCAGCACACAATCCCCTCTCGCTACTGCTCGTCAACTAGTAACCGGCGGTGAGGCGGTAACTGACCGGGGGCCCCGATGGTTGAATCTGGCTCCTCTGAAGCTCTCGGTAAATCCTAGTCTGACCTCCTCACCCGTTGAAGCCTGCTCGGGGACCGCCATCGTGAATTCGGCTGATCCACAGGAACAGCCCGCTTGTGCAGAGCCAAGATCCATAGGGCTTACTGGCATCGCGTTTGAACCAACCATTTGCTGGAGAAATTACCGATCCTGGCAGTTTAGAGGAGTCAATACCCTAGCTGGTTCCAGACCCGCCCGCTCCTGTCTCAGCGAGCAATGCCCGCTTTAGGTAACGGGCGTTTAAGCGGACGTCCCTGTTGGGGTCAGGAAGAGTGAGACCCACCCAATGACTTGTACAACCTCACTGCTTGGCTTTGGCGATGTCTCTGTGCTAGTCATGTCAGCATGCATTTGCCCGAGTCGACCAGACGCAGACTCGATCCAGCTTCCCCAGCCCTGTATCACCAAAATGGTCTGTCGGTTCATCAATGATGATCCACAAAAGAGCTTCGTGAAGCGGAGTAATTTTTCCTCATTCCCGGTGTTAGCCTCCTAGAGGGGATACAGACGGATATCGGCCTGTTATTCTCTAGCACGAGAAAAGGTATAAAGACAACCACATCCTGCCCGTCAACTAAGTCTTGGGGGCATCACACTCTTCCGACACATCATCCACCTCACAATCCAACGCCAACACCAAACCACCAACACCATCACAATGAAGTGCCAAACCCTCCTCCTTGTCGTCGCGGCCCTCGTGCCCTCCGTCCTGGCCGACAAGCCCAAGCTGAACCAATACCGCACCATGGACGACTGGTATGCAAACCCGCCGCCCTCCATCCAAAGTTTTCAGCCGTCCCGGTATGCTAATATAGAAGCTGATAGCAACAACGATGCCAACATCTTGTATCACGCCGCCCCCGTCTCGGGCCGGTGCTACAACCTCGACGACGCCACGGGCGCCTTCTTCTGGAACACGGGCGGCATGCTCAACCCCAGAGGTGAGTCTTGTTTTGCTGCTCCTTTCCCCCACCTCCCCCAAACTATGCATGCCAGCAACTGACTTTTTTGTGATTTCCAGTCTACACTGGCAAGGACTGCCACGGCACTGAGGACCCTCTTTCCACCCGTGGCCGCTGCTATCCCAAGGGTATTTACCGCTCTTACAAGTGCTGGTAATTGCACTTTTCCAGTCTTGCATCTAGCGACCAGTTCTCCGGGTTCAGGCGGGAAGCCAGTGTTTGATGGTTGCTATGGCGGCTCTTGGAGGTGCGGGAGGTGTTACCATTTTACCAGATAATACTACCAAGGAGTCTTAGAGAATTAAAAACGTCGTTGGCTTCGTAAGCGTGTTTTGTTTCTTGTTGACACGGCAACCTGAGCTTGGTCACCCTGTGGATAAGGGATCGCTATAAACAGGCGGCGGAGCCGTAGCGTAAATCCCTTAATAATTCGCTGGTAGCCCAAATTGGTCTCCTTCTATATTCTCCTAGCTCTAAGCGACATTGGTTCCAAACAAAGCCCCAACTCCAAGGCTGCAAACAATCAGTTACATGATATAGTCCGCGGAGCCCGAATCCGCTACCTCAAGCTTAGCAAGCCTCACATCTATATCCCGAATCGCCTGTAGTAAAGCGTCGCGGCTCTCCATCATCTCGCTAGCATCCACGTGTTCGAGCTGCGGGGATATGGCGCCCCCCGCGCCCGCTGCCGCAATACCAAGCACCTTCGCTGCTTCGCCCTCAGGCATCGTCATCTCGTGAGAGTTCTTGGTCACGTCGAGTTCAGTCAGGAGTCGATGTACCCCCAGTATGCCTTCACACCTTGTAGGATTATTCTCGCAGGCGCAGTTAGCATGTTGCCTGTGGTTGGCAACGACGGCGTTGAGTGCCTCTGCGGCCTGGAGGTGTCCCACGCTGGTGGTGTACGCTCAGAGCGCGCCCAGCGCCACCCATAGGTTGGTCTCCTGCACGGCGGCGTGACAAGGCCCGGGATCTTTGGTTCCATAACAACAGCGCTTCCCGCAGCGTTCTTTATATTTGCTCCGGCCGCTCGGAGACACGGCCTTCGACGCCACGTTAGCCACTTGCTTGGCTGAGGTTATAAACGCGGCAGCGACGGTGGATCTGGTGCCAGCCGGTGAATTGGCGATAGTGTTGGCAACCGTGGTGACGGCGGTAGCAATGGCAACGGCTACATGATCTCGCGGCAATTCTCTTTCAGAGCCCAATACAAAGGTAATGCTGCCGATAACGTTACAAAAGCCTTCTTATAGTCTGGTATGTCACGCTTGACTGCGTTATCGAGATGGCAAAGGCTGATCCACCTCTTCCCCGGGTTTGCTACTAGTTTGGCAATATGGTTCGTAATAGCGGTAACTATGGCGGCAGCGGCGATTTGTGGTTTAGCGGTCGGTGCTGAGGCCACCGAGTCGGCGGTGTAAGTACTAATGATATCAACTGTCGCTCGGGCGGCGGTGGAGGTCGATCCATCAGTGACAGCAACGGTGGCGATAGCGGCAGAAATATACGCTGCGGTTGCCTTAGGATCAGAAGGCAGTTCGTGGTGCACATTATTTCGGTCATCTGTCGAATGTTGAGCTGGCGCGCGACGAGCTTCTTTCGTGCCATTGCGTGGGGAGACATCTTCCTTGATGGCCGTGGTACTCGCAGGCGGCTCGGCATCAACTTGGCAATATAACGGTGGTTGGGTAGCCATCGTGATGTCCGAGTCTAAGCTCTCGTTGGGTGATATATTTGGGGAAGGGAGGTCTTTATTACAAAGTCCAACCCCGCTGCCCTTATTCGGCTGTGTTGTTTGCCGCACCAACGCTCGGAATTGTCGCCACCTCTCGTTCATTTCAGGACCGGCAAAGGGGGTAATGAGGAGTTATCTAGGGTGAGGAGCTGAGAAATGAAGGAAAAGCAAGGTAAACAGGAACCTGGCGGTTTTAACCCACCACCTCGACGTAAAGTCTGTTCGCCCCCACAGGTATGGGTATGACGTCGGTATTACAGCATGTAGTAGCTCGAGTGCCACAGCTGGTGGCACCATTAGCAGCATTCGACCGCAGTGATAGGTATGCAGGTACATACTTCAGGTGCCCGGGCAGGGCGACATTCTGGTGAGTGGTCGACGTGAAGGCATAATTACACTCCGACAGGTAACAACCGCTGGTGACATCGAGAAGCTGGCAGACCGCCTGAGTGGGATCCGCCAGCAAATGGACGTCGCTCTGCTATATCTGTTGTTGTCAGTCGTTCCTCCTGTACAGATATTTCTGTACGATACAGCAAGCTGACTCTTCCTGTTGTAAACAATTATTAGGCACCAAGCCGGAAAAAGCGGAGTTGAGTTACGCCAGTTTGCGAAGCAGCAAGCGAATATGATTGCCACATTGGGTCGGGTCGATAGTACGACCAAGCAATTCAGCACCGATATCGTTGGCCTCATCGACAGTTGGCCCGTGGACAATCGACCTGACGCTGATAAGATGGTGCTCTACGTGCTGAGCGACAAGTGGGATGCAAGTGAATATGCAAAACGAACCCAGTTCGACAGCAACAAAGACAGCGACAAAGGCGACAAACTGTGCCAGAGTCTATACTTTGAGTCCATCAGCCATCGGGAGATAAGTATTTCTAAACGACACGCGGCCACCTTCGAGTGGATATTCCACGAGCCACAGACGTCCGAAGACAGCCAGCAGCTCTGGTCAAGCTTTCCGCAATGGCTACGCGAGGATTCCCAAAGTATTTACTGGGTCACTGGCAAGCCAGGTTCTGGGAAGTCCACGTTAGCCAAATTCTTCGCCTATGACCCAAGGGTTGCACAATTGCTGCAAAATTGGGCAGCCGGGTCCCAGCTGCTTGTTGCTCGCTTCTTTTCCTGGGCGTCAGGAGCGAACAAGCTCCAAAAGTCCCACGAGGGTCTCTTTAGAACACTTCTCCTTGAGGCAATTCGGAAACGGGCGCAGCTGGCCGTCGAGATCTTCCCTGCGAGGTGGTTTCTTCTTTAGTCCTTCAATACAATCGCCAAGTTGCCAGCTCCGACCATGGGCGAGCTAGTGGCTGGCTTCCGGAACCTCCTTCGCGCAACCGGGGAAAGGTTCAAGGTGGTCCTTTTCATTGACGGCCTTGATGAGTTTGAAGAGGACCACAGACAACTGGTTGAAATACTCGGCGAAGCTAATGCAGCGGCCGCGGTTAAGGTTTGCGCCACTAGCAGACCATGGAACATCTTCAGGGATGCGTACGGCAAGAATCCAATGTTACGGCTCGAAACTTCACCAGGAAAGATATCAAGTCCTTTGTCCAAGCACAACTTGAGCTCAGCCCGGGTTATCACGAATTTGCCGCCACCAGCCCACAGACCGCTCGCAACATCATCACCGACATCATCAACAAAGCACAGGGCGTCTTCCTCTGGGTGTCCGTCATTTCGGGGATTTTAGAAGTTGACTTCCGGGAAGGGGCCAGCATCACGGCTTTGCAAGCGGTCATCGATAAACTTCCAAGCGAGGTTGCCGACTTGTTCCGTTACATCTGGGACCGAACTGGCAAGCGTTTCCGCCCCGAGGCATCGCAGCTTTTCCAGGTCAAGAGCGTTTGCCACAAGCTTGGAATCTCTCTACCTGCCCTAACACTCTGGTTTGGGGATAAGGAAATTTCGGTTAACCTCGACGCCGCCGAAGTCACGAGCCAATACTTAACCGGTGCCATCGGTTCTCTGGAACGGAAACTAGCGAGCCGAACAGGAGGCTTATTAGAGCTAGTGGCCATTCAAGGCAACAACATCGGGTTCATGGAGAGCAATCTCGTGGATTTTATGCACCGGACAGTCATGGATTGGGTCCGCGAGAATTGGGCGAGCATCACCGCGGCAACCGACCCTGACTTCGATCCTCAATCCTCGATTGTCAAGGGGTTAGTTCTGGGCATTGTCCTCACTGCTGAGCCAATTGTTTCGGGCTCGCTTGGGCAAGGCTGGTTTCACGGGTATTCCAAGCTGCCTCTAGCTTTCCGGATGACCACCCAGATAAAAGTGTTCTCGTGAGTGCTCTCGACCGGCTAAATATCCACGTCGCCAAATTCCCAGAAGAATCACGATTGTGGTGGGAAGAACAGTTTAACAACGACGGTCGTCCAATAGGCGAGCTCTATAAACGTGGACAGCAAAATCCTGTGAGGCCACTTGTCGACGGCATGCCTCAAGTTGCCGCCCTGATACCTATTCCTATATATCTAAAGCACAAGACTCAGCATTGTCCCGACCTATTCGCAAATCAACGCCTCTATGCCGGAACGGTGACAAACATCATTTACGAGGAAATCCCGTTTCCTAACCATTCAGAGGCGCGGCTAGAGCTCTTGGAACTCCTGACTCGAGAGTCCGTGGGTTGGCCACATTCAAGTGGACAACATTACGATACTGGAAGGAGCACAGAATATTCTCTCTTTTCTTGATGTCGACCCCGACTACTGGGAACATGTACTCCACATATTGAAATCCTGTATTGCCCCAAACGTGGGCGGGGGAAGCTCCCGGGGTCCGAAGCCGAGGTCGAAATGGAGGAGAGGGTTTCGAATTCCCTTCCGAAGAATATTTTTCCGCAAATGGGGCTCACGGACTCAGGTTTAGTCACTTTTTTCGCAGCCAGACATGCCGTTTTTGTAGCAAATAGTTACCTCCCTTCCTTCTATCGGGAGCACACGAGGCCTTTACGCCGTGACATCATCATGGGGACAAGCAAGCGAGAGACAGCAGACCACTTCTCCTCCCCTGCTGAGCATGAACAGAACATGCACATCGGGGGTCAAAAGCAAGTTAGTTTGCTCCCTTTGGCCAAAAGGAAAGCCGAACTCGAAAGGGGACCAAGAAGCCAAGAAAAGACGAAGAAGTAAAAAAGAAAAATAAGAAAAAGAAAAGGTAAAGAAAGCTGAACAAGGTAAACCAAATAAAAGAAACCAAGTTAAATCGAAAGTAGACTTCGGGCTTTCGAATAGCTTTCTTTTGGTCCTTCTAGTCTAAGGTTTGGGCGGCACCTCCAATTGGAGTTCGGTTTTTTACATGTATTCGTCACTGTGGTCCGTTACCACTTCCCCCTTGTCGAGGGCCAGAGCTACACGCCCTAGATGGGCAAAAAACACGCATGCCCACCCGCCAACAGCGCGTCAATAACACCAGTAGCGGCATCGCCCACCCCACCGACATTGGCAGGGTGAGCCAGAGCCAGAGCCAGAGCCGTGTGTGTGAGGGGAGGTTGCAATAATAGTCCCTCCCCTCCCGAACATCGGTGTGCGTGCGTGTGTGTGTGTGTGTGTGTGTGTGTGTGTGTGTGTGTGTGTGTGTATCTTGGTTGTGAGGGTGTGTGCTGCGGACGGTGGGTTGTGTGGATTCGGTGGATGTGGTTGTTGTTGTCGTGGTCGTCTGGTAGTTGAACTGACCACCGCTCTCACTTTGGCGGCCATCGTATCGCTCTCTTCACGGACTTTCCGTCTTCGGTCAGATTAAATACCATCACACTATACATGAATTCGAGATCAGAAAGTTCCCGCTCGTTGATGATGTTGGTGAGGTGGTCTACAATGCTCCGCCCTTGTTTATTTTTCCGGTGGCCATCGACGCCTCTACTTAGAGGCTTCACCCAATGGCCGATCTCTCGGCACACATCATGTTTATTCTCGTCCATTTCTCTCGCGGCTCTCAACAACGGTGTGTCGCCGTTGCTGTCTAGCTGAGTAGGGTCGGCGCCGGCGACGAGGAGGGCGCGAACTATCGTGTCCCTATCAGACCAAACCGACTCGGACCATTCTTCCTCCAGAGATGGATTCCAGGGGAGCGTCACGGCCCAGTGCAGATATCGATGCTCAATGGCACGAGGATTGCCGCGGATTGGTTGTTTTTGCAACATGCGTTCGATAGGGTACGTGTCGGAGCATATGAGAGCTTGCTTCAAGGGCGTCGTGTCTTCGCCGCATGACAAGCTAGGGGCGACGCGGATGTGTATATCGGCACCGGCTTCGATAAGTTCCCATGCGAACCCGCCATCATGCATCCGGCGCGATGAAGTCACCAGCGAGAGAAGGGTGTGGCCCTCTGGGTCCAAGGAGTTAATATCCGTCTCTGGGACGTCGCGTAGAAGGGCCCTGGCCATGTCCCAACGGGCGGCTTTAATGGCCGCGCGCAGAATCGTCAACTTGGCTTCGCCGTCGAAGGTATCCGCCGCGAGACCCCGGTAGCAGAGGACCTCGGCGACCTCCAATGCGGGGTCCTTTCTGTGCCGGTTGTGCAAGCGAGAGCAGATAAAAGAGACGTTTGACGACAGGCGGCCCGAACGATCCATATCAACGAGGGCGTCGATCAGTCGCAGTGTTGCAGCGCTAAATCGGTGCGGATCGCCCATAAGGGCCTCCCAGTCGGGATCGGTGGTTGCATCTTCGATGTCATCTTCGAATTGCACGGCGTCGAAAAGGGCACCAACGACTTCCATGGGAAAGGTTTTAACGAGGTCGATGCGGCCTTGTGCTGCTATGCACTGCACGGCAGCCAGACGTCCATTCCGGACAGCGACATGCAAGGCCGGAACACCTTTTTTGTTGCGCAAGCAAGGGTCAGCGCCTCGAGCGAGCAAGAGCCGAAGAATGCCCATGTCGGAAGGCGATTCGATCCTAAATCTGTCGCCCTCGTCAAGGCTGTCGAAGAGGAGGTGCAAAACAGTGTCACCATCTTCGTCCCCGTCAACCAAGCTCACGCCAGCTTCAATTAGCAGCTTGGTGATAGCCCACGCGTCGGAATGTGCTATGCGAAAGGAGGCCAGATATGCCGGGGCGTAGGACAGAAAGCCGAGGCTCATTTCGGAGGGAGAGTCAATGGTGGGCGGCTCCACGGATACCATCAACGCGTTCCTCCCCTTTAAATTGCGTATTCCGACATCCGCGCCGGCAGCGAGTAGGGCTTCCACGGCGGCGACGTTAGTATGCCTAACGGCCACGGTGAGGGCGGTTTCCACACCAAAACCGATGAACCCCATCTTCGCGTCTGGCGAGACGCCAGCGGCAACAAGTCTCGCGATGACTGCTCCTCGAAACGCCCTTTGCCCTGGAGCTCGACTCCAAATTGCTTCTCCTGTCGGATAAAACTCGTTATCCAGACCAAAGTCCATACAGCAAAGGTGCAGGGGGGGGATGTTCATGTTGATGGCGGAATCGTTGCCGAGCTGAACGCCCATGGTGACATTGGCGCCGAGATCAATTAATTTCAGAGCGTCTTCGAATCGGCCGAGCCGACAAGCTTCGGCAAGGGGAGTGGCATCGAGCCGAACATTGGTTTGGACGTCGCCGTGGCGGCGATCGAAAACTACGCGGACGCGGGAGTTGATGTTTGCCCCCCGTGCCATCAGGATAGGAATGGTGGAATCCCAGCGGGCATTGATATAAGCGTGGTAGAATGGAGTCATGCCAAGCTCATCCGGGACGTCGACGTCGATATCTGGGTGAGTGTCCAAAATATAGCGGACCAAGTCGACATGGCCTGCGGCTGCCGCCTGGTGAAGAGCTCCGTAGCTGGCGGATCCATTGTGGGAATTTCTCAAGACTGTTGCACCCGCCGAAAGGAGACTCTTGGCGGTTTCGATGCGTGAAGAACAGATGGCGGCGTGGAGGGGCAGCCAATGGACTGGCTTAAGGAGGTGACCAAGAGTCGGCCGGTCCAACATGGTCTGCCAAAGGCCACGATGCGGGCGACAAGGGCAGAACCAGCGGGAGGAGCTGTCGACTGAGGCGCCGTTGGCCAGCAAGAGATTGACAAAGTCGGTGTGTCCCTCTCTAGCAGCAAGATGAAGGGCGGTGTATTCGCGAAGGAGGCGATCGGCCTCGTAGAGTTCGGGAGGGGGGTCACGGGGGGATTGGGCAAAATCGACGGTGGAGCTATCCGGACTGCCGTTGCCAGCCAGCCCGGCAGACGGACAGACTTCAGCAGGATAGCCGACATCGAAATCGGCTAGGCCGGACGTCATGTCTTTGGCCCAGATTTCTTCTTCGTCGTCAAGCGCCTCGACCCGGTCATTGGAAAGGGGCGGCCAATACTTGGGGTCCCCGGCGGCCCAGTCCAAGGTGGCTTGATGGGCATCGTTGGCAAAATGCCAGAAGTGGCGTGTCATCTGGCATCGCAACTTGCGGTCTGGCGATGCACCGGCGGCCAGGACCTTGTGCAGGGTAGCTGCAATTCCGAATTTAGCAGCCCATGCTAGAGGTGTTGCAAAATGGTACCCGATGCCTCTGGCGTACAGAATCGGCTCAACCACGCTCAGAAGACGACGATTCACGAGGCTAAGCTGGTATAGATCTTCCATGTGTTCTGCGTGGTCGCTGTAGCAGTTGTGGTCGTCGTCATCTCCAAGCGCGCAACGGTGATCGGGCGGATACAAGTAATTACAGACCATGCAGAGCAGCTCATTGGGTAATGAAGGAAGTGTCGTCATCTCCATCGCCGGTTGTTTCCACGTATGATGAGTAGGTTAAGGTAGAGGTAGGTGGTTCGGGTTTTGACCGACGTTCTGTTGTGACTTAGTTGTGAACCTGCTGCATGTGATTCTGGTGGTGCGCAAGTGGTGTGGATTGCAGGACTTGGAGCTGGAAATTCACTACGGAGTAAAACGGTGATCAGTCAGGGGCTCCAGGCCGCTTTGATTGGCTACACAGAACGAACCCACCCCTGCAAACGCGTCGTCCAACTTCGCGTTTTCTTCGGAAATGCCAAGCCAGAACAGCTGCCCGAGGAAGCGGCGCTCGCCATCAGGGCGGGAGAGCTGCACGGTGTACCAACTCGAGTCTCATATCATGATACCACCAACACTCTCCCAATGTGAGCCTCAAACCTAGGTACCTAAACTTCTCCCCAATTCACACAATTTAAACCAACCTTGAACCCCCAAGAAGCCTCATCGCCCAAATTCACCTCAGAAATACGGCAACAGACTCGGCAACACCTTGGAATATCCTACACCGCTGGGTGGTTCCCTAAGACCATCGAACCAGGTCAGCGTGGAAGCATACGGGAAGTACGAGGATAAGAGAATTTGGGCTGTTAGAACATTCTTCGAAGTACCTTGGGTATAATAAGAGAGGGGGGTAAAGAAAAAAAAATATAATAAAAGAAGAAAGTAAACTAAATTAAGTATCACGGGTGGGAATGCCGTGGTAGGAGTATACTCGTGTATTGCGTGGTTGCACGAGGAACCGAAAGTGGGAGGCGGGGCACGCTCAAGGAAAACCCTGCTCGTACCTGCGCACAGGCCACACTGCGCGGTGCCCCACCTATGCTGCGCGCAGAGCCTCCACCCCGCAGAGCCCCACTTGGCCCGTCTGGAGAACCCGAACCCTAACTACATATAACAACCCTAACCCTACAAGGAACGGGCTGTGCCCGTGACATTAAGAGAGGAAAGGAAAAAGAGAGGAAAAAGAAAAAGAAGACTCACATCGAATACATATACGTCCCCCACCACGGCCCACCACCCCACCACAACCACCCCATCCACACATCCGCATTCTCCGCCATGTGCGCGAGCATGCCCGTCAGCGCCGCGATGCACTGGGCGTTGGCCCCGCCCGCCGTCTCTCCCAGGATGCCGCGCTTGCCGCTGGCCTTGAGCCACGCCGTCGCCTCGCGCAGCCGCTCCTGTCCGATCGTCCCGGACACGCACGCCTCCGATGTGCCGGATCCGTCGCTGTCCAAGTATTGGTGCATCTCGTACACTAGCTTGTCGGAGCCCGCGGGGTCGGAGAGGTTGATGAGCGATGCGCCGTTGCCGGAGGAGACCTGGAGAATGGGGGGGTCGGGGTGGTTAGCTGGTCTGCCTACGTAGGTAGGTGAAGCAGTAAGGTGGTCATTGGCTGCCTAGCTCGGAGGATGGTTGATGTGATGATGTTGTGATGGGTATGTTGGGGATGCAAACTGGAACCCACCCATGTCCATGCTCCTGTCCACGAGTTGCCCTCGACGAAGATCAGCTGCGACGTGGCCCCCGCGCCCCGGATGCCGTCGATGGCGGCCTGATTGAGGTTGAAGACTAGCTTGTCGTCCATGTCGTGGTATTCGTTGTTGGTATCGAAGATGACCTTGTCGTTGCTGGAGAATATTTTGGCCGTCGTCGTCCACCACGCCTTAAACCCGTCAACGTCGGTGATAATTCGCTCGTAGTACCGGCCTATGGGGAATGGTCAGTACGGGGCTGTCCGTCGTGGAAGTTGGACGCGTCGGATGGAGAGGTAGATCAGGTGAGTACCGAAGTTGTGCGGGTCGATGACGGCGTAAGCCCCCTTGCCGGTAATGTATGAGACGATCTGGGCGCGCGGTCAGTCATCATCACTTTTCCAGCCGACCATCACTTCCATACATCAGTGAGCCCCTGGGAATATGTGGCGTTGACGGTGCCCGTCATCTTCGTAGGGATCAGGCGTTCCCTGTTATTCTTGTCAACCACTCCCTTCCATACCTTGTTCTATTTTCTGCCGCGGGACAAAGAATCCTACATCATGATCGGAATGCGGAAGGTATTCATGCCCTTGCCGATGAGTGTCTGTTGGTCATGTCAGTTGCCCCAACCTAACCTCATACTTCGCTCCCAAGAGCAACATAGCAACAGGACAAAGCTGACATCGATGCTCGACTTAGCGGGCCAGGTATAGTGCTTGCCGAGCTGCCCCGGCAGCGTATCCTTGCCGAACTCGGCGCCAGATTGGTTGACGCCGACAAACTTAAACTTGCCGGCTCGCTTCTCCTTGGTTGTGAGAGTCGGCGCAACAGATGCCGGTGCCGCCAGCGCTGAACTGGTGGCCACCGCGCCGAGAAGGAGGTTGAGCAACTTCATGTTGACGGTAGAGTTTCAACAACCTATTGCCCTGGTGTCAAAAGTGAATTCTTCTGTCCTTCGCCATACGTTCTTATGTATGCACACGACGTCGCCATTGTATTGCGGGCATCATGTCCAACTCGGAAACACTTGCTCCGCCCTCGAGGCCTGGTCAACGCAGATCTTTATTAGCTCGCTCGCCGCAAAGCCCCTGGGAAACCGCAGGCGCGGGCTTTGGACTGACGGGGCTTGTAGCATCATCACCGGTAATAACTGCCCCCGGCGTGTTTGTTACATTTAACGATCCCCGGGTCGTTGCCGGCGCGAATTCCATACAACCGGGAGCTACAAAAGACGGCACATGCGGGGTGACCTCTACATGGCTCCCTAAAAGGGGTTGCTTCCTCCGCCCTCCCGAAATCAACCGGACGCCCCTGGCGGGGGCCATGCCACAATATGGAAGGCACAGGGAAACCAATGTGTCTCCGCTCAAGCCAACTGATTAACAGTTTGTGAGGGGACACCGGTGCGTAAAACACCTTGAGCGACATCAGCTTGCGCTACAGGACAGATTTTCAATGGTAGGGCCGAGGACAATAACCTACAAATTACTACGCCGAGAAATTGATGTCAAAATGGAAACCAAAATAGATGAGATGAGTAAACGTGAAAAGAGAACAATGAACGGTGGGTAAATGAAGGAAAACAATACTTTACCGTATATGCAGGTGTGGCTGCTGGCTGGTATATGTTACACCACATCAGAACACGGACTTCCACATGGTGAGCAAGGTGTTTGGGGAAAAGTCTCGAATACTGTGTAAGAAGGTGCCAAGAGGTGCAGGAATTCAGTGCAAGCTTCGAATCCCATAACTACTATTCGCCAGCGCCACGGTGCGGCGATCCGTTCGTCACGCCCAAGTTCAGCCCAAGACCATTCGGTGGACCGTTTAGCCTTGATCTTGTACAGTCCACGCTGCCCCAGGTCGTAATTAAGAGCCACCCAAGCGTTAGAGTAACCCCGCCAAAGACAAACGTGGGGAAGCCCTATCTCCCAATGAATGTTGAGGCGATAGTCTTTGTGATAATGGTGGCACCGATTGTGCGCCCACCCTCCTTGATTACCCCCCACAGTTTGGTGAGCCTGAACATGAGAAATTACATAGCGGTTTCGCTATTTCCGCTTTGTACAGCAGCGCAAACTGCTAGCCTCTCGGAAAGCAGAGATGGCGTTTATTCCTTGGCTACCTAGTCGTCTTAAAGAGTGCTGTAGATAGCGGTGTTGTAGATGGAGATGAAGGCGATGTAGTGTGGACCATATGGAAGTCCGCCGAAGAGGATGATAATCGCCGTTCATCTCATTCTCCTCGTCCATCTTATCCCCCCCATGGGATGAGAATCGCCGAATAGGTAGCCAAGGCGCCACCATTGTCGGGCTTGGATATAGGGGAGCATTACTTGCCTTGTCGGGTCTCGGACCGCATGCGAGCCCGTTCAATGAACCGGTATCCTTGATGTATGATGATGTCGAATCCAAGGTCGGCATCCTCAGGGTCAGAATCCTCTGGCTCGGGATCCTCTGGCTTAGGATCCTCCGGCTCGGGGCAGACCAAGCGGACGGTCTTGCGCGCCGCTGTCCTCGGGGGCCCGGGCTCTTCAGGCACCGCGGACAAACGCATTGCTTATATTGATGCCGAGAATTGTGTGACAAACCAAAAAAAAAAAAAAAAAAACCGATATGGTGAGGGTAATAACTCAGCATCAGAGCTGGGAGCTGGCTGTTTAAGGGGATGGATCATTCGACAGTCCCCCTGCATCTTTCACCATCTCGGGCTGGAGACACGAAGTCGAACCTGATGTATGATCTATGGGGATGAGGTTCTGCGGTACTACTCCAGAGTCCCTTGACAACCTGAAGAAAATAGGATGGGGATGTGTCGGACAGTCTAACGCCGAGATAGAAGCGGCAAGATGGATCATGGAAGGCAACAAGATGCCGGCGGAATGATTATATCCATGTCTACATGTATGCAATACGATTTTAGTGTATACCAGCCCGTTACATACAGCTCTCCATCTATTCGTTTGTACAGGAACTGGGAAATGCAACCGTCATGACCCCCGGTCTATACCCAATTCGGGGCCCGACATATCGTTAGACGTCAAATTCCGTAAACGCCAAAGACACCCAACCCAAATACGCCCTGGGTGTTCCATATCCAACAACAGAGACCTCCAGCCATCAAGCGGGCGCCGGTGTAGTGTATGATGCAACTGTGCGACTCCCAACTCCCTGCCCTGACCTGTTACGCCCACCGGCTCCATCTCCTGCGAACTGGCCACATGATGCTTCACCCATCAGCCCCACACAGCCCAGCCTCGCCCATTATTAATGACAGACACCTGGGAAGAAGAGGGCGGAGGGCGGAGGGAGGGACACTCCGTCCCCGCCTTCAAGTCTTGACGTTGGGCCACTTGACATCATCCGAGCAGGGAGGCTGCTCGGCAATCCACGCCTTGATCTTATCCATGTCCCAGCCGCTCATGGTGCGGTCCTTGTCGTCGTCGGCGGGCTTGACGGGCTTGCCCATGATGAAGGCGTTGCTGATGCTGCAGGCGCCGTCGACGTACTTGTAGCGGAAGCAGTCGCCCGCGCCGAGGCTCTTGCACGCCGCCCCGCAGTCCTCGAAGGACTTGTGCGCCTTCTTTTCTTGCTCGTTGTACTCCTCGGCCTTCTTGGTGCGCTTGAGCTGCCAGTCGGACCACTTGCGCTCCGGGTCAAGGTAGAAGCGGTTGTCGGCCAGGTTGTCCCAGTCTGCGCGCGTCTCGTTGAGGTGGGGGGCGAGGAACTCGTCGTAGATGTCGCGGAGCAGGAGGGGGCGGGTGGTTTGCTTGCGAGTTTGTTTGCGTTCGAAGTGCCAGAAGCTGTTGATCTCTTCGGCGTTCATGTGGTGCATTGTCACGACCGGGTGGCACCAGTGGGATGGGCCGAAGGGGAGCGTCGCTGGCTTCTCGCCGTTGATGGTGGGCCACTGTGAGGGGGGGGTGGTCAGCATGTATTCTTTGGGGGCAATGGAGTGTGTAGCGGGATTCGGAGCCACTCTCTTAGTCGTGCGAGCTTGCTATTTCCTCTGCGCAAGAACGGATAAAGGAGACTTACCATCTGCTGGACTCCCACGTCGGTCTTGTCCTTCAAGGCGCGCGCAAAGATGTAGTCACCGCAGCACTCCTTCTGCGCCTGCAGATCGTACTCGTTGGCGACCCCAGGGTTGGCACCCACAAAGTCCTTCATGGCGGCCTGGCTGACCAGGTAGCCCGAGCCGCCGTGGCCGAAGCTGAAGTTGTGGATCAAGGTCACGCTGCCGAGGTACAGCTTCTTCTTCGCGTCCAGCTTTTTGATCCACTGTATCAGGTTCGGCCACAGCACGTAGGTGTCGGCGTCAACAAAGATGTACCAGTCGTAGTCGGGGCGCATCTTGTAAGCCTTCTCAGCGATGTGCACGTTCTTGTACTTGTCCAGGTTCCACCCCTCCTTGGCCGGGTCGCCTAGCTTGTTGCAGACCTCCTGGTCGACGAGGCACCACTTCTGGCGCCGGTACAGGTCAAAGTCCGAGTTGCCTTCTTGCGCCTCGGGAAGCACCTGGTCGAGGCTGTCGTGGATCCGCTGCCCGCCGATGTTCTGCTCCATGTCGCCGAAGATGAGGAAGTCGGGCAGGCACCGGAGCATTGTCATGAGCTGTGTTGGGATGCGGGCGTAGGACTCGGATGCGCCCGTCTTCATGACCAGCAGCACCTTGCTGGTGTCCGGGAAGCCCTCGCATCCCGGGTCGGACGGCGGCGGCGGAGGCGGAGGATGGGGGGTATCGTGGGGGTTCCCCTGAGGGGCATGTTGGCTCTTGTGCGGGTCGTGATGGTCATGGTCGGGGCGGTAGTAGGGCTCGTCCAGGCCGGACCAGCCGCCTATCCTCGAGGTGTAGAGAAGGATGAGTAGGCTGATGGTCGCGATGGAGAGGAGGAGGGAAGATTTCCGAGTGATCATTTTGTTGAAGGGCGTCCTCACGCGGTCTGGGCCATGGAGGGACTTGGACAAAATCATGGGGTGGCAGCGGGTCCAACGGCATGCGCCAGCATTTCCCCCCGGAAAAGATGTTGAAACAAGACCACCCGTGGAATGCGACGAAGGAGAAGATGCCGCCGGAAAATGGAGGCACAAGACAAAAGTCGAGAGGGTCAGAATTGGGCGTGTGTCAGCAAACAGCTTTCACAGCAAGCCCGAGGAAATGAGGGACAGAAATACGAGATCCAGGCCACGCCATTCTCAACTCAGCTTCCCGGCCATCCCTCCCTCCTTTTCCTGAACAGCCCCCCAAAAAAGAGTGAGCATGGGGGACGACATTGATTGGATGATTCCGGAACTTTGCTGGGGAGACAACAGGTGCCGCACTTCGGATGGCTGCAGTGCTGCCTCCACTGCCACATGCCTTCTGCAGGGTTCGACCTTCGTCTGGTTTGTCCAGTTCCTTTTGCGGCGCCGATTGTCCCCTCAGACCCGGGATAAGCGTTCTTGTGTGGAGCAGGATTGACACGGTGCCTTGGCTGAGTTGGGGTTCCCGTCCCACAGGGCTGCTGAAAATCTTGAGTCCTGCGTTTCAGCGCGCCACATTTAGAGGTCTGGAAAGCTGATCGTTCCATTGGGGATCCAGGCCCTTGAACATGACGAAATTTTGTCAGATTGTCTGTCCTTCTCAAGGTGTTAAGTCAACCGTTGTTGAAGATATCCCCCTTAAAGCAGCCAAGACACCGGGGTGGATTTCCAACGGCCCCCTTTTCGCGTTCGTCGGACCCTCAGCCCGACAGAAATCTTGTAGCTTCTGAGCCTTTGCCGCTTCTGGACTCCAAGACGGCGAAAACCCTTTTCCTCGCGCCAGCCGCAGCAAGGTGCGTGCACTGTGTCCGGAAGAGGCGATCAACCCCTGAAACCGTCAGAAAAAAGCATTCGTCCAAAAAGCTTGCTGACCGAGGTTCCTGATCATGCTGATACTGAGCGGCGAAAACCTCGTCGGCATGTCGGGGACCCCCATTTTTGCGAACGACAGGGCAAAGCACCAAGAGAAGGCTGTTCCCGACGACGGCACCTCATCAATCTTCCCGTCCCATCTATCGTGTCCCGCCTCGGGATTGTCACTTTAGGCCCCATAGACCTGGGCTTGGCCGCTAGTTATTTATTTTTAGCACCTCCCACAATGGGTTTGCTTTTAAGTTTCCAGCGTTGCCCAGAGTCTCGAGCTTTGCTGCAACCTTACACCGTGACAGATCGGCAACGGAACCCAACATGCGGAACGCGTCTTTTCTCGAGTGTTATCAGATAACGAACAACAACGGGTCTTGCACTTTCCTGGATTTTTCTTCATCAGAAACATCCTATTCCCTAACTCGCGCCTGAACTTGGAAGACCGGAGTGACGGCGAGGACAAAGGGCGCCGATCTGCGAAATAGGGCGGCGGATATCCGGTGATGCAGGCGGCCTAGTTACTGGGATGACGTCGGTCACGGTGTCCGGGCCGAAGTGGCTGGAGGAAGCAGTGCGGAATGTGAGTTGACCACTGGTTTCGGCGGGAGAAAGAACAGAAACAGATGGTCCACGGCTAGGGAGTCGGTGTCCATCCCTCCAACAGCGACATAAAGAACCCACGTTTTCCGGCGCACCGTGTGACGGACGGATCGGGGGGTTGACGGCCGAACCTACGGAATGAGACCGGGTGATGCCCGACAGAAGACGGGATGATGCCTGAAATATGCCCGGATGCCCGGTGATCAATTTCGAAACGGCTCAGAGGCGGACAAAAACAGACAAAAACAGGCGTTGGCGATGACGATGTGGTGATTCTGCAGTAGGTAATACCTCGCGCTCTGAAGACTGTTGGCGGACGGTTGGGGAGAGGGGAGGTAGGGGGGAGAAGAGCGGGCAGACTCATCCCGTGCTATTCACGCCTTTAATGTCCACACCTCCGGCGCGAGATGGGCACAATATCAGGTTTTTGAGGCCGGGAAGAACGGTAAGAGAGGTCATGAGACGCCCATGTTACGATACAGACACAACGGCAGGAGAGCGGAAAGCGCCCTCCAGGGACCCCATCAGCTCAGCTCAAAGCCCGGCCAGGAGTCTCAGTTCAGTTCCTGCGCAGCTGTGGCGACCGCCGACGCTCTACCGACACTCAGATGACGAGCAGTAGATAGCCACCACAAAGAAGCCCCGGGCGAAGCCCACCAGCAACCTCACGTGGCGGCTTGCGCACCCGAACACCGTTCACCGCAACGGCGTACATCTCCGCCCCAAATCCACCGGGCCGCCCTTGATGCGGCCCGCGGGCAGGTCAGGTTTCTGGCGGGGCCGGGTCGGCTGTGAAACGCCCCATGGCACACACACTTACCTGTCTGTACATTTGGGTTGATGTGACAGGGGTGCATGAGGCGGCGGGGTCGCGGATGCGCAGCAGTAGCCAAGATCGGGTTGCACAAGCGGATCGGACGCCGTGCATGGCTACGCTACATGAACCTTCTTGGGATGCAGACGGTGTTGCGTGCGTGCGTGTATGCATGTGATAGGGATCGGATGGCGGCGGGGCATATTGCATGTGCATTCATGTTGCGTTGTTATTAAAACAGACGGGTGGGTTCGTGTTGACGGGCGAGGAGGGGACATGTAGATGGCGGCTTGTAAGTCGTCGAATGGGAAATATAATCCGCCTTCCCAGGTGCCTTGCACCCCAATACGACTGATACCCATCAGGGTGCATATGGATATGTCTCGGGAGCTGGCTGAGCAACCCAGGCCGCAGGTCGGGCTAGCCATCCAAGATACAAGAAGTGGCAGTCGCAATCCAGGCACTTTTGTACCGCAGCCACAACCTGTCAGGCCCAGTCCGGCTCGCGGCGTTGGCTGCGGCATCTTCGCGTGTATTCTCTCGCTTGACGCGTGGAGGTCGACGAAGTTGGCGCGGTGCTATTGGTGCCCCCGTCACATCGCGGCTCCCAGGAGGATGGTAGAAGCGCCGTGCTAGGCCTCGGCCACCAATCCAACCAATATTGGGGGCCGTCCGCCGCCTGTTGGTTCGAGTAAGCGCTTCGACGTGCATGTCGACGACTCAATTTGTCCAGCCGTGCACGAGCTGCCATTGTCGGCCTGCGACCCGATCGGCCGCCTGCAATGGGTTTCCCTGAAAGGATCCATCGGTGAAAAAGATGCAGCGTCAGCAGAAGAGCAGGGAAAGCTTAGGAATACTAGGGTAGCTGCCCGAAAAGATAAACCCTCTAAGATGTCCGCTTTGACTCATTCATTGTGATCTGGACTTGGTGCGACTTGGATGTCTCGGCGCCTTGCAACACATTCGGTGCATCATAATCCCGTTGTCTCAAAATCCTAACATGGCGATATGGGGGCGGCCAACTGGCCACCAGGCTACGCCTCCGGTCCGAAGAGAGGAAGAGGCAGGTGATGCCCGGAGGCAATACCTGTGGAACACGCCGGATGGAGAGAAACCCGATTTCGCCGAGACTTACACGCACGGAGACGAGGTGGTCTTCTCATGGAATGCCCTCAACAACAGCATCTACGATTTGTGGCTCACAAGTTGGAAGCCCGGACCCGACCCGGTGGCAGTGTGCCTGGCAAGTAAGTCCGCAAGGAAACGCAAACCTCCCGAGGTACCATCTCATCTCGGCCAGGGCCGCTAACATTGCCAAGGGTCAGTCAATCTTGCCCACGATGGCAACCTCAAGCTCGTCACATCCGATCCCCCAACGGCACAGTTCGCCAACGAGACGAGATATGTGCTCCGCTTCAAGCCCACGACGGGCCGAGGGGAGTTTGTGGCTTCGGACCCCGACCTGTCCAGCCCGGGCTTTTTGCTCGTCGAGCCGGCGTTTCACCAGCAAGACGTCCCCAGCACCACGGCGCCGTCCATGCCCACAATATCCCGAGTGATCCCGGCAAGGGAAACAGCGACCACAATGGCAGACTCGGGCTCGGAGGAGCCATTCTCAAACGTAACCCCCGCGGCGGCGGCCGGGTTGACGATCGGGTTAATACTTATGGTGGCGTTATTGGTGGCGGGGGAGGTCTGGTATCTAATGTGGCGCCGGAAACGGCGGCGCGGGGGCGGCGAGGACGGGACAACGCCGGCGTCAAGCCGGTGGAGGATGAAGCGGTTCGGGAAAGGCGACCGGGGAGTGTTCGTCCGCGTGGACAAGGCCGAGATGGTCATCGATGACTCGATTTGGATGTCACCGGAGTTGCCGGGGGATTCAACCTGGGGCGAGAGGCTGGTGCATGAATTACAGGGGTCGCGGCTAGGGAGGGGGAATTCTCTTGGTCGGCCTTTGACGATTAATAGTTCGGTGGTGGAGCTCGACGTCGGGCGGGAGGTCGTGATGCAGCGAGGAAATGTCATTGGGGGATAAGTCATCCATAAGGATACGTTCAGGAATGCTTATCTAGTGTATGACACCCGAGATGTCATCACGTCAGTGTGCCGACCTACCTAATCGGTGAGGTCCCAATAACGAAGTGCTGCTGCTCTTGCGCAGCGACGACGGCGGCAACACGGTCCGCGAATTGACTTCTGCAAACGGAAGGGGACAGAATACGGGCATGGATGTTCTCGTAACGCTCTGACCTTGTTCGGTCTGGCCGACATGGCTGCCTTGAGCCGAGAACAAAGTGTTGTTTTGGAGTTGGAGGAACTTGCGTCACAAGACCGAAATTGCAGGGCGTGCTCGCTGGTTGACAGGCCATTGTCTCAGAGGGGTGTTTGGTCTGTTTGGTTTGGGTTAGCAGAAAACCTCGTTCCTCACACAAGAAATTGTTAGTGTATGGAATAAACTACCCTGCCTGACCTCGCTCGCCTCAGCGCGCTCGCCAGGGCTTCGTGACGTGCCCCACCTGCCCGCACTGCAGCTTACCACTCAATGTGCAGTGTGGGAGCTTTGCTACCGTCATCATGGTTCCCCAGCCTTCCACCGTTGTTCTTCTTTTGCCATGCCTTTGAGTTCATCCTCTTGCTCTGTCAGCAAAACAATAAGATCAGGACCCATCGGCGCTAGTTTTCATCGATCCTGCTTCTTCTTCCGTAACATTCTTTAACCAGATATTTTTTCTTCTTCCTGTTTCCGAAGCTTCGAACTCTGCCCGAGGGGTCGCCCTAAATACCTACCCAGTGTCCGCCACAGCGTGTCGAAGTGTTTCGTCATCCAGGCGTGCTCTCTCCTGCGTGCGACTCTGCAGCTGCCTTCCTAAGACCCACAGATTGCCGTTTGTATCAAAGTCCATGAGAAAGACGCCCATATCCACACAACACCGATCCGATATCGATTCCAGACTTCCTCCCTGAAAGTCCGAGCAAATCCGCGATCCGCCTCGACCGAACCCCGCAGCGAACGTCAATCACGATGCGGCGCCCGTCGCTAGACCTGACCGATCCCGCTCGCAACATCGAAGAATCTAATGGGCAACCGGCTGCAGACATGACCATGGCGAACGCAGACCGCGCCCTCTCGCCGCCTGCGGAGGAGATGGAATTGGTCGACGGAGAGGTTGAGGATACAAGGGTGTACACGCCGCCACCGCATATTGCAGCAAGACTGTTTTACCGGCCGATGAACCAGACCCGGCGCAAAGACAGCGCCGCCTCGTCGCGCCGCAACAGCATATCCTCTGCCCACTCGCGATCCTCGCATGGGCATGGCCTCAATGGAGGGCCCCAGAGCAAATACATTGCCCAACATCTCCGCCGGGCCTCAATCCTCGAGGACCGCAAGGCACGGCTTGCCGACCGTGCTGCGCACGCCGAAAAGGTGCGCCTTCGAGCGGCACTCGCCAAGGCCGCACCAAGAGACTCCAGTGCTAGCGAAGAGAGGGCGCTTGCCGCCGCCCAGGCGCGGGAGCGCAACCTTGCCGAGATTACCGCCGCATGTGCGGAGGAGGTCAGGCGGGCGAAGGCGGTCGCTGAGAGCATGAAGGAGAAGCGCGAACAGGAGATTCGCAAGATGAAGCTCCAGATGGAGGAGCGCCTTGCCGAGGCGGAAAGGAGGAGGGAAGAGCTGCGCAGCCGAAACGCGGCCAAGGTGAAGGGAAGAGAACGCGGCCACAGCCTTGGGACCCGCAAGGCCCCCTCGCCGGATGCGATGTTGCCTGAAGTCCAAGAGGAGAAGGAATGCGAGCCAACTCCCCTGACCGAAGAAGCCGCTGCTTCTAGGATACAGTCATATTGGAAAGCCGGCAAGAGGAAACAGTCCGTGGCCGAGTTTTCGGCTCTGGGTTTGTCTCTGGATGCGGTTCGGGAGACATCGTTTGACGAGGTGACTCTGTTGCTCTCGCAGGAGAACGTGCTGGCATTGACCGCACGTATCCTTCGCATTTGTGGACTCGATGAGGGCAAGCCTGGGTCGGTGGAGGAGATGGCTGCGGTGCGGTCCTTCCTGAGCGCCTTTCTCATCCTCGGCCACCCGTCGCAAGTGCTCAGCAACAAGGAAGAAACGGAAATCCTGGACGAGACTGGGCCAGGCCAAGCCCATCCAATGCCGAAAGACAACCTCGCAAATCCTCAATCGCAAGAGCTCGTCGGCAAGGCGCGAGATCTGCTCGTCTTGTTCGAGAACATCCTCGGCCGATTGACAGCCTTTAACAACTACACTCCCCCACCAGCGCTGCTCGGAGAATTCCCCGAAGTTTATGCTACCTTCTACAATGCCTTGATCGCATGGAAAGCTCGCGACTCGAGTTCGCTGGTCGGCTTGATGGTCATGCAGTTCGTTGAGTTGGATGCCATCTGGGAGTCCGTGAAAGACACCACGGACGGCTCGGTGGACCAAGTGTACAAGGAAAGTATCCGTAACAATCAGCTCCTGCTGCTTGTAAGGATCAAGAAGCTAGCTGGTGCATCCAGGGGGAAGAAACTCGTCGCGGACGCCGTAAAGGCTGCCCGTAAGACGAGGGTAAAGAAGCCGGTGGGGGACACTAAACCGCGTGTGGCGGATCCCTCTGTCACAGAGACGGCCATGGGGGTCCTCGGCGTCGAGGATAACCACGAGACACAAACACAGACCCCAACGCCACCGGCAACGCCATCAAAGAAACCGGAGCCCTTCCGCGTCAACGTCGTGGTTCCCAATGCCAAGAGCTTGTTACCCGAGAACCGCATCGTGGTCCATGAGCTAGCCATCAACAAGGAGTTCCGCACCGAACCGCACGAATACCACAAACAACAGGAGCATTTGCTTGCACCTCTCTTTCGCGAGATGCGCGCCACTATGGAGACCCACAACCAAGAAGCCCATTTTTACCTGTTGTTGAAGGTTGCCGACCTGACCCGGGAGAAGCTCCAACGGCTTGTCAAGCCCGGCAACTCGATGCATACGTTTATCGGCGAACTCCTGGATACCGACATCGCGCAGCGCCAGTTCAGCATGGGAAGCTTCTCGTACGAGAAGTTCTTCCAGGCGATGGGGACGTTGCTCCCGAAGCTCTGTGCTCCTGTCAGGGACGACGAGGTCAAGGCACTCGTGGAGGACAAGTTGAACCAGGGCAGCTACGTGGACCGCCTCGAGGCCCTCAATGGCTTCATTGACGTCATGCTCAGTGACTACGCCAATTACTTGCTACAACTTGCTGCGCCTCGCCTCATTGAACAGGCCCCGACATACGAGGCAAAGACCTTCGCCGACGACCTTGAAGCTGGCAGGCACGACCTCTCCGTTGCCACCAAAGCGTGGCGCGCAGCGCGGCAGAAGGGCCTAGCGGAGGCGGCGCGCCGCGACCCCGAGGGCATCAATCACCCCGCCTCACGGCTCACCGCCAACCGCATCTACGCCCAACTCCTCGTCGACCTCTTCACCCAAGTCGCCCCCGTCCCACAAGACGAAACCCCCGAGATGCTCCTCCTCGACCACAAGCGCATCCTCGAAGCAGGCCAGCTCACGCGGCGCATCATCACGGCCGGCGCCATCCTCCTGCAGTGCAAGAACCTCCTCAAGCGCGACGTGCGCGCCCCCTGGCGCACCGAGGCCCAGCGCATCCTCGCCGTCCTCGAAAAACCCGACCTCACCCCCGACGCCGCCGCCGACGGCGTCATGGCCGCCCTCGAGACCGGCCGCTCCATGCCCGCCGCCACAAAACACCACCTGCGCGCGCTGGTCAACAAGTTCCTCGCCGCGAGCGCCGAGGCCGCTACCCCCGCGCCGCCGCCGCAGCAGCAGCAGCAGCGTGACTCAGCAGGACCCAGGGAGCCGGTGTTGCGGTTGCTGTTGGGCAGGTTGCGGGGGCATGTCCTGGCCAGGCTGGCGGCGTCGTCGGCGAGCGAGAAGGTGAAGGCGACGAGTACCGCGGGCGAGAAGTTGGCGGGCTTGGGGCTGGCAGAGTTTGTGGATAAGGTGAGGGATATGGTCGATATGATGGGGCGGGTGTCGGTGGTGGATCGGGATGCGCACGGGTTGTGGTGGGATCGAGGTTGCGGAGGCAGGTGGAGGAGGGAGGGCAGCTGCTGCCGCCGTGAGGTGGTGGGGTACTGGTGGTGTCGTGAGAAGCGGTGGTGGGCGTTGCAAACTAGGTATGTGGTGCAGGGGCTGGGTTCGAATGCCCGTGGGGATGGGATGGGACCGGGACGGAAATGGCCGTGCATCTTCTTGGGCAACGGTATCGATCATTGGGGGGATTTTGACGGGCTACAATTGATGGGGGGGGGCGGAAGCGTCATCCCGGGGTCTTGGTCTTGCATTGTTTCATTGCTCCGACGGATTTTTGTCCCTGGCATAAGCTTGTTTTTTTCTTCTCTCTCCATGGCGTTGGTGGGTTGGGGGAGGATGGGCTCTGGTTTCCATTGTTTTGTTTGCTCGCACATTCAGTTGCTTCGATAGCCCAGTCCCGCATCCACGTACATAGGGCGCTCTGCCGCACGGCAGGATCCAGCGTCTTTTTTTCATTGAGAACATCCAATTTTGTCAACTTCGGCGGTTAATTGCTTCATGTGATTCTCGTATTCGTGGATTTGGCTTTGGCGGCCCGGGTGGCACAGGTGCAGGCGGCGTTAGATGTACTCGGCGCTGCATGTACCTGTACTCCCCCATTACCGCTCAGTCGTGGCGATCTTCAACCTGGGCGAGCCGGGCAGCGTCGAATTGGGCGCGCTCGTAGACTGTATCGATAACAACATCATCATCATTTTCGCCCGACCCAGCCGACCCCGTGGCTCGCCGCCGGGATGGGACAAGCTTGGACCAGACATAACCATTGGTACACGTGCTGTTGCCGAGATCCATGATTATCTGCGTGTGGCTGGCGTCAAGGGTTCGACCTCTACAACCTCCAGAGCACCCCGTGCGGCAACTTGTACGCTACGTGGTCCGCTCGTGAACCGTTCGGCTCCGGCATCCCGCTTGACGCCACACCCGCCCCCTGGTATACCTCACAACCATTTGAAGGCCGCTGACGAGATCAAAGTTGGCGGGTACCAGCTAATTGTTGCTGTGAAACGGAGTGTCCACCACTGCGAGAGGGTGAGTGATGGTGTTTCTGTGTAGGTAGGTGGTCAGGGCCGCACGGCGGGGAGGTGCCGGGCAGGGGTGGGATTGTGAAGCAAGGTCTGGGGCGATGTTTTACGGGCACATTCGGTTATTATAAGATGAGAATGGACGGGCTGCATTTGTACTAGGAGTTGAATGGAACCATGGGAAGGTTAGTTCGGGCAACTTGAACCCGGAGAGCGGTTCGTTGAAGTGCACAGGGCCTGAAGACCTGTGTACTTATTCTCTGGTACGGAATAGGATGAAATGGCCCAATGCGGCCACAGGTTGGGTACGGTGGTTGGGCTGTACATAACACGGAAAGGGGTTTGAATTAGGCTACGAAAGTTTTGTACCCTGAGCATCTGCAAGGTAGGTATCTTGGTACACTCTCATAAACGGCCCCCAAGCCCAAGGGGGTCTATTTGCGGGATAATTTATGTGAAACGAGACCGCGAATCCCACCCCCGCAGTCTTCAAATGTTACAAAGCCCCAAGAGATAGAGTTTAATCCCTGCCACTGTTTCTCTCCCCTTGTCTAGACAGTTTGCTTGTTCCCATCTTCATCAATCTTCATCCTTCCTCAAACCACGTTCAACATCAGGTCAGACCTGGGAAATGGTGCCGCCCCTTTCCAAGCTCTGCTTTACTCTCGGCCAACGGGACAGGACCGCGAACATAGTATCACAGTCAACAAAGCCAATAACGCCGAACACCTCACTGCCCGAACACCAGACTGACTTCCCTTCACCTGCCATTTACCCAACACCAAGTTACCTATCTCCGCCCGAAGAACGAGCACAATGGAATATGGTTCATCCAATCGACTGGCGCAAGGGGCTCTGGCGATGCCGACCCTGTAAACACGGCGCCGGCTTCGCAATGGCGGCCCTTGTATTTACGCTCGCGAGCCCTCGTTGGCTTTGTAATTATCTTACGGTGCCTTGGTCCTCGCCATTGAGGGTCCTGTTTTGGGTGTCCCAGGAAGAACCAGGGCCTTGGGCCCAGCAAGTCACCACCTACGGTATCCCCGGACCATACGGTCCGACGGCTGCCCTGACAGTGCTTGCAGCTTTGTGGGCTCGCGTCGCGGCCCAGGCAAAGAATTACCACCCCTTGGCTCAGGTTACGACAGAGCAAGACGCTCGCCCAAGTCAAGCAGGCTATCGTGTTGGATTATTTCGAGATGTGGCCTCATGAAGTTCTGCTTACGGCATGTAAACACCAAGACTGGCTCGTGTTGCTGTCCGCAGTTACGGAACTTGCTCTCGTCGCAGCCCTGGCATTGTCGACTTCGTTCATCATCCCTTCTCCCCTCACAGTCACACAACGAATCCCAGTGATGCTCGAAAGCACGTTTGCAAATGACACGACTTCGCTCCCGCTAACTGCCGCGGAGGCCTTCATGACGATGACGGCCTTTGTCAATAACACACTGCCAAAACCCCACGGCACCTCGGCTCACTTCGCCTACCAGGAATTTAGTTATGGCAGTACCATCGACACACAGGCCGAGATATCTACTACTGTGAGCGGAATTTCTGTCGATGTTCAGTGCCAGAGTGCCGAGCTCGATTCGTGGTACTTTGCTAGCAATGTGGCTGGCCATAACATAGACGTCGCCATTCAGACACCAGGGTGCAAGCTAAGCTATCACCAATATGACGTGAACTCGTCGAGCACTGTAACACGCACAGTCGGCCGCTACTGGGTCGATTATTGCAACGGAGACCGCAACCGCCCGGAGAACCTTCGCATCGGAGTGGCAGTTGTCGAGATGGAGGAGGATTACTATCCGACAAATAACACGCGCATCTCCGGCATCTACCATCCCCAAATAGACCTGACCATGAAGCGTTCGGTGCAAATCATGTGTACCCCAACATATGACATGGCTAACCTGGTCATTCATTCTCAAGCTGGATCTGTCGAAAGCGTTACTATGTTTGGGGATGCACAGCCGGGGAAATTGGGCAACGTCAGCGTTGCAGACCTGATGGGTTGGATGGACTACGACTACACCGGGACCGGATTCCTAAATCTGTGCAGCGGAATGCCCCACCTGCCAGGGTTCTGCGGTAGAGAGTCTACTCTTGATCTAGATCAACGCATGCTGCTGGCGCTCCTTCTCTTCGACCCGTCCCCAACACCGAACCCGTCTTCCCTGGCCGATGAAGGCCTGCTCCAGAAGCTCACGGCCGCGTTTTTTCGAGAGTACGTCATTCAAGTCATCCACAGTGGTTTGACGGTACCCATTTCGGAGACCATCAACGGCACGCTCACCAGGCCCGAGGATCGCCTAACGGTCCGCCCCCTAACGGCACACTGTATGGCGGCTGCCTTTGCCGTGTCGACGGCCCTGGCCGCCATCCTGGCCGCCATCACACCACGAGGGGGAATTCTCCCGCGAGCGCCCAATACGATCGCGGGTATGGCCACGGATTTAGCAACAAACCGGCACGACTGGGAACGATGGACTTCTCTGACAGCAGTAAAATCGAGAATGCGGCGTGAAACCAGAATCGAGGGAGCCCCTGATCAGGAGAGCCGCATGAAAGTGTCATGGTTGTGGCGGCCGCACCCGTTACAGACCCGCCGCTCAGGGCCGACCGCGCCTGTTAGCATCCATGATGGTAACCCGTCGTCCAAAATACCCATCATAATTCACCCCTTCACACGGTCCGCAGTCATCCTCGCGGTCATTATGTCCATCATAGTGCTCGAGGCCGTGCCACAGAGGGCGCAGGTGCGTGATAGTGTGGAAGGCGTCGCCGAAATCACTGCCGACGACACCTTTTTCAACGTGGTGTGGTCGTACGGACCTGCCATCGTTGTGCTCCTTCTTAGCAGCTATCAAACATCCGTCGACATCATCACGCGGTCCCAACAACCCCTCAAGGCCATGTGTCGACAGCGGGGAGCATCACATCCGTCCAGCGTCTGCTTAAACCTAATCGATAGGTTACCTCCGGCTACTCTCATTACCGAGATAAGGACGGGGAGCCTGGTTGCCTTGACCGCAACGGCGGCTAGCATACTGGCATCCCTCCTCGCGGTCTTTTCGGCATCGCTCTACAGCATCAAGTCGATTGACCTGTCGTCGCCCAACCGGGTCCAGCTACTCGACTCCTTCGCCCCATATCTCAGCCGGGAGTACGAGGTCAGCGAATGGGGCCTGATAACTGCGCCCCTGATTCTGACCAAGAATATGTCTTACCCAGCCTTTACATACGAGAAGTTGGTTTTTCCCACTCTCAGACTCGAACATACCTTTGTTGGAAACCAAACTGGGGATCCAGGGCTGTCACTCGATGCTCCGTTCAATGTCACGACTCAGATACCCGCCGTGCAATCCCGACTAAACTGCAGGTTTTACGACTCGTCAGAAATGATATCCGGCATGAGAGAAAACCACCATTGGACGGTGGAAATCCCGGGGGCAACGGTCATCCACGATTATGAAGTTGACAAAGACCAGACCTGCACCATTTCAGTCTTCTCTTCGAACAACTCAGACTTTGCGCTTGGGGTTAGCGGTGTCACCATAGAAGAGCCCGAAATCGGGGATCCCAGCGGGGTCGGGGGGCCCTCGATAGAGAATTGTGCGGCCGATTATCTCTACATTTGGGGCACAGCTTCGCCCGCAGTCAATGGCTCGTCCCTCGCCGTGTACGGCTGCAACGAGACCATCGAGGCGGTGGAGGTAGCCGTGCACCTGCTCGGACGAGACCTACGGATCGACCCGTCCAACCCGCCGCGGATCGTCGACGGCACCCAGGCAGCAGTTACCGCGCTGCGGCCAAACAAAACCTTCAACCTCGCAGGATTAAACGGGCGCGCGCCGTCGGAAGACATATACCTCCACAATCTGGGCTATCAAGCCATGTTGGTGTCGGGCCCCGCCCAGGTCGACCAGTTCTTCAGCCTCCTGACCACGCCAGGCTCGCCCACCTCCCTCCCCCTCTCCTCCCTAACCAACCTCACCCAGAAACACCGCGTGGCCGAGGCCATCCACCGCCAGCACGGCATCATCCGCGCGCAGTCGCTCAACGCCGATTACCGCCGCCCGCGCAACACACCCGGCACCGTCACGCTCGGCGGCAGCCTGAATGCCACGCTCGACGGCCACCCCAACAACAACATTGACTACGACTTCGTCCCCGCCACCGTGACCGACCCGCAAGGCCGCACGCGCCATGATGCAGGACGCCACCTCAACGCGCGTCCTACAGGCGCTGCTGGCCGGAATCCTGCTGCTCTCTGCTGTGGGCTGGGCGGGCGGGACGGGGATGGGGAGCCGAGCTGCACGGCGGCTAGCTTCTGGCTCCGGTTCTGGTCCTGCCTCTGCGGCCGCTGCGGCCGCTGCGGCGGACTTGGACTGTGTCGTGTGGGGGCTGAGCTTGACATGCATTGCGGATGTCATGACCTTGTTGGCGGGGAGTGAGGTTTTTGAGGTCTTGCCGGCGGCGTCGGGGCTGGGGGGTCGAGGGGGGGATGGGATGGAGGAGGCGTTGCGGGGGCTGAGGTTCAAGCTGGGATGGGTGGGTGTTGAGGATGAAAAGGGGGGTTGGCGAGACCCGTTGGATATGGATGCCAGGGCGGACAGGGAGGGAAAGGTGGATGAAACGGAGGTAGGGACTGCTGTTGTTGGAGCGAAGGGCGGTGATCGGGTGCTTACTATCATTGTTACAACAAAAGGAGGGGACAAAAAATACGGGGATGTAAAAGCATGATGCCTGTGGTGGTGTATTACGTATTTTATGAGGGGATTCGATGCATCAAAAGATGTATAAAACTCAGCGCGACTGTGTGTGTAACAATTTCCCCGGGCTCCGGCTCCGAAGCTTCGGTCCTGCGGTCCTGCATCGTTCACGGAGGGCGGGGTCGTCTGGTGTTTAACCCGTCGTGCTCTTGGGAGATTTTGCATTTTCAGCGGATAGCGCCGGGCCTTGTTGCTTCCGCACAGGCGCTGCAATCTGGTTGCTCCACTATTGTGCAGCCCAGATCCGCCCAAAGCACGAGGACAGTGGGTCTCAACGAGGCTTCCACAACGTGCCGGGACCGACCTCCTTCCCCATCTTTTCGTCGTCCTAACGAAATTTCCTATCCAGAAATGGAAGCTGGGTCTTGAGATTTTGAATGGCAGATGCCTTTTTGAGCGTTGAAGTTTTCTTCGTTACGCTTCTTTTCCCATCCCACTTTCTGGCGGGTTCACCCCCTTGTCCCCCCAACGCGCGATTGTTCGGACGGCTTCTCACAAAGTCCTTCCCTGTCCCGCCGCTGCCGTCATTGGGGGTAGAGTGCAGGTTGAAGTGGAGCCGGGTTCGGACAGCGCCTGACCCCAAACCAAGAGCTTCCCATGAGTTCCTTGCGTCTTCTTGCCAGAGCAAGGTTTTTAGTTCCGTCGCCGTCTCTCAACTACGTGCCTCGGTCAAGCCGCCTCTCTGTGCTTACTGCAGTTGCTCACTCGCATATTTCTCGTCTGAGACCCTTGTCCTCGCTCTCGCTATCTTCGAAGCCCCCACCAAGAAGTTGCAAACTACCCCTCCGCCCCGCGTTTGCCTCTGCCCCCGCACCACTCATCGTCAGCTCCCGGCGGTATTGCTCCCACGCATCGTTCAGACACAGACTCGCAAACATGACGGACCGAGATATCCTCCCGGATACCTTTAAGCCTGCTCATTATGACCTCGTGATTAAAGACCTCGACTTCAAAAACTGGTCCTACAAGGGCAGCGTCAGGTAGGTTATCTCAACGGTTGTTCCCGGTTGGATATCTGTTGTTCTAACAACGTCAGGATCGATGGCGAGCTGGTCAAGCCGACCAAGGATATCGTGCTAAACACTCTGGAGCTCAAGCTACTCAACTCCAATATTGTCGTTACTCAGGGCAAGAGTGAACAGTCATGGGAGTCGACCACTTTCGCCGAGGATACCAAGACGCAGCGGTCCACCATCACCTTCCCCGAGGAACTGCCCGTGTCCACCAATGTCTCGTTGACCATCGACTTCACCGGCGAGCTCAACCATGACATGGCTGGCTTCTACCGCAGCCAGTACAAGCCTGCTGCCCCGGCCGCCCCGAGCGTGCCCCGCGATGACGAGTTCCACTACATGCTGAGCACCCAGTTCGAGGCATGCGATGCACGCCGTGCGTTTCCCTGCTTCGACGAACCGAACCTCAAGGCAACCTTTGACTTGGCCCTCGAGATCCCGGAGGACCAGGTGGCCTTGTCCAACATGCCCCAGAAGGAAACGAAGCCTGTGGATGGAGGCAAGAAGGTCGTCTCTTTCGAGCGCAGTCCGGTCATGAGCACTTACCTCCTTGCGTGGGCCGTTGGAGACTTTGAGTATGTTGAGGCCTTCACAGACCGCGAATACAATGGCAAGAAGTTGCCCGTTCGTGTCTACACCACGCGCGGGCTGAAGGAGCAGGGCCGGTGGGCGCTGGAGCATGCTCCCAAGATCATCGACTACTTCTCGGAACAGTTTGAGATCGACTACCCTCTTCCCAAGAGCGACATTCTTGCCGTGCACGAGTTCACCCACGGCGCCATGGAGAACTGGGGTCTGGTCACATACCGGATGACGGCTATCCTATTCGATGAGAAGCTTTCGGAGGCCAGGTTCCGCAACAGGATTGCTTACGTCGTTGCCCACGAACTTGCCCACCAGTGGTTTGGTAACCTCGTAACCATGGACTGGTGGGACGAGCTCTGGCTCAATGAAGGTTTCGCCACCTGGGCCGGTTGGCTGGCGACCGACCATCTGCACCCTGACTGGGAGGTCTGGCCGCAGTTCATCAACGAGGGCATGGACCAGGCCTTCTCGCTCGATAGCGTTCGGTCGTCTCACCCCATCCAAGTCGAGGTCCGCGATGCCCTCGACGTCAACCAGATCTTTGACAAGATTAGCTACCTAAAGGGCTGCTCCATGATCCGCATGTTGGCGTCCAACCTCGGCAATAAGACGTTCCTGAAGGGCATCGCCATTTACCTCAAGAAGAATGCCTATGGCAATGCCAAGACGGAGGTTTTGTGGGACTCGCTCAGTGAGGCGTCTGGCGTTGATGTCAACAGCATGATGAAACCCTGGATCGAAAAGATTGGCTTTCCCGTACTGAGCATCACCGAGGGCAAGCAGCAGATTTCCGTCAAGCAATCCCGCTTCCTCTCCACCGGCGACGTCAAGCCCGAGGACGACCAAACCACCTGGTGGGTACCGCTAGCCGTCAAAGGCAAGGTTGGCTCCGAGGGCATCGAGCCACTCACTCTTACGACGAAAGAGGCGACTTTCGACGGCATCAGCGAGGAGTTCTACCAGTTGAACTCTAATGCCACCGGCTTTTACCGCGTCAACTACCCCGAGTCCCGTCTCAAGCTCCTTGGTACCCAACTGGATCACCTCACAACCGAGGACAAAATCTTCATCACAGGCTCCGCCGCCGACCTTGCATTCTCCGGTTACGCCACAACCGGGGCCCTTCTCTCCTTCATCCAAGGCCTCAAGGGCGAGACTCACTACCGTGTCCTCAGCCAGGCTTTGGACTCTATTGGCACCCTCAAGTCCATCTTCGGTGATGATGAACAGATTAAGAATGGCTTGGCGAAGCTTACACTGGAGTTGATCGATAAAGCGCTAAAGCAAGTCGGCTGGGAGAGCGCCAAGGATGAGGACTTCAACACCGGCTTGCTGCGCAAGCGGCTGCTTCTCACCGCTGTTGTGAACTCGCACGAAGAGTACGTCCCTCACCTACGTCCCATCCTTGATGCTCATGCTAACTTTTCACAGGGTCACCGCCGCCGCTTTCGAGCGCTGGTCCGCCTACCAATCCAACCCCTCCGCCTCCCCCATCCCCGCTGACTTGCGTGCCCCCATCTACCGCGCCGCCATCCTCAAGGACCCTTCAGCCACGGTCAAGGCTCTCAAGCATGAGTGGTTCACCACGCCCGCCATCGACGGCAAGGAGATCTGCCTTCAGGCCCTCGGGCACACGGGCGACGAGGACATCATCAAGACGACCCTCCTCCCCTTCCTCTTCAACACCTCCCCGCCCGCAGCTGCCACCGACGTCATCCCGCCCGGCGACATGCACATCTTCGCAGGCGTCCTGTCCACCAACCGCACCGGCCGGCCGCTGCTTTGGGCTTTCCTGCGGGACAACTGGGATCAGTTCAACGCCAAGCTGGGCGGAAACCCAATTCTGGTCGACCGCATGGTGAATGTCAGCCTGCCGAGGTTCACGGATACCGAGACCCTGGCTGATATTGAGCGCTTCTTTGGCCCTGGAGGGGTCAGCACCAAGGGCTTCGACCGCACGCTGGAGCAGGTCAAGGACAAGATTCGGGGCCGTGCCGCCTACAAGGCGAGGGATACTGAGGGTGTCAGGGCCTGGCTTGTGGGGAATGGTTACGCATAAGTAGATGGGGATCGGAAAACTCAAGGGGCAAAACGAAGGTGCGTGTGTGGGGTTAGGATAGAGTACAGAAGACACGGTTCTCGAGTGAGATGGCCTGTGTATTGAGATGACTAAAGAAGTACATAAATCCTCACATATCGATCTGGCCCTAGATCTTCACGACTTGGATCTCCAAGTTTCCCAATACACGAAGTTAGATTTCAATGCCGGCCTAACCGAGATGTTCCACAATGACAGGCTGGAGAAGAAGAAGAAACAAGAAACAAGCGCGCATTGGGCCACAGCTGCTCTGGCGCGCAGCCAAAGCGCGTGGCTGCAGAGCCTTGTGTGACCACGGCACCAACGGACAAGTGAGCCTCGATCCAATCACTTCAAGTTGACCCCTTCCGCCTGACAATACCCAACATCTCGCACAGCTTATGGGACCGGCAAACCCTTTCCCACATTTGTCTCGCACAACTCACTCATGTCCACAACAAAAATCATTTGATATCTGCATATTCCAGCACCGTCATGACTTATCAAGATATCAACAGACCGGGCCAAACGGTGCGCCGCGTGCCATGTCATTTCTACGCCCGTGGATTGTGCTTGAAGGGCAGTGGCTGCCAATTCACACACGAGGGTCAGGATGCGCCATCACCGGCCCAACCAAGTTCGAGTGGAAAGGTACGCTGTCAGTACTTCGCCGCTGGCTATTGCGCGAGAGGGGACTCCTGCTTCTACGCACACGAGGCGCCGCCAACGCCAACGACATGGCGTGATCCTTTGCCTCCGCCTCTGCCTATGGTCCAGCCTCTTCCTCTGCCCATGACACAGTCTTTGCCAGTGGTTCAGCCGACGCCCCAACGTCCTACCAATTCACGGGCTCTAGCCGCTTGCAAGTTCTTTGCCAGAGGTGCGTGCAAAAACGGTACCGTTTGTCCGTTTGCACACCCCACGGCGAGCCCCGCGGCGGGCTCCAACTGGAGGCATGAGGATGGGAATGAAGAACAGGCCATGCAGACGAGTTTTGCGGGCCTGAGAATTGAACCCCAAACCCCGTTGGCAGCGGAAGAATCTGAGTTCAAGGTGTGCCGCCTCACTGAAATGTTCAATCTTCGAAGTTGACCTTTTGTACAGGAGGAGCCTTCTCACGACGACTGGACTCGTGAGCTCTCGGGGGTCTTGGCCCGCTTCGAGGGCGGCGCCGCTGTGTCTAAGGTGTCTTGCCCGTCCGACTTTTCCGCTATCCGCCTGAGCAACCTTCCGGCAGCCAGCTCCCCGGAGTCTGTAGTCGTTTTGTTGTCGGGCGTGGCAATGGCGGTTGAGGCGGAGAATGTGAGGGTTATTGTGCACCCAGAGTCGGGCACCTGTGGCGCCGACGTCACGGTCGAGGACCCAGCCTTTGCAAAGACAGCGTGCACCAGGCTGGGTTCTTTGTTTGTCACCGGCTCACGGATCGAAGCAGTCAGCATCCCCGTTCCCACGCCACGAGGGTCGAGCTTGTACAGAGTCGACCGTAGGAGGCTTCACTGCTCTTGGCACCGGCCGACTTGTGTTGCATGGCTTAACTTTGGGACCGAAGACAAAGCGCACAAGGTTTACGAGAAGTTCAAGGCCGGGGTATACGAGGTGCTCGACTGTGTCGTGAAGGCGAATCCGCCAAAAGGACAACAGGATCGATGGAACCCCTTGGCTTGGACTGTTATGTTGATGGACGTGCCCGGCACGGCTAGGATAAAAGACATCCTCCAAGTCATCCCCGAGTTTGACAGTCCGCGCCGTGTCACAATGGGGAAGCCGACCTATGGCTCCGACTTCGACTACGCTTGCGCTACTGTCAAGTCGATGCTGACCCAGTTTGGTCCCTTGGAGTGGTGGGAGGTATCTGCCAACGGCAAGGGAAAACGTATCAAAGCCCAAGCACGTTTCTTCGAAGAATCACACGCCAGAGAGGCGACGGCTTCTCTCGACGGCAAGCTGTTGCCTTTCAGCGATACGGCCAAACTGACGGTCCAGCTCATGACAACTGCCAAGTTCAAAATATCGACTCGGATATACGACGCGTTGAGCGGTCGGATCAGCTTACAAAAGCCCATCTGGGAAAGCCAGTCCCTCCATTATGTTGCCTATCCCCCCCACCGGGGATATCGTGTCTTGAAATTAGAGGGCCAGGACAGTACGACGCTAGCACAAGCCAAAAAGACCCTGGACCGCATCGTTGAGGGCGAGGTGGCGAGAAAGGATGATAAAGATCTGTGGCATGCCAACCTCGAAAGGAATGGTAAGGAATACAAGAAGCTCAAGCAAGTGGAGCAAGACAATGGGGTCGTCATTGTACGCGACAAGCGCAAATCCCAACTCAGGTTGTACGGTTCAGACGCAGCCAACAGGCGGGCTACGAAAGCCCTCGAGATCCTGCTCCAGAACGCCGTCTCTCACAGCCATGTCATTGAGCTCGACTCGGCAGGATTCCAATGGGCCTGCAAAGGCGGGTTCAAGACATTGGTATCACAGCTGGGAGACGGCAAAGCGACATTTGACATCGTATCTACACAGAAACGCATTCTCATCACTGGGTCCAAGGCAGACCACGCCGCCGCCACGGCTATAGTCGCAGCTCGGCAAACCGGCCCCGTCACCACACCCTCCGACACAGACACGACCTGCTCCGTCTGCTGGACCGACGCCGAAGAGCCCATCCGCACCTCCTGCAACCACCTTTACTGCAGCGACTGCTTCACCAACTTCTGCCACGCCCCCGCCTCCGGTACCGGCACCGCCTTCCGCATCACCTGCGTCGGCAACCTCGGCCACTGCGGCAAGACCCTGCCCCTCCCCGAACTCCAAGACCTCCTCCTCCTCATCCACCTTCGAAGCCATCCTCGCCGCCTCCTTCGCCGCCCACATTCGCTGCCACCCCACCCTCTTCCGCTACTGCCCGACCGCCGACTGCGCGCAAATCTACCGCGCCACCAACACCGCTACCACCCCGTCCTCCTCCACCTCCAACGACGGTCCTGCCACCTTCACATGCAGCAAATGCCTCGCCGCCACCTGCACCGCCTGCCACGCCACGCACCCCGCCAGCGTGACATGCGCCGAGCACAAGGAGGTCACGTCGGGGGGGTATGCGGCGCTCGAGCGGGCGAAGAGGGCGCTGGGGGTGAAGGACTGTCCGAAGTGCAAGACGCCGATTGAGAAGGTGGATGGGTGTAATCATATGACGTGCGGGGGGTGCAACACGCATATTTGTTGGGTGTGTATGGAGACGTTTGGGACGGGGGGGTTGTGTTATGAGCATTTGAATAGGAGGCATGGGGGGATTGGGGGGTTGAGGGAGGAGAGGGGGGGGGTGTGGCGGTGGGATTGATGGATGGGTGGGGAGGGGTTGGAGTTGATGTGTAAGGCTGAGATGGGATTTTTTTGGTGGTTTGGTGTTTGTCAGTCAGGTCAGGTCGATCGATCTGTTGACGCTATCTCCGGAAGAGGGAACACAATCGAAGACGATAATATTATCAAATCAGCAATCACATCAACGATAACTACTACCTACCTCCCTGTGTACTTCGATTGCGGCGCCTTCTTGGGCAAACTCTTGGCTTATGTAGGGGGATTGCGTTTCCAATGCTTAGACCTCCAATTTTTTGGAAACGACACTCAGACGGAAAGATCGGGGAGAAAGAATTGATTGATTGCTCCGTCTTCATCCTCAGTGGCGGGCATCGCCCTGACCTCCTTCTATTGCTTCTTGTTCAGCCCCTAGAACCCCTTTTGCACTAGCGCATCGGCAGCCGAGATTCCGTGTTTCAATTGCCACAACTTCCAACACTGGTATCCGCAAGAAGGTTCCATGTGGCGAATCCAACACACCCCCTCAGTCGACTGCCATTTTAGCAGCTAGCTGAATAACTTCTTGGTGTTTTGGACCGCAGATGTAGCCGGCCGCTTGGCCGGCCTGACCGTCACCAGGGCAGCCTCCTCCTCCAACTCGTCGATACCAGATTCCTCCCACTGGGAACGTTTGCGCCGAACTGACGGCTTCGCCGGCCTCGGATTTGTCCCTGATGCTGGGACTGGTGGCGTTGAGGTCTGTAGGACAGCTGGCGCAGTTGAAGGCGGTGCCTCAGGTGCCTTAGTCTCTTGTCCCGCAAAGGGGCCGCTCCCTCTGGTCTGCCCCTTGGCTTTCACAGTCGCTGGAGGGAGGTAGAGGACCCGGTGACTTCACTGCAGGTGCCAGCGGCAGAAAGTGGCAGGCGGTGAGGTATTTCGCCGGCAGAAAGGTGGGGCTACTGTTCAAGGAGTGATTTTCTACTGTTCAAGGAGTGGAACTCTCCGGAAGAGCCTGAGGGCTGGCATTGCGTTGAGGGTGGATGGTAAGTACAAGTAAATTTGAGTGAAAAAGGAACAGGTTTGGGGGTGAACGGCAGCACAAGAAAAACTTGTTCTCGGAGACCAAGGGTACCGACAGCGGAAGATATACCTAAACGGGTAAGAAAAGAAGAGTGTCACGGTGTGTCGTGCAAGCGCCTTGACGTCTTGGCGCGCCCGCGGGCTGTACACGACTCGTAATTTTTTGAGGTGCTGGGAAGGGGACCGTAAGAGAGGAAGAACTATTGGGACTCGTTATTATACCAATCGCCCTCCTAGATGCGGGGGGCTACTTACTTCTATATTCTCATAGTTAGATCACCTTGTGTAGTATCTAATTTCACTACGTGATTGGTAATGCGGATAAAACGCGTTGAGATGTTGATGGATTTATCTCTGTTTCCTTCCTTACCAGCCCGACCGAAACATCAAAAGTGGTGTGCAACCCGCACACACGGGCCAAGGTCTCCAAGCAGGAGGTTGCCACACAGCATCAGCGCGTGCCACAGGTGCTATGGGTCGCGGCGCATCGGTGACTAACCCGATCCAGGATGAACATTACAACAACTTACTGATAAGACCGAAGACGAGAATATCTGAGCTTCTTCTGAGAGACTCCTGTATACCTACCGAATTAACTACCTAGGTACCTAGGTACCTGACTTGTGAAAGCCTACCGATAGGGGTGGTCGCCAGGTCACGAGTAGCCGCAAGCCCGCAACCGGCACAGTTCGACCTGACTAGCATAATAGAACTTAGGTAGGTAGGTACCTTGGTAGATAAAGCGCCAGCCAGGCAAATGCACCCACGCATCAGCAGGGGACACATTAAAGCGGGAATACAATCCTATACCCGCACCGTCTCCTGGGGCTCCTTGTACCACGCTAGCGTTCCCAGCGGCCTATAATAACTACGTCCGCTGTACCTACTGAGGCTTCGTGTCAACATCAACCTTGCCCACACCGAGCAGTAGCCTAGTGATAGCCTCGTCGCCGTTCCTATAGGCCCAAAACAGCGGTGTTCGGCCGTCCTCATCCTTCACGTGGATATCGACCTTGCCCGTACCGAGCAGCAGCTTGACTATGGCCTCGTCGCCGTTTCTGGCAGCCCACCACAAGGGCGTCTGGCCACGGCCGCTCTCCGCGTTGACATTAGTGACCTTGCCTGTGCCAAGCAGCAGCCTAGCAATAGCCTCAAGTCCATTCTTAGCAGCCCAAAACAACGGCGTTCGGCCGCCGTTATCCTCCGCGTTGACATCGGCCTTGTCCGTACCGAGTAACAGCTTGACGACCGCCTGGTTGTCGTTCTTGACGGCGTACGACAACGGCGTCAGGCCATATTTATCCTTTGCGTTGATATTGGCCTTGCCCGTGCTGAGCAGCAGCTTGACGAGTGCCTCGCAACCATTTTCAGCGGCGTATGACAACAGCGTTTGGCCGTCCTCATCATAGGCATCGATATCGATTTTGTCCGTGGAGAGAAGCTGATCAACAGCCTCAAAATAGCCGCCATCGGAAGCTGCCTGGAGGGCCGCAAATGTGGCTTCAACCGAGTAGTCACCTTCCAGAAGAACATCGAGCCTTTCGATATCACCTCGAGCTGCTACACTCCACAAATCCTGGTCTCTTTCTGATTCGGACGTCCCGTCGTGAGATTGGGACGCTGGACTTAAACTCATGGCAGCTACTGGGGTGCATGTACCTATGTACATGGAGATGCGTTCGCTGTGGCGGTTCAGGTGTTGACAACCTTTGTTAAGAGGCCGCATGTTATCGACCGAACATCGCCGAGTTGAGGGCGTCCTGGGGCCCTTTATCCCCAGAGCGAGCGGGGCCGGGGCTGTGCCACACTTGCTGCATTTTGCTGCACAGCCGGCGTCACCGTTCTCTCTCAAGTACCCATTCATTACACTGTGAAGCAGACGGGCAGCACTCAATAATAGAAGCGAAGAAGCCCTTGTTTGATCCCTCTCACCAAAAAGGATAAGCTTTTTAATATTGATACCACCAGACGGTAAGTGTCATCCTAGATCTCGCTCCATCTGCTCTTGTCACGAATATGCCAACAGGTGGGACCTCGGGGGCGCGGGACGCCCCGAGCCAGTCGTTTCAGGAACCAATCAGGAGAGGCTGGAAGGTGCTCAGTGTAATCGGGGAAACGGGGAACAACGGGAAACTGAGCACACTGAGCATGGAAGCTATGCAGCTAATCAGGACACGGGAAGAACGGAAGTGATCAGTGTGATCAGTGTCTTCAAACTCGGGGGGACACTGAGCACACTGAGCACTCAGGAATCAGACAGATATATAGTCACTCGTTCTGGAGAGCTCTGGGAGTTCTCCAGTTAGCAATCACAACTACAGTTCGCTACAAGCTCGTGAAGCCTACTGTTGAGACAAGTCTTTGTTGTGCACCCTTTGGCTGCACCGAACCTAAGCACCCTCGAGAGATTACCTTCACCGAAGCTGAACCCTAACAGGACAGGGTCCTGAAGCAGGTTCGTCACAGCTCTCTTTCGGCAATTCAACAAGACCCAGTTAGAATTTAGATTCCCTTTCGAGACATACAATCCCCGCCCCCACGGGTTTGGCTGAGTCACATTCTTGTCCCAGTGCCCCCTTTGCGTCACAGCCACCTCTAAACCACAACACCTCGTTGAGTCCCCATCGGAACAGCATCTGTGGCCTCCATCCTACCCGTGTCCTTCGCAACAATTCCCCTACAGCTTCCTATCGCCTTACGGTCTTACTCTTCGTTTCATTTTGCCTTGTGCGAGAATTGTGCGAGAAGATGGGATCCAAAGGCTCACTTAAAACACCAAAAGGAACCCGTGATTGGGTGGGTGGAGATCTGCTCCTGCGCAACCACATCTTGTTAGTTCCCGTATCTGGCTCAATGACTGGGAACTTAAAGCCCGCTAACAATGGCACAGCCAAACGATCAGCACCGTCTTAGAGCGCCACGGCGGAGTCCCCCTCGACACGCCCGTGTTCGAGCTCCGAAGCATCCTCTCGGAAAAATACGGCGAAGACTCCAAGCTGATCTACGACCTAGCCGACCAGGGAGGCGAGGCATGCTCGCTGCGCTACGATCTGACAGTCCCGTTCGCGCGCTGGCTGTCCATGCGTACCGACGTCCAGCATATCAAGCGCTACCAGATCGCCAAGGTCTACCGGCGCGACCAGCCCGCCATCTCGCGTGGTCGTTTGCGCGAGTTTTACCAGTGCGACTTTGATATTGCTGGTGTTTACGGCCCTATGATTCCCGATGCCGAGGTTCTATGTATTATCGCCGAGGTATTTGAGGCGTTCGAGATTGGTGTCGCCGTTAAGCTCAACCACCGCAAGATTCTTGATGAGTTGTTTGAGATAGCTGGCGTGCCGGCTGATAAGATACGTACAACCAGCTCTGCCGTGGATAAGTTGGACAAGGCGCCGTGGGACGAGGTTAGGAAGGAAATGCTGGAGAATGGACTTTCGGAAGAGGTTGCGGACCGTGTGGGTGGCTACGTGCAGCGCAAGGGCAGCATGGGCGAGATGCTGGAAAACTTGGATCTGATTCCGATCTCGCCACAAGTAAGCCCTTGATGGAGGGTATTGCGAAGATGAAGCTACTCGCATCTTACCTCGAGGCTATGGGCGTTATCGACCTAGTCTCGTTCGACCTGTCGCTTGCAAGGGGACTCGACTACTACACGGGCTTGATCTACGAGGTGATCGTCGGAGACGGCGCCAGTGATCGTACCCAAGTTGGCAGTATTGCTGCGGGCGGTCGTTATGACGATCTGGTGGGCATGTACGGTCGTCGCCCCTTGCCGTGCGTCGGCATATCGTTTGGCATGGATCGCATTTTTACCATCCTCGACGCCCGGCGTGAAAAGAAGAGCAGCTCCGATCTCGGCGGTCAAGTGCAAGTCTACATCATGGCATTTGGCGGTAAAGAGTTCGATGGGCTTTTATTAGAGCGCATGCGGGTGGCTCGCCAGCTATGGGCAGCAGGGATTCGAGCCGAGTTCGCCGCCAAGGTGAAACCGAAACCACTTCAGCAGTTCAACACATCCGAGGGCGTACCCGTTGCGGTCATACTCGGTCAGGGTGAGGTAGAGGCCGGAAGGGTGCGGGTGAAGCGCCTTCATGTCGGGGACAAGGCCGCGGAACAGAAAGATAAGGGGCAGCTGGTGGCGAGAGAGGGACTCGTGGAAGAAGTTGTGACGAACCTACTTCTGGACCCGGTCCTGTTAGGGTTCGGCTTCGGTCGAAGGTAATCTTTCAAGGGTGCTTAGGTTCGGTGCAGCCAAAGGGTGCACAACAAAGACTTGTCTCAACAGTAGGCTTTCGAGCTTGTAGCGAACTGTAGTTGTGATTGCTAACTGGAGAACTCCCAGAGCTCTCCAGGACGAGTGACTATATACTATCTAGGATCCGAAGTACCTCTGTACTTTCCCTTGCGAGACGCCAGGTGCTATGTTGCTATGTGCTATGTTCTGACTTAGCACCATAGCATCTTAGCACCTTGCAGCTTGGTTGGCGCCCCTGTCCCTTGTCCCGATTGGTCCATCTAGCGATTGGCCCGGGGCGTCCCGCGCCCCTAAGTCCCACCTATTGGCATATTCGTGACAGAAGTGCGCAAGCTGTTGGCGTCTACAACCCTCTCGAGCCCCGAATGACTTGCCACTCTCATGTGGCGTTCGTAACGGGCCCGGAGCTCTTTACGATACGCTTCTATCCGACGCCATCTCGAGCGTCGGCATGCTGCAGCAAACCGGATGTCCTAGGAAGCCCGTTGTGGAAACTGATCTGGCTATGGTAGGCCGGATACGAGCATTTCGCCGACACTTTGAGTAGTAGATAGTGGAGGATCATGAAGAAATAGAGGGGGGTCTTAGATCGGCGCTCCATAATGCATGGGGTCTCGTCGTAAGGGGCTAGACCGAGGGGGTTTATAATAACACCTTAAGAGAAGGGTGAGCTGCCCAAACCGTGTTGGAAGATTTCGTGTACTCGGCCGGTGGTGTATTAGCAGTTGGCTTTGGAAAACGCCGTTCAAATCTCTAGTGGCGGTTCCGAAGGTCGGCATTGTAGGCAATATGGTTCCGCACGTTAGCGATGATGGTCCCATCGCAGTGTGAGAGGAGCTATAGGGGCCTGACGTAAAAGGTGACCGCGTCGTGAATGGCTTTTGATGGGCTACTGGTGTGGAGGTGGCAGAAAAGGAACCGGAGAGTGCCTTCAGCTCTTGACAGGTGTATTCGGAAGTTGAATTGTAACTCGGGAAATCCACCAACAAGGGAGTTCCTGACAAATGTCCTACGTTAAGCATCAAAAATAGGGAGATACATCGGCATGCAGGCTTGGAAATCGGTTTACTAGTTATTAGAAACAGGTGGACAGAAGCAGGGCTTGCCAGACATATCTAAACCAGACATCAACTTGCGAGCACTGTTTATTATAATGGCCAGGGGCGCCGGCAGACCAAAGCATGTACTGACCGTTCGGTCACTTAACAACAGCGCGATTCAAAAGGCAAAACTGATTCTTTTTTTTTTTTGGTTGGAGGCCCCGTCTCCGCTGTATGTAACTAACTGGTTATGCCAGTGGATCGAAGGCTCTCACGACGGGCCATTTGCCCGGGCCCGTGATGAATCGACTCTGGATAGAACAGCCTCTTCGTTTCCCGTATCTTTTTATAGGGCCCGAGATCAGGCCGGGTTAGTCCCGATGGAGCAGTTTTGCTTTATGTTGGTGAGCTGCGGACTTTCATGTGAACCATCGAACCCCTGAGGCCTAATATTTCCTCCTGCCTTTTTGGCCTCGGGATGAGTCCACAACGCAAGACCGTGTTCGGCATCATGTCCGTCTCTCTGCGTCACGGGGCGACCTCCTAGATAGAACACTGCAGTAGCCGTCGACCACAGGACGGTACCAAATTATTGATTTCACTAGCTCGTGTCGGGAAAGCTGCCGTGCATGTTATTCGTCGGCCAGGGTAGAGATTACGTGAAAAAGAGCTTCGCTTGCGGTAACTAGTGCTGGATTGCTGTTGGATAAGCGGCCACTTCCATTAAGAGGGCAGAGGTCTTGGTTCGGGGCGGCGGGTTGGGCGCAAGATAAGCGAATAGCATCCCACACACTTGTCGACAATGAAGCAGCCCTCAGTCTTTTGCAGCCCATCGCGCGTTGGCGCGTTGCGGGCCGCAACAATAAACACCAGTCGGCCAAGGGGCGGTCAGCTATTTTTGTCCCGAGGCTTCCAGCGTCGCAACCCCCATCACATCTGGGTGGTACAGACTCCAGCAAGAAAGGGACGGCTTCTCGCATCGCATATTGTGTAAATACCAACGGCAAATAATCTCGGCAAACGTGGCTCGCCCTGCTGGCTCGGGAGTCCGAGACCCACGAACCGGGACACCGCGGAGCCTAACACCCGCGAGGACGCAACCGGGTCAAGCCCACTGACGCAGAGAAGGGATCCGACTTTAAGGTAGGACCCGAGTTATTCCAGATCCGGCCGTTGGGGCCGCAGGTGTGACCTCTCCTCCGTGGGGGGGAGAGAGAGAAGACTACGCGCAACGGCTCAAAACGAGACGAAGGGCCATGGGTCACTAGGCTGCAAGGCACGCCTGACAATGGCACGACAAACGGTGTTTTACAGTGTACAGGCTCGGTGCCTTGGCTTGCCCGCCCAGCCGCGTCTGCCCTAGCTGGCGGCGCGGGCGGAAAGAGACAAGCGAGTTTCTGACCAACCCTAGGGTCTCCTCCAAGCTTATCCAGGCGAGGAGGAGCTTGCAGATCGATGTCACCATCTCCGACACGGAGCACGCGGGGTCACGGGGCGATCCGGGCGGTTGACGTCGTGGTGGTGGTGGTGTGTGCCGTGGGTTTGGAGCGGCGCGCGGGATGTGCTCATGCTTGCCCGTGAGGAGCAGCCTACAGTCTAGCGGAAGCCACATGCTCCCTATCTCAACGCTAGTTGTCTCCTCCGGTGAGAGGAAAAGGGGATGGGGAAGATGCAAGTGTATATTCCGCACCAATGGAGATTCTCTACTCCAGATCGAGGCGACTTCCCGCAGTGGGGGCCTTGGGGGGTGGCTTCGCCTACCGTGTCGGTTGGGCAGTGAAGATAGATGACGAGAAGATGCCGAAGGGGCCAGTCGACTTGCTCGGTGGTGTGTTTAGTCCTCCGAGAGTTTGATGACGGTTTTGGGAATAGCCTGGGGGCTTCAGGCGGGAAAGCCCGAATGCTGTCTCACATATCGGAACCGCAACGGCCGTTACGAGGGGTGTTGATTGCATCTTGGGAAATGTGAACCATGTAATTTTACTTGTCGACATGGGTGAAGGGGGATGGAAAAAGAAAGAAAAATCAATCTGAAAAAACAAAACAAAACCAAAAACATTCAGCCTCATGGCATGCCGCTCTCGGGACGAACAAGAGATGTTGAAGAGTGTCCTCCTTTGTGTGTGTGTGTGTTATGAATGATCCAGGCCCAGACCAACAAGATGACGTCCGTCGGCCCACTGGCTGCTTGAAACGTTTCATCGGAATCGTGGGTCCTTATCCCGGGCAGCAGCACGGCAAGCAGCACGCACCTCAGATCTCGGTCCCGACCACCTGCCAAACTTTTTTTTTTTCTTCTTTCCTCATCAAGCCAGCAAGCAGGGCAAGGCAGGGGCATGTGACATCTCCCGGTTTCCCTGGTGGTCGTTCGTGCCTGCCTTCCCGGAAGCGAGCGGTGGGTACGGTTAAACCTCGGAAATATGCCGTGAGCACGATTAGGCGGCGCTGACCGAAGCGGTGGAAGGGGCAATCCGGGGTGGTCACTGCCAAGGCCGGGGTTGATGCAGGACCCTGGGAAGGACCTGCCAGTGATTGTGCTGATCGCGGCGAGGGGGGACGGGCAAAATCTGAAGCGGCTGAAGCTCACTTTTTGGGCCCGGGTGGGCGGCGAAACCAGTTTTTTTATTCCTTACAAGACGAACGGCAAGTGCGGGCGGTATCAGGCTGATGGGATCGACGCGGATTTATTGCGGACCTGGCTTGCCTGGCTGGCTGGGATCGCCGACATCACGACTTTTTCTGCGATAGGATTTGTTCGATGAGGCTGTTCTGCTGCTGTGCATCCCCGGGAAGCGCTAAAACCATAGACGAATCACGGCGAATTTGCAGGTACTGGTCGAGCCAGTGGCAATTCGTTTTCGGAGTCCCACCTGAGCCTTGGAATCGCGGGCCGCAACGCGGCTGGCGGGTGCCACTTCTTTCAGGAGTTGCGGAGTTGTGGTTCCGACAAACGACCCACTGGACGAGATCGGGACCAATTGGGCCTGTTGGAGCGTCTCTCGCATGGTCCAGAATCCCAAATTGCGCCGGATGGGCGTCCCTTGACAGCCCTGGGCGGGCCCCGGAACCAGCTAAAGGCTAGCCGCATTCTCCGCCGAGACTGTGGGATTGACGTCGAAGGTGCAACGACAGAACTGGGAACACACAGTCCCAATGCCCTCCACTGACATCCAATGCATCCAATACATCCAATGCATCCAATGGCCTTGCCCCCAAAGCGAGGACCCCCCCCCCCACATATAACCCGAACCTTTCCCGGCGACGAAAGCATTCTAAGTAACCAGCTAGGGGCGCCCTGGCGGGTTCCTGAATTTTTCTT